AATATTTTATTTACCTAAAATTATGATTTTTACTTTAAGAAATAATAATAATTTTGAAATTATGGGCACAATTAGCTGATAGCTGTTAGCTGATTCAATTAGCTGGTTTGACTATCTGATTCGATTAGCCGTTTGTATTAAAATATTTGGTAAAACAACGATTCGATATTACCTGTTTATACGTAAAATGACAATTGAGGACATTTTTATTTTATTTTTGTTTCTAATATATTCAATTATGTTATTTTGAGTTTAGAATGTTTGAATTTTTTTGTTATTAATTATTGAAAATTGTAAAAGTGTTATAAAAATATTTATTTTTATTACAGTTAGATTTAAAAAATAATATATTTTATTAAAATATATAAATAGTTTTTTCTATTGAAAATGATGTAAAATATAAAATAATAAATTTTTTTCGTATATATATTTATGATGTTAGTTATCAATTAATTCATTATATTTATAAATTTTAATTTATTTAATTTATTTTTAGTATAAAATTTATATAATGTAATTTTAATATAAAAATAAATTATTACTATTTATATTTTCTATTTTATGATGATTTTAATAAATTTATATATACAATTAAAATAATTTTTATATAAAAATTAATTATTTTAAATTATAAAAGTAAAACTATAATATAATAAAATATTCTAATATAATTAATAAATAATCAAAATATATTTATTTGTGTAAAATGCATAATAAAATTTTAAGGGCATATAAGGAATAAAAAAAAATTTACACAAAAAACTATTTCAAAACGCTTGGTAAGTTAGCTTTTAAGAAATCAGCTTTTGGGTCCAAAAAGCTAATTTACCAAACACCTTAGGGCGTGTTTGTTTGGGGGATTGGATTAGATTTTCACTATTCATCCCATTTTTCCCCCCAAAAACATCAAATAAAACACCTATTTTTTATTTTTTATATTATACTAAAAATCAATTTTACATTCAAAACATCACATCAACACCTATTTATATCACATCATACAACTGTTCAAATTCAAAATTTTTACTATTCAAATCCCAACTCAAAATCCAAACCCCCAAACAAACACACCCTAAATTAATTTTTTGACTAATCAAAAAGTTAAAAGCTGTTTAATAGGCTAAAAGCTCTTCAAAATGCTATTTGCCAAACACCCCGTATATCTTTTTTAGTCCCATAATTTTTTTTATCAATTAATTAATAAACCTATTTGCCAAACACCCTTGTATTTTTTTTAGTCCCACAATTTTTTTATCAATTAATTAATAAATGTTCTATATAGCCCTACTTATTTTTTATTAGTAACTTTACTATTATAATATTAATATTTCGTTGTTCCTATCTCCAACCAAAATTACGTGACTTTTACGGAGAGGTAAATATTTTTTTATAGATGAAAATATGATGTGATTTGATATTTAAAAAAGAATACTATGAATGAATTGTACAGAAAATTCTATCTATATATTTAGATTAAACGAGATAAAATTACTATTTCTATTTTAACTTCCTTCAAACGTTTAAACATATCAAATTAATTCAATTAAACTCTATCCACAATAATGGAAACGAGACCAAATAAGTAAAAACCCACAATTTTTACATTCAAATTAGTTCGATAAAAAATAGAAAATAAATTACCAATTGTTGACGAAACTGAATTTGTTTCTTAGTTGAAATATAAATATAATAATCTCTTAGGTTGTGTTATTTTTATAAAAAAAGTTTTTTTTTATATTATATTATAAATTTATTTTACATTTAAAGCATCCCATCAATGTCTATTTATATTATATCAATGAACTGATCAAAGATCAAATTCAACTATTTTCTATTCATAAATCCAAACTTAAAACCCCAAACCCACCAACAAACACACCTTAGTACTCCCTCCGTCCCAAACAAGGTGCAACATTTGTTTTTGGCACGGGTTTTTAGGTGGGTAATATAAAGTAGATAATTTAAAAATTAGGTGATGTGATGGAGAGAAAAATATATATTTTATTTTTTTATTTGAATGATGTGAGGGGATAAAGTGTGAGGTAGAGATTAAATATAATTAATTATTTCCTATTTTGGAAATGTTGTAAGGTGTTTGGGACATGTAAAAAAAGAAATGTTGCAGGGTGTTTGGGACTAATGGAGTATTTATTTTTTCTATTTTAGTCTATCTTATATAATCTGTCTTTTTTTTTAAAAAAAAAAAATATATATAATTATACATTTGAATCCCATTTTAAATTTTACTCCCTCCGTTTCATCTAAATTGTTTCACTTAGCTTAGTCACATAGTTTTAGAGGTATTGTGTAGTTAATAAGTAATTAAAAAATGTATTAGTAAAAATAATTGTGATTGAATAAAAAAAATAGATTAATTTAAATAAAAAATATAAATTATGAATTTTAAGATGTGATTAAAGTGTATAATTATATTTCAAAAAAATAATTGACAAATTATGTAAGATAAACGAAAATAGAAAGATATGACAAATTAAGTGAGACATAGGGAATATAATTTATTTATTTTTTTAATTTTAATTAAATTATTTATTTATAGTAACCTTAATCTATAATTATTTTTAGTATATAATAATTATTTTTACTCAATACATTTCTTATTACTTACTAATTATATTTTCCATTAAATTTATGTGATAGAGACACTTTAACTAGAATGAAAGAAATATTATTTTATTTACAAAATACCGTATAAAATTATTATTACATAAATTCAAACCATTCCTACCCAGAACGATTCCTTTAATATTTGAATTTTGGTTAAAATTTTTGAAATGATAAAAAATTAAATTAAAATAGTATTTACCTATATATATATTAATAAAAATTATTTTTTTTTATAATATATTATATAAAAATATATATATTCAATTTGATGCTTTACAACAATTTTTATGATGAATAATATGAAATCAAATTTAAATCTAAATTTAAAAGAAGTACACAAGGTTGGTTTCTTTTAAATATTATTCTTTTCGTATAAGTCTAGTATTTATATTTATTTTTTATACGCAATGCAATACGAGAAACATTAATATTTTAATAGTAATTAATAGATATAATAATGTAAAAATTAAATTAATTTTGTCTTTTAAATATATATATATAATAAAGTGAGAGTAAAATAATAAATAAATTTTAAAAATCTTAATAATTATTGATATGATATATAGATATTAAAAATGAAAATGTAAACATTTGAATTGGAGACGAAAATAAAAACATACAAATATTAGAAGTAGACATATGAAATATTAAAAATATATTAATATATATAATTATACAATTTATACCACCATAAAAATTCAATAATTCAATATAATTATTTTATAATTCCTCAAAGCTAACAAACAATATATCAAATCAGAAATACAATATAATATAAAGTATATATTTTATTTTTAATTAAAATAAACAAATACAAATAGTCTCCGTTGGAGGGGATAAATTAGAGGTGGCAAACCGGTTTTGCCCGGTTTTAATTTATAAGTGTTGATGCCAAATTTTCAATAATAAAAAAATAAAATTCGAAAATAGAAAATTATCTTCGAATTTGATATAATTAATATTTGAAATTAAAATTTTTTAAACATTGTACGGTACATAAATAAATTTGAAAATAAAAGACTGGAAATTAAAGGATGATCCCCGAATTACTGACTTTGATGTCGTCTGAAGATGATTGAAGATCCTCTATCAGTTACTGACCCCAATCCTTAAATACTCTTCGGAAACAGTACATGGAACCGTCGCCCGAACAGTTACAAGGCCTCCTGTCAACCGTCCACCAATTCCTCTTTTGCTGATACGCGTTCTCAACTGTCTTACCAACCGCGTCACCCAACCGACCACGCTACTGCTCTCACCCGAATCTCCGTAGCAACCGATTCGTCCGTCCAACTAGGAACCAACCGACCTGCCTGTCCGACCACGAACCTTCTAACTTACTTATCCGACTGTAGATCAACCGACCTGTGAACCGTCCGACCCGCGGACCATCCGACTTACAGGCAATCTGACTTGCCTGTCCGACTTGCGGACCATCCGACCCGTGGACTGTCCGACTTGCAGATCATCCGACTTCCGACCCGTGGACTGTCCGACTTGCAGACCATCCGACTTGCGAACCATCTGACTTACCTTTTTCCTTAGAAGGACGTCCGATTCAACCGATTACCTTGAAACACCCCCTTGATAAGTCTAACGGACCGAATTACTGTTCCACGTCTTCTTCTAGCTTGGGCCTTTTAACCTAATTATAAATTTCATACCCAACTATAAGTATTTTTTTAATATGTTTAATTTAGTTTAGGTTGTTTTCTTTTCTTATTTATTTATTATTTTCATTTTGTGACTTTAAGTATACGAATTGAATCCATGTTCTAATATTAGCACGACCAGAATTAAACTATTAGATTATATTTATTTTTTTTATATAAATTTATTTTTTAATATATTTAATTTAAAAATTGGATTGAATAAGATACAAATTGATCTTGGCGAGTTTGGGTACGACCCAGTCTATAATCATGTTGCAGCAGGCACGACCCGAATTTTTTCAGGCCTATTTGTTTAAATTTTAAACATAATTTTTTAGTATCGTGTTCAGATCGGATAGCTTTAGTTTGATTATGATTTAAAATGAAATATTGATTGAAATTTTTATTTATATGATATTTTATATATAAAAATATTTTTATTGAAATGAATATTTAATAATAATAATTTAAATTTAAATTTAAAATTACTACGTTATTATTTATTACCATTCATTTCTATGTATATGGGATAAAGATAAAATCAGAAAAATAAAAATGATCAATTTCTCAAATTTTATAAGGATGAAATCATAAAAATAAAAATGATCAATTTCTCAAATTTTATTTTATTTTTACTCAAATAAAAAAAATAATTATTTCTCTATTATTATTTCCCTTTCCCTTTTATCAAACACACCTTAAGAGTAATAAACAAAGGATTAATTATAATTTAATTATTTGTTCAACAGCAGGTAAATTATATATGCACATACATAATTTTATTTACCTACATAGATTAACTTTTTATTACTGTAGTAATATTTAAAATCTATCACTCTCACTCACAAAGCTTCTACAGAAAACCACCAATGAACGAACGAGGTCTGCACCTCGCCGTCAATGGCCGAACCATCGGAGTCGTCGTGCCGGCGCCTTCGCTCATGTCGATCTTCCCTGCTTTCTCCCAATCGAAGCACTGAATCAGCGCTCCCAGGGCGAGTCCGATGTTCATCATGGCCAAATTCTCGCCTGGACACGCGCGTCTCCCCAATCCGAATGGTAGAAGCTTAATCCCCAATTCTCGCTTCCCCTCCACACCTTCAAATCTCTCCGGCCGGAATCTCTCCGGCTCATCCCACAATTCCGCGCTGTGATGAATTTCCCAAATGTTCAGCAGGAGCACTGTGCCGGCGGGGATTCGGTAACCGCCGACGGTGCAATCGGCGGAGGAGAGGTGCGGCATCAGAATCGAGACAGGAGGATGCAGACGCATCGTTTCGAGGATGATTTGCCGGAGATATGGCAGCTCCGCCACGTCCGCCTCGGTAATCAATCGATTGTGCCCTACGCGCGCGTCAATTTCGGCTCGAGCTTTTTCTAGGGTTTCTGGATTGTGGAGCAATAAGGTGAACGCCCATTCTAGAGCAATTGATGAAGTTGAAGCTCCTCCTTGCAGCAACACCTGAATGAAATTCAACTGTAAGATTCCTATCCATTAATTTCAATCCAAAAATTTCAGATACAGAACATCTTCATATGATTCCCCCTGCATTCTTCCTTATACAATTGATTGATTACTGATGGTCATTTTCATCACAATTGACAATCCCTAATGCCACAAATATCATCTGGAATTGTTCAAGTAATTAATTGTTCGCTTATTGCTGGAAAATCGATAGATCCATTGATTGAAAATGATCTTAGCTCCATTATGACAGGCAGTTAGTAGATTGTTGTCATAGTTAAGGTATATATCCATCATTTCACATCACTATAATCAACTCTTCAATTATTTAATAAACTCTCAATTATTGAATATCCCAAAATGGATCCCACTTAATTATTAGCAAGATAATCAAGAATGATTGCCAAAATATGATTGATCTTACCAGTAAAAGATCCTTGATGGTTTCATCTGTGTAATATTCAGGTTCAGATCTTTGCAAATCGAGCAACACTTCGACCATCGGTTTCCTCTTAATAGGGGAAGATTTATTATCCCTGTCGTTACTTTGCATGATTATTCGATGCTCATCTACAACTTGCTGCATAAACTTATCTCTCTTCTTCTGTATCGAACGTAGTTTCTTTTCAACATTGAACCCGAACCACCGCATGATAGGCAAGAAATCGACCACTGTTGTCTGTAATGCCATCTTTGATGTCTCTGTCGTGATTTCCTCGAGTAATTTGGTTTCTTTAGATTTCTCCATGTTCTTGCCATAGTACCTGCAATGGATGATATTAATCTGCCTGTTTTTATATGTCATATTCGACTAAAACTGTTGGTTATTAGTTATTTACCTCTTTCCTGTGATCATTCTTGTCAGGACATTAAACATGTACTCGAAAAGGGCTGATTTCACTCCAATAACTTCAAGATTCTCTTTCTCAGTGACATGAAACAGTTTCCGGACCATGCTCATCGCCTCGTCGCCTCTGATGTGAGAAAACATCTGCAACCTCTTGTTCGACAGCAGCTCCAGCGACGAAATCCTCCTGAGGTTCCTCCAATGGTCGCCATACGAAGCCCATGAAAGACTCCTGTAATTATACCCAAAGTACTTCCCATTAAGAAGATCCGGCCTGTTGGCGAAGACCACGTCGTTCTTGTTACTCAAGCACTCTTCTGCAAGAGATGCAGATGAGATTAGAAGCACGGGCCTCGACCCCAGCTTCAGAAACAAGGCCGGGCCGTATCTCCTCGACACCTCCGACAAACTCCGGTGGAAAGGCTGCCTGAGCATGTAAATATGCCCGATCAGCGGCAGCGACGGAAACGGGCTCGCGGGAAAATTCCTCAGCTTGTTCAGGAAATGAACTGTTATGCTGTACAAGGCTACAAGAATCACTGGTGACAAATACAGGTAAAGATTTTCCATTGCAGATAGATGATGATGATGATGATGATGATGATGATCAATAAATATATATTTATTGTTTATTAATTTTCTTTTTTTGTGTTCTAACAAATGGTGTAAATGGTGGGTTTTATAGAGGAAATTTTATGGGAGAAAATCAGGCATTGTCTGAAACAGTAGGAGGCATAAAAATGGTGGTTTGAGTTGGGGAATTGCCTTTTATAGAAGGAGGAAGAAGAAGCGTGGTATTGGTAGTTGAGTTGTTAGTGTAAGGAAGAAGCGTGCTTTTGTTGAGTAGCGTTTTTTGTTATAGGAGCACGTGAAGACGCGTTTTTATTGCAGTGCAGGGATAAGATCTCATTAATTAGTGCTGATGGTGAAGTGCGACTTTCCGCGCTGCATTTGACGCTTCGTTAGTTATGCTTAACTTAGGCAGTAGCGGTTTTATTTTATTTGAACGTGTCAATGTTTTCGCCAATATCTAAAGTCAAGCTGAATTATTTCTGGATAATAATAATATTATTAATTTTACATTTATATATATATTTTTACTCAGATATTTTTAATAAATATATTAAAACGTATAAACACATACAAATATTAATATAATATATATCATCTAATAATATTATATTAACAGTGAGTGTAAAAATATTTTCTAAAATAATAAAATGTCCTTATTTTATATAATAATTGTGAAAAAATGAAGATAATTTTATAAAAAAATTGAGAGCTTGTTACAAAAAATGAAAATGAGATTATTATTTTACTACGGACAAAAATGACAAAATGAGACTATTACTTCATCCGTCCACTTACAATGTTTACATATTTCTATTTTGGGACGTCCAATTACAAAGTTAACATTTCATTAAATATCATATTTTTTTCCACAAATACCCTTACTTTATATCACATCATTACTTTTACACAAAAAAAAATAAGGACAAAAATATCATTATACTACTTTTAATTACTCACCGCGCCAAAAGTAAATGTAAACCTTGTAAATGGACAGAAGGAGTATTTTTTAACCGAGAGAGTATCTTTTATATTATCAATACAATTTCTCATACCACATACTGATTATATATATATTGATTTACTTTAATCTCATTTTGTTTTATAATTTGATTTTGTTTTTCGTTTTTGGTTTTGTAGTTAGATTTGCGTAGTAAAAAATATTAGAACCGAACTTCAATTTGGTGTTTTATTTATTTTTACATCTATGCAGATTCATTTGTTTATTTATTTTTTTCTATTTGACTTTTCAATACATTTTAAAAGAACACTTGTATTTAATACATTATGTTTTTTTTTTTTATCAAAAAATATTAAACAATTATTTTATTTTAAATTTCATATTAAAATACAAAAATAAAATTCCAAATATAAAAATTCATTATATATATATTTGATTTATCACAATACATTCGTTTACATTACTTTTAAATTATTTATTACAATTAAAATACTAATAAGTAAATATATCTTTTTAATCTGAACGGAGAAAATATAATATTAAGTTGAGAAAAAAATATTATTATTTTTGCCCACTAAAATTATATACATATATATTTCCACAAAAATATAATTTTCATTTATAGAAACAATTGTTATTCATTCTTTAATTTTTCCTCTTTATTATTGTAATACTTATTTATAAAATATTAGCTACTTACACACTAAATTTATAAAAAAAAAAAAATTCACTTCATTAACTTACTTATATACCTTTCAAAATATTCATATTTTATGTTACAATCAGCTAATATAATTATATATTCATTAAAAATATGCATCTAATTCAAATAAACATATATTTAGTAAACATAAAAAGTACTCTCCTTTCTCACATAAAATATTCATATTTTTTTTTTTTTCAGTCAGTCTCATAAAATTCATTATTTTGTTTACAATATAATTATAATTTTAATCACATTTTAAAATTTATAATTTATAATTTTTTTTAATTTTAATTAAATTATTTAATTATTTTAATTTATAATTATTTTTATTAATATATTTTTTAATTATTTACTAATTATACTTTATTTAAATTTTCGTGTTTACAGCAATATAAACATATTATCCCGAACAGAAAAAATATATTTTTATTGAAAATCACCTAATTTAAATAGTAAAATATATATATATATATATATAAAAGTGCAAATGAGCTAACCCTCTGACTTTTCATAAACATTTTGGTGGTCTTCTTTAAGGTGTGTTTGTTTGGGAGATTCTCCCAAACTTTTACTGTTCATAAAAATTTTTCAATCTTAAAAATATCAAATTAAACATTTATTTTTTATTTTTTATATTATATCAAAAATTAATTTTATATTTAAAATATCACATCAACACCTATTTATATTATATCATATAACTATTCAAATCCAAACTCAAAATCCAAACCACCGAACGTTATTTTTTAAGTGGTGCTATAATCACATTATTTTTATATACTTTAGTACTCCCTCGTCCCATGTAATATGGGTGTATTACGGTTGACATTGGAATTTAAGTAAAATATAATTAGTAAGTAATTAAAAAATGTATTAGTAAAAATAATTATTATTTAGTAAAAATAATTATATATTAAGATTAAGATAAGTAAATAGTTTAATTAAAATTAAGAAAATTATAAAATTTAAAATGCGATTAAAGTGCATAATTATATTTCAAAAATAAAAAGGACAAGTTATGTGGGACGGACCAAAATAAAAAATAGGAGGGAATATATTTTAAAAAACTATAATACAATGTAGTTTTAGTCCAATATTATATATAAGTGTATATATCATTTTTATTTTATCTGTAAAACTAGCAACTTATGTACTTTTTAATTAATTTAGCCTTTGACTATCAATTAAATAAGAAATAAATTAATTTTCATAAATAATAGTTAAGAATATATATCATAGAATAATATATGTGATCGTATTAAAGTATAGCGTGTCAGACACTAAAATTGAAATATTCGTTGACTATCAATTAAATAAAAAATTTATTTAATATTGTGATTTATTCTATAGTTTAATATAAATTTAAATAATATGTGTATATATATCATTAACGCATGTAATCATATTAAAGTTTAATGGATCGAGGAGTTATACACTAATATATATGGATAAACATTGCAGTTTTTTTTTTTCTTTTTTCTTTAAAAAAAATAATAAATAAATTTTCATTTTTTTTGTTATTATTATTAATTTTTAGGGAAAAATTCATTTTTGGTCTAAATATAACAAAAATTTATAAATTTTGGTTTCAATAAAAATTTTATCAATTTTGGTTCCAATATAATCAAAATTTATCATTTTTTATCCCAATATACCAAAACTCATCATTTTTGGTTCAAATTTCAAATTTTTAACAATTTTAGTCCCAATATAATCAAAACTCATCATTTTTTGTCCCAATATAATCAAATTTTATCGTTTTTGGTCCTACCGTCAACAAACTGACGAAAAATGCTGACGTGGACTTGTAAGATTGTGCAATTTCTTTGAATATAAATATAAAGTTTGATTTCTTTTCACGTCAAAAGTTTTCGTCGGTTTGTTGACGGTATGACAAAAAAAAGATAATGTTTGATTATATTTGGATAAAAAATGACGAGTTTTGGTTATATTTAGACTAAAACTGATAAAAATTTTATGTTTGGACCAAAAATAATGAATTATGGTTATATTGAGGCTAAAATTGATAAGATTTTTATATTGGAACAAAAATTGATGAATATTGATTATATTAATACTAAAATAATTTTTTTCCATTTTTTTAATATTTGAACTGTGTGTGGGGATCTATCCATACACACCTTTCTATAATTCAAATTTAATTTTAACATGTCATAATTTTTTTTAAAAAAATTTCTATTGAATATAATACATGATCGATAATTTTATTGTATATCTTTTTTAATTAAATTATTTATAAATATGATATCAAATTAAAATGTTTAATCTATTTTAATTCGGTGTGCTTTATGATAGATTTATCATTTTTATTTATAAATTAATCATTAATACCGCATTATTTTATATAATTATTATTTTTAATACAGTTATAGCATTTTGAAAACTTTTATACAACAAATATATACTACTCCATAATTTTAATATTATATAATTAAAAGTAGTGATTTGATGTGATATAAATAAAATATGTGAGATTTTAAATATATAATAATTTTATACTTCCTCCGTCCAATTTCTATTATCTTAAAGTATATCTGCACAGTTTTTTAGGTGATTTGTCTTTTTGTTATGAATTGACAAACTTGCCTTTAATTGTATGACAGAGATTAAAAGTAATAAATGAATGAAGGGTAAAAATGCAAAATTTATGTTTAAAAAATGAAATATGACAATAGTTGTTGGATGTCTCAAATAGCAAAGTAGGACATTAGTTTGTGGACGAGGCAATAATATAATATAAAAAAAATAATTATTTTATTTGATATTTTTGAAGTAAAATTTGTTATAAAATTTAAAAAAAACACAACATATATATTGGCATTATTTATATCTATAAAACGTACATGTTCTTTCTTACAAAATACTATATTATATCAAAATATTATTTTAATAAAAATTTAAATCAATATTTCACTAACCAAACATATCTTACATAAAAGAATGAAATTAACTTAATAAGATTTTAATGTATAATTTCTTGTTTCGGTTTGAAATTGATAAATAAAAAGTTGATATAAATTTTTATTTAAATATTATTTTGATATAATGTTTTATATATATAAAAAAGACAATACATTTAATTGTTTAAAATATTTATTCTATTTTTAGAAAATGTGGCCTTTATTATGCATTATAAATATTATCATATTTATGGGTATGCTTGTTTTTTTATTCGAAAAAAAATACTCCCTCCGTTCCCAATCTATCTATTCATTTGCTTTTTGCACGAAATTTTAAAAATATTAATATTATATTAGAATAAAGTAGAAATAAAGGTAAAAAGACTAAATTAACCCTATTAGTATTGTATGATATAAAGGTAATGACATTTGTGTAATATATTGTAAATTAGAAGGGTATTTGTAATGTTAGGTAGATAGTACAATTACTAAAAAAGGAAACAGATACTTTGTTATGGGACGAACCAAAATAGAAAAATTGATAGATTGTTAAGAGACGGGGGGAGTAATATTAGCTATTCAATGAATGATAAAAATATACTATTTTTGTCCGATCATATTAATTATTATATCAAAATATAAATAAATAAAAAATAAAAATGCATCTATTATTTTTTTATAATACAAATATAATAATATTTGAGAGTAAATTATATAATATAAAAATATTTTTAATATTAAATATAATAATGTAAAAACAACGGTATAATTCTTGATTGAACGGTATTATTTTATTTCATAAAATATCAAATAATATATCACTTAAACAAAAATTTTAATTAACATTTTATTTCAAATAAAAATTATTTATATAATATATATATATATATAGTCAACCATTATATGTTTTTATTATTTCCCTAAACCCTAAACAAAAATATATTGTTTAATTTTATCATACATCACATAATTCACATTAAATATGGATTAAATTGCACAAAATTCATCGTTTCCCCATACTTATAAAACTATGTCAAATTCTCTCGTGGTTTCGTAAATTTTGCGTCTACGAATAAATTTTAGAACTTCAATTTCTAAACCCCTAAACTTACAAATATATTTATTTATATTTACCCTAAAAAAATAGTAAATATACTAAAAAATAGTTATTTTTTATCGGGTTTTAAGAGTTTATTTTTACTATTTTTTTTAGGATAAATGTATTTGTAATTTTAGGGATTTAGAAATTGAGATTCTAAAATTTATTCGCAGTTTGAACATATTTAGGTCAAATACCGTTAAATAAGGATGCTGTGAAGGTTAGACGCAAAATTTATAAAATCACGAAAAAATTTGATACAGTTTTAGAAATACGAAAAATTTGATTTAGCCTTCAATCTTTATTGTACGAACTCTAACTACTTGTACAAATCCAAACTAGATAAGCCCATGTTTATCAATATGGAGTATAATTTAATTTTTAAAAAATTAAAATGTAATTTAATAATAATAATAACAATTATTATTATTATTATTATTATTATTATTATTATTATTATTATATATCTTTTAGTGAGTGTAATCATATTAAAGTTTAGTAAATTGAGAAGTCAGACACTAAAATTAAAATGGATCAAGACATCAATCTTTATTTTTCTTTTTTCTTTAAGATTCTTCAAATATTGATAATTTATTTTCTTTAAAATAAAATGGTTTTGTTCACTCAAACCTGACACAATCCCTATTATATACAGTATTATTATATTATTTCACAAAAAATTAATAATTAATTCAAAATATTATATTATATTTTATTTTATTTTAATAATACAAATTTTCAAATTTTCAAATTAAAAAATACTTTAAATTAAATACTAGACAAACACGCAATTTATATTTTTTGACCTAAATAATTGTTGAATGTTTTATAAATTAGATTGCATAATAAAAAAGTTAAAAATAAATAAATAAATAAATAAAAATTAATGTGAATGGAGCCGAAGATACATCGATAAAAATAAAAACAAATATGTGTGTGGTCACAATACTTTTTTTTAGATGTAAGTTTTGAATTAAATAATAGTTTGATGGGTTGTTTTGAAAAAAAAAAAAAAAAAAATCTTTTCTTGAGAGTAACGAAGTTTTATTTTATTTTATTTTACTTTATAATATTATTGTCTTTTAGATATGTCCGTTAAATTTATTTCATAATTAATTTTATCATAATTAATTTTATCACAGTCAATAAATTAATATTTAATTATTATTCTTAATTTAAAATTTATTTACAACAAATACCATTAAATTTATTATATATATTTTTTATTTACTTTTATCATTTTCTCAATATATATATATATTTTTAATCTTCATATCGACTCAAAGTGGGCTAATTTTTATGGACCAAGAGGAATATTATTTTCAGACAAACAAATGTGAGAAACAAAATTATAGACTTTGATGAATGTGCTCATATGTGTGAATATATAGTCCCTCCGTCTTATATCTATACATCTATTTACTTTTTGCACAGAGTTTTAGAAATATTAGTATTGTATTATGATAAAGTATAAATAAAGGTAAAAAATCTAAATTAATCATATTAGTATTGTATGATATAAAGGTAACGACATTTGTATAATTTATTGTAATTTGAAAATGTATTTGTAATGTTAGTTAGATAGTACAATTACTAAAAAAAAATAAAATAAACTTTATTATGAGACGAACAAAAATAAAAAAAATGGATAAATAATTGTTAAGGTACGGAAGAAGTGGTTTTCTTCTCTCAACACCATTTTTAATTGTAACTTTTTTTAAAAAATAATAATAAACATAAAATGTTTTATACTAAAGTCAAAAAAGAATATTCATTATAGCCTTAAAAAAGTCACTAAAAAAATCAAAATATTCAACCTAAAATAATAATATATTTTATATTTTTGACATAATTATCAATATCATATGCTCCATCCGTCCACAAATTAACGTCCTATTTTTCTATTTTGGGACGTCCAACAACTATTGTCATATTTCTTTTTTTAAACACAAATTTTACATTTTTACCTTTCATTCATTTATTATTTTTAATTTCTATCATACAACTAAGAGTAAAATTGTCAATTCATAACAAAAAGACAATTACCTAAAAATTGTGCAAATATACTTTAGGACAATAGAAATTGGACGGAGGAAATATGCATATATATATATATATATATAATCATTTAATAAAAAATGCTATGTGTGTGGAGAGAGTTACCGTCTTAGATAAACCTATAACATTTTCTTTTATAAAATATTATATTAAAATAATATTTAAATAACAATTAGAATTAAATATTATATTTAAATCATTTCAAATCAGAATCCTGAAAAATCTTAAAATCTTCGTAATTATAACATGCACCCTAATGTTTATTTATTTTTTTGTATATTTTGATTGGTTAATCATTAAAGTAATTATATATATATATCAAAATTCAACTTATTAACTATGGTTCAATCGAGAATTTATTGGTACACATTCGAATAATAACAGTTGTCATGAAATTCTTATATCATAAAAATATACTTTTTTTTTTTTTCACATCTTTTGTTTGATTTACCGTAGAAACGAGAATTCAGGTAAAATATAATTAATAAATAATTAATAAATGTATGTATAATTATTTTTCTTAAGAAAAAAAAAATGGACAAATAAGATGAGACTGACAAAAATAAAAATAATGGATAAATAAAGTGGGACACAAAGAGTATCTATCTCCCTATGTCATATTTGAAAGAGGTCTTTAGGTGGTTTTGTAGTAAATTAAAAATGATAATATTTTATTAATCAGTAAAAATGTGTAGAATTTTAACATTTTTATTTATTGATTTGATGTAAAAAGTATTAATATATATAATGATATATTTGTTATTTAAATAATAATAAAATATATTTTGATATTAGTATATAATTATTTTTGCTAACAAAATTAAAATACACTTTTTGAGTAAAACAAACAAAAACAAAAATAATAAAATAATTTGAATGGATACAAAACAAGTATAAAGTATGTAGAATAAAACTATTCTAAATATTGAGTAATATAATAAGAATAATAATAAGGAGAAGAAGAAGGAGTAATATCAAAGGCATGTGGACTACATCTTTCTCGTTAGGGTAAATAATTCAAGATTGAAAGTTAAATAATTTAATCATTAAAATAATATATAATTTTTTTTTACAAATATTTTTTTTAGTATTATAAAAATTATTTTTATATATATATTTTTTTAATTTGTCCTGCGTTTTGATATAATCATTAAAATTCAAAGATTATCATGCAAAAAATTAAATATAATCCTTAGAATCGAACGAAATGAATATTATTATTCTTTCATTATCGTCTCAATATCAAATATTCTATCATGGAGTATTTACATACTCCCTCCGTCCCAAATATCGTGTCTGCTACACTGTATACGCGGTATTTTAAAAGGAAGAGTGTAATTAGTAGATAATTAAAAATGTATTAATGAAAATAATTATCCTATAATATAAATAATTATAAATTAAGATTAAGATAACTAATTAGTTTAATTAAAATTTAAAAAAATAAAATGAAATTAAAGTGTATAATATTAAAAAAAAAAAAAAAAAAAGTGACGTGGTGGTACGTGGGATGGAACAAGAACTAATTATCGTAGAAGGTAAAGTCGGTTGTGGGGTACAACTATTGTTTCACAGGGTACAACATTGCAGAAGCAAGGTGATGGGAGCCTGAGACCAACGACCCTATAAATGCACATATAAAACCTGTTTATCGTCTTCCCCTGGTTGCTCAGTCCGCACGCCTGCGATTTGAATACTTTTGATTTCGGAGGGAGAGTCAGAGAGAGCTGCCTCGGTAAAATCAAACACTTGTTAATTTCCTAATTTATCGAAGATCGCGTATGCAGATGATACCAAATCGTCGAAGACCTAGGGTTCTTACTTTGTTGTTGTTTATTTGCTCGGCTGTTGTGACCTACTTTCCTGGTAAGTTTTATCCAGAACGATTTATCTTTAGATTTAAAGATTGCAAGGTGTGGATAAATCTTTGGAAATTATTTATTGGATGCGATCGTCGTGTGCTCTGTTTGTGCGTAGGAATTTCTGCTGTTGATATTGTGTGTTCCGGATGAATAATAATATACTGATATTATTCGAAGTAATTGGATTTCTATAAACTGATCATTTTTAGCTTGGATTTGTATAAGTAGCAGTGATTGCATGATTGCATCTGATAGAAATTTGAGCGTATTTATGAAACTCAGGGGTGTAGAGTCTGTCAAATATTCACCGCCTCATTTGCACGATCAAAATTTACCACACAAAAGGAGATGATGTATGAGATGATTGCCTAAGATATATATGAATTTTCAACCTGTATGTTTATGGATGGATGCCTGCCATTAGTGAATGTGAAGATAAATTGATACTGAATTTTTCTACATTCTGCAGCGCTGGTACCAGCTGCAGTTGTTACACTTGATTCCATTGAACTATTCAGGACGCACGAATGGCTTCCCACAAAGCCTACAATTTATTTTCAGTGCAAAGGGGAGAACGTTACATTTTTACCTGATGTGAAGGAAAAACATGTCTTCTATGCCTTTAAGGGTCAAGAATCCTGGCAGGTAAATTGTTCTTGCTATGATCAATTGTGAGCTTTCTCCTTCTCTTCAATTTTGCAGTGCTGTATTCTCTTAGAAATGCAGCATGAATTAGATAGTAGATTATATTGCTGAAATCTTCATGGAAATTCAACTAGTACATGAAGGTAATTCCTCATGTAAAGAACTTTGTGTAGCAGTAATTTAAGGAGCTTTATCATTCTGGGAAATCTTCTACCTTCCACTTTGGCAGGACTTTTAGCTCGGCACTATTATTTATTTATTTATTTTGACATTAGCAATGTGTGTAGTATGTGTTCTTCTGTTCTGTAGATGAGGAGTTTCAATTATGTTTTGATAATATTTACCTTATATACATACATACCCTATTACATAATGATTGATATGATTAGATTTTAAATGTATTGGTATTTGATTTGCTTCACATATGCCATTCTTTTTTAAATTCAAAGTCGAATATATAATTGATTAAATTCTAAACATTTATGTAGACACATACCTAAATATATAAGATAAAAATTTATATATCGGTTGTATGAGTCTTATGGGGTGTAAGATTTTAAACTTACGTAAATATTTGGTAAATCTAAGTAATCATAACAATGTGGTTCTTAGTGTTATGCTGTTGAACCTATCTCACATTTCTTTGATTCTACTCAGCATAGCAAATACTATTACTACTACTACTACTAAATGTGCTTATTACTGTTTCAGCCTCTAACAGAACTCCAAGACAATAAGTGCAAACGCTGCGGCATATACGAGAAAGATACTTTGAAATCAGACGACGTATTTGACGAGTGGGAGTTCTGTGCATCTGATTTCACAAGCTCTGATGGGAAATACATTCACTACAAAGACAAAGAGCTAAATGCCACATTTTTATGCCCAGAATGTGTCCCTCTCGGAAGCGGTAACTTCCTATCCTATCATCAGGATATTATTTTTCTTCATCCCTTATATATCAGAGCCCATTGTTCTCTACTAAATTTTTATATCGGCTTATTATCTTTAGCTTCGGATCATTCACCCAAATCGAACAATAGCTCTCAGACTATGCACTGGGCCCTGATATTGCTCATCTCCGCTTTAGTATTATCAGTACTCGTCGGCGCAACAGTGGTTGCGTACAAGTACTGGAAAAGGAGAAAGCAGGAGCAAGAGCATGCTCGTTTTCTAAGGATGTTCGATGAAGACGACGATATCGAGGATGAGTTGGGCATTGGTCCCCTTAGCCATACTGTTTGACATACAATGATTAAGGCTTCATTTCCTATCCCCATAACTTTATGTACATATATAGATCTTCAAATTCATCACCATTGATCAGAAAGCAGAGATTGGATAGTGTATTGTTTGGTCATAGAAGCAGGTCACATTATCTTCTGTTAAGTGAATATTTTGGTTTAGAGCTGTTAAACGGTTTGTGAACTCGGCTTGGTTCAGCTCGACTTGACTCGGTTAAAACCTGTTTGCGAACATTAACGAGCTAAACAACACAAACAGGGTCATTCGTTTGAACGAATCTGAACTTTGTTCGCGAGCATTCGTTTAAATAATATATTTATTATAAATATTATATATATAATTATAATTTATAAATAAATAAATAAAATATTAATTTAAAATATATAAATAAAATAATTTTATATTTTCTTTTTAATTTATATATAAATTAAAAAAAGTGAAACAAATTATTCAAACGAACTTAATTGAGCTTAAATGAACCAAATACGAACAACAAAAATTCTTAACAAACCAAACTCGAACACTACGAATGAATTCAAAAGTTAAACGAACGAACACACCAACCTTATTCACAAACATTAACTAACACTTAAAGTTAACAGCTCTAGTTGTGTTGAAATGAACTCATAAGCACAACACAAAGATTGAAAATGCTTATACGATATGACATGATGTCCACGGTTGAATCGGTTCTTCCAAAAGTAAAAAGCAACAAATAAGGAGTGCAGGCAGAGGCAAATATGTAATTATAGTATCATCCACCAACCAAACATAGCAACCAACATTCAAGGAGATTCGCTTCCCCGGGGAAGCCGGTTGTCACCATTGGCGTCATCTTCATCATCATCCACCGGGCTTCTGTCGTCCCTAGGGCTGGGGCTACGGTCATGATCCCGACCATTGGCGGCCGCAGCAGCAGCAGCATAAGGGCTTTCGTCGTACTTTTTTGCTGCAGGGCTTCGGCTAGACTCCTTTGGGCTGTTGCTATACCTGTCTCTGTCTTGGTTTGTTTCAGCTCGGCTTCTAACCGGAGGAGAAAGGGATCTCTCTCTCGGGCCATCACCGTCGGGTGTCGGACTGCGCTTCCCCGTCTCGGCGGGTGAGCTCCCCCTTCTTGGTTCAGGGCTTCGACCACGTGGGCTTCTTGATCGCCTATCTCTGTAATCGGCGTCACGTCCTCTTTTCACAGGAGACCTTGATCGGCTGGAGACAGACAGACAAATAAACGTCAGCACTCATTGATATAAGCAGAATAATAGTCTACGAGTTTTGTATATCTGGAAGTAATACAACTTATTAAACCTGTAGCTGCGACTTCTGCTGAAACTTCTACTCCTGCTACGGCCGCGGCGGGGTGAGGGTGACCTTACTGGTGATCTTGAGTAACTCCGGCCTCGTCCGCTGATGCATCACATCACAGAAAAAGGAATGAGTCGTAACACAAACAGCATGCAACAGGCTATGATGGTGAAAATGGTTTATTCAGAACATCAAACAATCAAAACAAAAAAAATTAAACAGAAATGAATATTATATATAAATAGAGCTGTTAAACGAATTGAGCCGTTCATGAAATCGGTTAAAGCTTGTTCGCCAACGTTAACAAACCAAGCCAACCAAACGAGTCCAAACTTTGTTTGCAAACATTCATTAAAATAATATATTTATTATAAATATTATATATACATATAAAATTGTAATTTATAAATAAATAACATATCAGTTTAAAATAAATAAATAAAATAATTTTAAAATTTCTTTTTTAACTTATATATAAATTACAAAAAAGTGAGACAAACGAGCTTAACACAAACGAGCTGAACTCAAACACTACGAACGAGCTCAAAAGCTTAACAACGAACACGAGCTTTGTTCGGGAACGTTAACGAACGAACATGAACACTTAAAATTCAGTTCAGCTCGGGTTGGCTCATCAACAGCTCTATATACAAGCCAACTTCAGCAGGTAAATAAATCAGTAGCAAAATGGTGTTTGTTTGAAGTATCTTAGGTAATTTGTACTATTCCCACAAAATTTTCTCTCCAAAAACATTAAAGCAAATACTTATTATTTTTTATATTATACTAGAAATCAATTTTACTTTCAGAACATCACATCAATAGTTATTTTTACATTCAAATCTTAATACAAAATCCAAACCCCCAAACAAACACAAACTAACTCCTTAATTTAAACTGATCAACCTAATACTTAAAAATATATCACAATCACTTCCACATTAAAATTTGTCCGAAAGTTTCTATCTCATTTATTTATATACTTCCTAAGTTCAATCTACTTTATGTCATAATCGACTAATATATTAATTAACACTTACGTCCACCTCAAATGAGCATATATTTACTAGATAGACAATCAAACAATCAGGACAAGAAAATCAAAATTTTAAACAGAAATGAATATTATAGAAGAACATATATACAAAGCCAAATTCGACAAGTAAGGAAATCAGTAGCAAAATTAAGCCGATCAACCTAATGCTCGCAAATATATTTATCACAATTCATTTACATATTAAATTTGTCCAAAATTTTCTATCTCATTTATTTATATACTTCCCAAATTCAATCTACTTTATGCCATAATCGACTAATATATTTATCAACACTTATGTCCACCTCAAATGAGCATAGCATATATTTACTAGACGGAGATGGTATCATGTAATTTATACTTTACCTGACTTTCTTAGGACTGTTTGGGCAGTTTCTTTCAATGTGACCTCTTTCCCCGCAGCCGTAACATTTATTTTTCCAATCTCCAGCTTTGCAATCACGGGCCCAATGGCCGTCAATGCCGCAGTTGAAGCAGCGCCCGGAGCCTGGGGCAGGGCCTCTCCCAACATACTCTCGAATGCCACCAGGTCCACGTGGCACCTGCATTCCATAAAATTAAACATAATGCAACAATTAGTTTTGTACCGAGCATAAGAATGCAATAAAAAACAGTGCTTGATCTGCATAGTAATAAAAATCAAGTGACTTACACCCTTGGCAAATTCCACAATGATGCGACGTCCATCGACGTCTCTTCCATCCAGGCTATATCTTGCGTCATCAGCATCCCGAGGATCACTAAACTCCTGCATTATTGTGAAGGAACAGAAAACAGCAACACAAACCCGATAGTTTGCAATGAAATTTATGCAATTAGCTAAATCACACATATGGAGTACATAATGTATTCGAAGAGAAAGGTGGCAAAAGAACATACGACAAAGGCGTAATCCCGCTTCATATCCACATCGCGTACTCTGCGGAAACGGTTTCCAGAAACAGTAAGGCCATCATAACGACTTACGTACAGCAGTTCATGAAACTTGGTCCTCAAGACGTACTAAACACCAGTTTGATTTTGCAAATTTCCATCATAAAATCATGCAAAGACAACACAGAAAATTGCCAAAGGCTTCTAAGAACCGCCAAGTCCACCCTCCCGCCATTGACCACCAGGTCAGGCAAAGTCCACCCTCCCACCATTGACCACCAGGTCAGGCAAAGGATCAGAAACCTTCAACGAAATCATTTGAAGTCAAAACTCAAAAGAGCCTAGGACACAGTTCTCCTTACATAGAACGAGATTACACAGTTGGTCGAGTAAGGACGCCTTAAAAGCAATCATGTTCTTACTCATAGCCGGGAAGCTAAAATTATGTCATAAGGTTGCAGATTCCTTTTGCAGAATCAATATAATCAGAAAGAATATTGAAAAGTTCAATCCAGCCAACAAGGTATAATCAATCATTACTTATGTTTGTAAAACTTAAATTACAGTGAACTGACTCAATGCAGCCATAACTAATTACCTTTTTCCACAGCATTGGAGGACCAAGTTGAGAAATTTAAGCGTTTTTCACAAAATAAACTAATCAGCTTATAAATAAGAGTGAAATGATTGTATCTATTACGAGATTAAATGCAGATCAGATTTCAATGTAAGTTCGACTCCAGAGTCATAAATCTTCAACACCAAGTGAATTAAACTATCTTAGTAAAATTGGTCACAAATTATAGGATAGGTAATCCATTACCTTCCATATCTACTGAAAATATGTTCCAGATCCCAAGAGCGGGTTTTTGAAGACAAGTGGCCAACGTAGAGGCGTGTGGTGCTTCCATGTCGATCTTCATAGCGAGGCATTTTTGGGCTGCAGAAGTAGCGTTTCAATAACAATCAGAACATCTAAAATTCAAAGTCCCATTGCAATTTATTTCAGACAATGGCAAAATAATAATGCAGCGGCCAAACAAAATTAAACTCAATTGAAAACAAAACAGCAAGTTGAAAATAGCTTTACATAACAGCGAATCATGCTTCAATAAAATAAATTATCGACTAAACCACAAGCACAGCAATGTATTTCCTAAATCACCTTATCCACACCACCTAACAAAAGTTCAACAACGCCATTTACTTCCATCCCCTTCGGACTAAAGTAAAAGGCAGAAATCAAACTGAGACACAACCAAATCTCCACCGACCGCAACAAACACACGCCACAGTTCATTCACAAAAATCAAATGCACGCTACTTTCGGAAACCAGGGCAATCAGTTAACCTAATTTACAATTAAAATCAAATCCGAATCCAGCAAACCAAACTACTTCAGAATTTTTTTATAAAAAAAAGTCATCCACCACAGGAACAAATTGAATCCCCGAAGCAAACTCATCCACAGAAAAACTACATAAAAAGCAATTATATAATACCACACATCACCGCGAAAGCCACAATCAAAACCATCCAAAAAACTGAAGTGAAGCAAAGCAAAAGCATCTATCATCAGCACGTATAGACCGGACCGCCAACGAATTTAAATCTAAGAGATTACCTCTCGGAAGAAATTCCGGAATCCGAAACCCTAGTTTTTCACGCACAGCAAACGTAGAGCAAGCGAAATGCGTGATCTCGGGTATTCATTCGCCCTAACCGACATAGATCGACGGTCAGGATTCGTTCATCAAGGCCCATTATGAACCCAATATATTAAAGGCCTAATATAAAACCCTAAAAAACAAATCCACCGTCATCCGTACGCCCAGCCCATTTGGACTTCAATACAGCATAAAAAAGTAGTCTGTGTTTACATATGTTTTTAATCTTACTATTGTTCTATTTAACCCCCCTCAAAAAAAAAAAAAAAAAAAAAAAAACCTCTATACTTGAAAGGAAAACTTTTAAAAGATATATATTTTTTAATTTAAATATTATATTAAAAAAAATTATGCTAGATTAAAACATCTATTTTATAAATTTTGCACTATTACCGAGACAATATAAAAATAAAAATTAAAAAAAAAAAAAAAAAAAACTCTAGAAGGATCCTTTGGTTTGATTGGGTTGGATTTGATATTGGATTTTAAATAAATAAATTTGAATAATTTAGTATTTAAGATAGTTTATACTTTAACACTGATTATTTGATTCTACGAGATATTTGAAATGGTTATTTAAAATATATAGAAATAAATTAATAAGTTTAACATTCAATTTTAAAATTTAAAATACATCGTATTTCAAATGAAAAATAAGGATTTAGACAAAATCCCTCATCCTAAAAGGGGCCTAAAGTGCTCTATGAAATTTTTAGTAACAGAAATTGATGCGATATTTTGAATATAAATAAATTTATAGTATATTATAAAAAGAATAATAATAATTGTTTGATGTGATATTTTTGGAGGGAAAAAAAGAATATTAATAAAAAAAAAACTGTGGTAAAATAAAAAAATAAAAAATAAAAAAATAAAAAAAAACACAACCTAAGAATGTGTTTGGGGTGAGTGTTTGAATTTTGGATTTGGATTTTGAACTGTAATAATTGAAATTTGAAGAGTTATACAAGTAATATAAATTGATATGTATTTGTGTAATATCTTTAATATAAAAATTAATATTTAAACATAATATAAAAAATAAAATAAATATTTGATTTGATATTTTTAAAGAAACAAATAAATAGATAGTAAAATTCCGCTAAAATCTTCCCACCAACCATCTACCATTAGTTGATAAATATTACTCTTTCTGTCTCACATAAAATTTTCATTTTTTCATTTACGTTTCACATCATTTGTTTTTGTTTTTTTTTTCTGAAAATATTATTATACACCTTAATTATATTTTAAATTTCATAATTTATAATTTTCTTATTTTTAATTAAACTATTTAGTTATCTTAATCTATAAATATTTTTATCATACATTAAATATTTTTACTAATATACTTCTTAATTACTTACTAATTATATTTTACTTAAATTCTCGTATCTACAGTAACGTGGACAAAATATATCGGATGGAGCGTGCAGTAATTACAAGACAAAACAAGAGAATCCTTCGGCCCAAATGGTCTTAACAATAGCTATTACATGTTCCAAATAGAAAAATAGTACTCCATTTGTCATCCAATTGTGTGCTCATTTAATCGGACACGGATTTTAAGAAAAATATATAAAAGTAGAATTTTTTACTTTTTTTTTGGTAAAAAAAAGTAGTATTTTTTTACTAAAAAGAAATGAGAATAAATTTGGATTACAATCAAAAAAGAAAAGGATAATAGATTTGAATGACTGAGGGAGGGAGTATATGAATGAAGGGTTTAAATGTAAAATTTTTATTTAAAAAGAAAAATAGGACAATAGTTATTGTACTTTCCAAATAGAAAAATAGAACATTAATTTGTAACGGAAGAAAGTATATAATAGTTATTTTATTCTTACCACACAATAATCGATTGGTCTTACCATTCAATAAAAAAATATGACATTAGTTTTAACTAAACTATTTAGTTATTTTAATTTTAATTTATAATTATTTTTATTATACAATAAATATTTTTATTAATATTTTACTAAATTCTCGTAGACAAAATATATGGAACGCACGAGGTGGCATGTCACGATCACAAATCCAAACCCTAAGCTACGAGGCCATCCCTTACGGGAGTAATAGTGATTTTATTCTTACCACAAATGGTCTTAACACAATTAGGCCAAAACAATCAATTAACAAACTCCTAACCCTCAAAACCAAATCAAATCAAATCCCTCCACCAACCAACACTACTTATACAATCACTCCTGTTTATTCGTAAGAATTTACCCATGATTTTAATTTACCATTTCAAACTTTTTTTAAAAAAAAATTAAATCAAACATTCAATTTTTATTTATTTTATTTAATTAAAATTTAATTTTACATTTAAAATATCATATATCAATATATATTTATATCACGTCAAATAACTAATTACAGATCGATCAAATCAAGAACGGATCACATACAAACAAATCCAAAATCATAAACCCAATCATATATAATCAATTCATCAACATATCAATCCATCCAACAAATCACCTCCTCCTGTTCTTGCTCCCAATCAAAAGCGCAAAGTAAAACAAAACCCTAAAAACAAACCCTAACCCTACCGTGATCCACAAGCACCACCACTTATCGATATCCGTAACTCCGGTCTGCTTCAGTATGTCGGCGCCGGTGGTCAGGCAGCTATTTCCGGTGATGTTAACTCCGAGCGTCTTGCTCATCGACTTCAACAGGCTCAGCTTCACCGACTCCGGCACCGCCTTCAATGGCGATGCGTCGAAAACCTGAATTCCCCTCACGAAGCACCGGGAAGGATCGTCGAACTCGTTCTGCATCACCCCCTGGTAGGGATACTTCACCAGAGACAGGTAGTGGAACCATATCCAGTAGGCTGGAATCCGATCGCGCGAGATGAAGAAGCCGCTGAAGAGGAGGAAGTAGGCCAGGATCGCCACCACCACCGTGTACGCCATCATCAGGTTGAAGATGATCCCTGACAGGAACGTCACGAACGAGCTGCCTGCCCAGAACGACGCGAGGATGGACCCGAAGTAGAACAGAAACCCTGGAAAATGTGTTGGAATATTGTAAGAATTTCGATTCGAATAATCGAATAGTTGTTTTTTTTTTTATCATTTTGGATGAACTGTGCAATTTTTGTCTATTTTTTTAGAGAAAGGAATTTATTTTTACGATTTTTTCATGTTTAGATATTTTTAGGGTTTTCGTGTTAAAAAATAATTATACTGGATGTTGTCCGCAGGTTTGGATTTTTTAGTAGTAAAAAGTTGAATTTAAATAGTTGTTCAATGTGATATAAATAGATGCTGATTTGATGTTTTGTATGTAAAATAAATTTATAGTATAATATAAAAAAAAGTAAAAATAATTGTTTGAATTAATATTTTTGAAAGAAAAAAAAAAATTGAATAGTAAGAATCGTGTTAAAATCTACAAAAGAACACATCTTTAGGGTTTTAATGTTAAAAAATTTACTGTGTTTGTTTGTCATCTGAGATTTTAATAGTAAAAAATTAAATTTGAATAATTGTATGATATAAATAAGTGTTAATTTGATATTTTGAATGTAAAATATATTTATAATATAATATAAAAAATATTTGATTTGTTGTTTTTAGAGAAAAAAATAAATATGAATAATAAAAATCTGTGATAAAACTATAAAAGAACACAATTTTAAGATTTTTCGGCTTGGGTATTTTGGATTTAGGGTTTTGGGTTGATTCTTAAATCTTAAACCATAAAATTTCAAGCTTAAAACCCTAAATACTTATAAAATATATATATATATAATTTAATATTTTTAATATAAAATATATAAAATAGGTATTTTGTTTGATATTTTAAGAAAAGTTTTTTTAGTAAATAGTAAAAAAAATATTAGAAATTCACAAGAGAATACTACCTGAAGTGTTTCCGGCGAGTCCGACCGACCAGTAGGTTATGGCGGCGAAGGTGAGGGAGAGGACGATGATGGAAGGTATGGAAAGAATGGCGTGGGAGATGACGTAGGAGGATCTCCGGTAGGCGTTGTAGGCGGTTTCTCTCATGAAAATGTATCTCTCCATTAGAAAAATCGGGATTGCTTCGGCGCAGGTGTAGAACGTCGTGGACATGGCGAAGGCGAAGAACCCTAGGCGTTCCTGTACGCCTTTGGGGGAATCGTCGAGCTTCCAGAAGATGGTGGCCAGGATGATTCCGGTGATCAGAACCGCCCCGAACCTGGCGGCGAATAGCTCCGGCGCACGGCGGGAGTTTGTTACCTGATGAAATGTTTAATTTATGGTTTAAATTAGATTTATAGGCAATTACTTTTATTATTAATAATATATAATTTAAAAATTTATGAATAATGTGTTATTTAGGATTTTTGTAGCAGATTAAGAAATAATACTTTTATGTCTCAACTCAGAAAAAATTTTACCAGTTTTTTCGTCTCACTCCAAACTTCAAAGTATCACTTTCCTATTTTAGTAAAAGTAATCATAGACTAATAATAAAATACCCTTTAATCTTAACGTTTACCTAGATTATAAATATACAATTTCACGTACCTAGATTATAAACATACAATTTCAGCGTACAATTACTTTGTACATAAAGTTAAAGAGTAAAAATATTAAAATTTCTTAAAAATTACCACTAACCAATAAAATACTATTATTTTTTTGATATACTACAGAATCCCAAAGAGCCCATTTAGAATGAGACTGAGGCAGTAATATTGTATTAATTAATTGGTGGAATTGTGCAAGAGTTTTGAACATTTTTTTTACCTTTATGTATAAAATAATTATTAATGTATGATTTCTTAGTCTAAAATAGAAAAATCTAAAGGACAAAAATAGCCAAAATGATATTTTGAAATCGGACAAACAAAAATGGTAAAAATAATATTTTGAATCGGAACAAAGAGAGAATATGATTACCGATCGATTGGCGATTATGAACATCTCCTTCCAAATAGGGTTTGGGTAATTGGGGACGGAGGAGGAAGACGATGATAATGTGGAGTCGAGATGTGTGGCGCCGGAGACGAGCTTCCCCATGGAAATGCTGGCGCTAATGGCGTCCTTGAGGGTTAATTTTGACCCAATTGAGGTTTTGACGGAATTAGGGTTCTTATTTCTCTGCCACGATTTGTTGAATTCTGCGAGGTTTTTGGTTCCTCCGGGGATGATTTCGAGCTCGCGGATGAAATCCATGGCGAATTCCGTCTTGTCCTCGTTGGGAGGGATCGGATTCCCGAATTCGGCGAAGAATTGGGGCAGCATCGCCGGCGAGCCGCCGTAGACGGTCTGGCCGCCGGAGAGGATGATCAGGCGGTCGAGGAGGCGGAGGATTCTGTAGCTCGGCTGGTGGATCGACATGATGACGATGCTTCCGGTCTGAGCAATTCTCTGTAAGACTTTAACCACCATGAAAGCGCTGGTGGAGTCCAATCCGGAGGTCGGTTCGTCGAGGAAGAGGATGATCGGATCGTGGATTATGTCGGTGCCGATGGAGACGCGGCGGCGCTCTCCGCCGGAGACGCCGCGGTGGCCTTCGTCTCCGATGATTGTCTTGGCGGCGCTCCGGAGGCCGAGCTGATCGATTAGGGCCTGAACTCGGGCTGCTTTTCTCGATTTCGACATCGTCGGCGGCAGCCGGAATTCCGCCGAGAACATTAGGGTTTCTTCGACGGTGAGCATCGGAAAGAGGAGGTCGTCCTGCATAACGTAGGCTGAAATTACTTTTAAGACCTTCGATTCGAGAATTTCGCCGTTGAGGGTGACGGAGCCTTTTAAACTTTCCGGCGAGATTCTGCCGGCGACGGCGTCGATCAGGGTCGACTTGCCGGAGCCGCTGGCGCCGAGGACCGCCATTATTTCGCCTTCCCGGGCCTCGCCGGAGATTTCGTTGAGGAGAGTTTTGGTCCGGGTCTTCAGCACCCGCCCGGTACTTTCACCTCCGGTCCGGTGGAAACAAGCCGGAATGATTTTCCGGCGAGCGGCGACGCTGTAGGTGAGGTTATGGAAGGAGAGCAGAAAAGGGACAGAAGCCGGCTGGAAGACACGGCGGTCGTCGGTGACGTCGACGACGTGGTCGTCGTCGTCGGTGAAGTCTCCGACGCGCTGCAAAAGCTCTCCGAGGGTGTGGGAGGCTCTTCTTTTGATTTTCCGGCCGGATTCCGGCAGCTCCAGGTGGCCCAGAAACGGCAAGTCACTGGCCGCCATTGATGAGCTATCTGATTCGAATTCGACACTATGCATTAAGAAAAACACCAAAATTCACACTGATCAATGGCTCGATCTGCAGCTATACATATATGTATATGTATATATGGAGACAAGAATTAGGGATTTAATTGATGTGATAATAATTGGGGTAATGGAATTAATTTGGGGAAGATTGGGAGGGGCTTTAATGGTAGCTGTGGATTGTTTGAACAGATAATGCAATGATGAGAGAATTAAATTAAATTAAATTAGGGTTTCGTGTGGATGTGAAATTAGGGTTTGAAAATTTGGGGGAAAAATTTGTTTAGATTAGGTGAGAAGTTGCACTGCCTTTAACCGTTGCGGTTTCCTTCATAGATATATTGTGAGCAGAGCTCAGTCCAAGTCTGAGTTCAAATTATTTACTTATTATATATATTTGTGACATGGAAACGTCACCGTTTTGATTAATGCATATTACGCATCTATACTAAAGAAGAAGTCTGAGTGGTCCCTTTGCATGCTTGCATGCATGTATAGCGTAAGAGTATTAAGTAGCTCTTTATCAATATAATAATATTTTATTTAAAAAATATATATTTTTGCTTTTATTTATATCTATACATATTTTTTAAAGATTTTGATATTATTTATCAAAAATAATTTTGGTTGAAAAATTGCATCATATGTTTTTTTTTTTCTTACAATTATCATATTAAAAATTAATTTTTATTATTATTACAAATTATTCAAAACTCTTATTGAACAAAGTCAAAAAATTGTAGTATTCTTTTAATAAAAAACTACTTAATTGCATCATAATAAATAAACTAAAAAATATATCTATATACTTGTTTGGTTATTTATTTATTTTTTTGTTTTTTAATACTCCCTATATTAAATTATATTATAGATAAAAATAAATATTTTTATTTTTTATGGTAAAAAATAAAATAAAAATACTGGTATTTTTTATTAAAAAAAGAATAAATTTGGATAACAAAAAAAAATAAAAATAAATTTAAATAACATAAAAGGAATTAGTATATTATATTTAATAATATTTCATAAGAAAATAATGTGATTTTACAAATAATACTCCCTCTTTCTCATGTGATATGAGTGTATTACTGTAGGATTTTAGATAAAGTATAATTAGTAAGTAATTAAGAAGTGTATTAGTATCTATAATTATTATTTAGTAAAAATAATTATAAATTAAGATTAAGATAAATAAAATTTTAATTAAAATTAAAAAAAAATTATAAAAATTTAAAATTCGATTAAAGTGCATAATTATATTTTCAAAAATAGAAAGGACAATTTATGTGGACGGACGAAAATAGAAAATAAGGATAAATTATGTGGGACGGAGGGGAGGGAGTAATAAATAGAGTCGGGAAAAAATGGAAGTAAACAGAATCTGATCGGTTTCTTGTGAAGTCCCTTCATTTCATCAGCAATGTGGAAATTCGAACAGCGTGAAACTTAGGATTTGGGCTAAGGTTACGTTTGGTAAAAAGACCTTTTAAAAATAAATAAATAAATTATTATTATATCATTATTATTAATGAATTTCATACTTGGTTTAATATTCTTTATTTAATATAAATAATTATTAATATAATATTTTGAGCACTATATTAAAAAAATATATATCTTTTGTGCTGCAATACAAATTTTTTTTAAAAAAAATAAAAATTATTTGATGTATTTTTGAAAAATAATACTCTCTCCGTTCCAATACAATAGTCATGTTTATCATTTTTGTCCGTCCCAAAACAATAATCTCATTTCCATAAATAAACATATCACTGTAAAACTGTCCTTACTTTTTAATTATTATTACACAATTGCCGCTGCTTTTTACACTGATACATTCACAATGGCAAAAAAGTCTTTTACCCGTGTTTTTTACCTATTACCCATATAATATCAATATTCTTTAAATCCCATGTCAAATCCAACCCAGACTATAATTTTGGAACGAAGTACGAAGAGGGAATAGTAAAATGTTTGTTATAAAAATTCAAAAACAAATAGAGACTAATGTCAACTGTCACTATAAATTTATTTAACACATATGACATTTTATAGAGTATTTAATTTAATTTAATTTAATTGAAATAACTAAAATAAAAATGATAGTAGCATTATTAAATAGAGTAGGAGAGATTGGAATTACGTTAGTGTTTTCGTGAGAAGGTTGATCAGATCAGTTAAGTTGGAGTAGGTGAGGTGTTCATCTACTGTCCTCACCTTTTCCAAATATTCAATCAATTTTGCACCAGTTCAACATTTCTTTATTTCCCTTAATTTATACTCTAAAATTAATTGCATTATACTCCGTCCGTCCCAAAATTATGATCTTATTTAAGTTAGACACGAGATTTAAAGAGTATTGATATCATATTGATAGTTGGTAAAAAATATAAGTAAAAGACTTTTTTGTCCTTGTGGGTGTATTACTATAAAAAAATAGTGACATTTGTGTAATAATAATGAAAAAATAAAGATAATTTTATGGTGATATGAGTATTTATGAAAATGAGACTATTGTTTTGGGACGGACAAAAATGGTAAACAAAACTATTGTATTGAAATGGATGAAATATTAGATAAGTTAAAAAGGTTTTGAATAAATTATTTTTTAAATATTCTCTTAATTATATTATATTTATAGCAATAAAATTGAAGAAAGTGATTGTGGAGGTACGTACAGAGGATGTGTTTTTAGGTAATATTTATATATTTTTTAAAATATTAATATATTATATATTTATTATTTTTATGTTATTTATATGATTTTTATTTTAGAAAAGTAATAATCCCTCATCCTAGAAATACAGGGTCTGTTTCTTTTGGTTCAGTTTGAAAAAAAAAACTGTGCAAACACTGTCTGTACAATTTTTTTTCTCAAACGGAGCGCCCCCTTCCGCCCCCAACATTTGATGTAGAAATGGCAGCAAAAACGTTGCCACTTTTATTATTTTTTTTAATATTTTTTTTCCAAAATATTATATTTATTTAATATTTATAATAATTATATGATAAAAAATATATATATAATATATATATCATTTTGTAAAAAATAAAATTTTCTATAATACAAATAAATAAAAATTTAAATATATATATTGGGTATAATATAAATTTATAAAAAAATCATACAATATAAATTTTATCAATTAAATTTAATACACATTTATATTATTTTATTCATTATCCATCAAATTAATACACATCAAAACTCCTCAAACTCCAACCAAACCAAACACAAAAGAAACAACAAAATTCAAACTCATCCCAAAATTCAAATAAAAACCAAATCCAAACCCAACTTTCCCCAAACTCCCCTAAAGAAACACATTCATAGTCTTAATTGGATTGGACACGGGATTTAAGGAATACTGATATTATATTGATAGTTGGTATAAAAAGTAATAGCAATTGTGTAATAAAAATGAAAAAGTATGGGTAGTTTTATCGTGATATGATTATTTATGAAAATACTACTATTATTTTGGGACGAACAAAAATGGTAAACAAGACTATTATTGTATTGGGATGAAAAGAATATTTTTTACTAAAAAACAAAAATCGAGTATTTTTTTGATAATAACTAATAAAGAACAATAGACATAAATTTAGATGAGAAAAGAAAATATATTTTTTTGGTATTATTTTTGGAATCATATATGTTAGAATTTTAAGTGAACACGGACTATTTAAGAGATATTTAATATTTAATATGTTTTTTTTTTTTAATAATACTCCGTCCGTCCCACATACCATGTTCATGTTGCCGTTTCTGTCCGTCCCACATACCCTGTCACTTTTCTTTTTTGAAAAATGATTATACACTTTAATATCATTTTAAACTTTTTAATTTTATTTTTTAAAAAAATTTAATTAAACTAATTAGTTATCTTAATCTTAATTTATAATTATTTATATTATAAGATAATTATTTTCACTAATACATTCTTAATTATTTACTAATTACATCTCTCCTAAAATATCGTGTCTACAGTGTAGCATGGAAGGTACGTGGGACGGAAGTAGTAATAATTATATTGGCATGCATGCATTATGAGTGTACCTTATGCATGCGCGAGTACATATTTAATCATCACCGCGGTAATTTAATTATATCACTTTTCACAATTTTAATAATTTTCGTAAATATAAAATAATATATATATATATATATATGTGCCATATTTTAGCTATTTAACCAATTACATATTTATCAAATAATTTATAAAGTATTTGATATGGTTTTTTTTTTTTTTTTTTCTCAAATTGTTTTTTTTGGAGGGTAAAGAACAATTTTTTAAACTTTTAAATATAATTAATCTCCCACAATATCCATCTAATATATATTCTCTCCATATTATTCAAAAATATTCTTTTAAATTGTTATAGTAAATTTAAAAATAATAAAATAGTATTTTATTGAGTAGTTAAAATGTGTCAAAAAGTTTTAATATTTTGGTTATTTGTAGTTTAGGTATAAATGTATAATTGTGTATTTGTAATTTATGAAAAGTTAAAGATATTTTACTATTAGTATATAATTATTTTTTTATTATAATAAAACATTTATATATTTTTAAATAAAACATATTAAAATAGTAAAAAGAAGATTTTCAGTTAACAAGTAGAAGTATGTTCTATTATTTCGGTTTTTTTTCACTTCAAAATATATTTTCTATTATTTCTATTCTAATAAAAATGATAGCATACTAATATCATAATACTATTATTACATATATATTTTCTATTATTTTTATTATAAAAAAAAACATGCTAAATATTATATTTTTTAAAAAAAAAAATATGTCAAAATTTGTTTTTTTAAAATACTTAAGGTAACTGGACGTTTCAGACCGTCAACATGGCCGTGTTTCACTTAAATATATATTTTTTTAATGAACACACTAACTATTAATGATTGCAGGATAATCAACCTGGCCGTGTTGAGCCAAATACGACCGTGTTGGTTGCCTTGGACGCCCAGTCACTTTCTGAGCCATCCAACACGGCCGTGTTCAATCCCTGCCAACCATCTTGAGACTAAAATTAATAAATTTTCGTTTAAGTGGAACCAAAATTAATAAAAAATAAAAATAAAAATTGAAGGAGATCAAAAAAAAAAGATTTGCTCATTAATAAATTAGTATAGAATTTGTTTAGTTGTAGTTTAAATTTAATTTGAAATCATACGTTGATTTGAAATTTTATTTAAATAATATTTTGATATTATATTTATGAGAAAAATAATTTAATTTTATTAAAAATCGTGCAAAATAAATAATATTTTCAATTTTAAATTATAAAAGAACAAACCTATTATTTTTTAATTTACTATAAAAGTAGAATATTACTTTTAGTTAGAACAAATAAAATATTAGTTCAAGTTTCAAAATAACATTTTTATTTTTAATTTTTTTGCCTTTAAAAAATAAAATAATTATTTTCATAACAATTTATAATTCTCATAAATAATAGAAAAAATTATAAAAACACTAAAACACAACTGAATATTCCAAGAATAAAATATAAAATATTTCAATTGTTATTAACAAATACATTTATATTCATTTAAAAAATTTAAATTCTATTTAGATAGAATTTTTTGAAATTTTAGAGTTTAAATTTTAAAAATAATAAAAAATTAGTATTGTTGATGTAATTTTTCAACAAAAATAAAGTAAAATTCAAAGATATAGAAAACATCCTTAAACTTGATTAATTAGTGCCTGAGATTAGGAATCTCTAAACTTATGGTACAGAAAATAAACTGGAAAATAAAAGACTGAAATTTAAAGTGGTGATCCCCAAATCTGACTTTGCTTTGTTGAAGTTGATTGAAGATGCCTTGCCAAATGATGATCCAAACCCTTAAATATTCTCTGGGAAACTGTACTGAAAACCGTCGCCCGAACGGTTACAACGTCTCCTTTCCAACCGTCTTCCAACCCTTCTCCTGCTGACACGTGTCCTCAGCGGACCAAAATTGTCACTATATTTCACTCTTTGAGCCGACCACAGACCTTCCGCCCTTTTGGCCCGACCGCCAATCTACAACCGTATTGGTCCGACTGCCAATCCTCCCGACTTGCAAACCATCTGACTTGTTTGGATTAGCTACAGACATCCCGACTAACAAACCATCCGACTTGTTGGTCCCGCCGCAGAGTTCCGACCTGAGAACTTCCCGACCTGTCCGACCTGAGGACTTTCCGCCCTGAGGACTTTTCGACCTGCGGACTTTCCGACCTGAGGACCTCCCGACCTGCGGACTTCCCGTCCTGATGACTTTCCGTCTTGAGGACCTCCCGACCTGAGGACCTTCCGACCTGAGGTCTTTCCGTCCTGAGGACTTTCCGTCTTGAGGACCTCCCGACCTGAAGACCTTCCGATCTGAGGTCTTTCCGTCCTGTATTTTCCTTAGAAATAAACCTATTTTCCTTGATTTCCTCACGGTGTCCTTCAGCCAGTTCAATCAACTCTATTGCCAGGCCCATTTTTCTTTTACCTTGGACTTTTTAACCTAATTCTAAATTTCATACGTAACAAGTATTAAATGTAATATTTTGTAATATAATAATATATTTAATTTAATTTTTTGTAGAATGATTATAAATAAATAATATCAAAATTTTTAAATATTTATATGAACATAATATTAATTTTTAATTCTATTACATATATAATTTTATTACTTAGAAATAATATTTATATTAAATAAGGAGTATATTTTTATTAAAATGTATCTTTAAAACTACTTGCACTATTTGAATTTTGTTTTAATCAATTATGGTATTACCTCAATGTATCAAACAACATTTCATTTAATATAATTATATCACATTTCTATATAATTCAATTATAAGAATAAAAAGTACTCCCTCCGACCGTTTTAATTATGTTACTTTTTTATTATTATTATTATTACCCTTAAATTTACGCACAATCTATAGTAAATATTCTTATTCATTCATAATATTATTACACATACTTTAATAAATAATACTAAATTTGTTACTACTTTTTTTACTCATCACATCACTTTTTTATTAATTTTTTAAATAAACTTTATACTATAATACTTTACTTTCACTTATCTTATTTTTATATTAAAATAATATTATTTTTTTAATCTTTGTGTTTAAATAAAGTGAAATAATTAAAATTGACGGACAAAGTAATAATTATTATTAATTTTATTAAAATAATTAAAAATATCAAATCAAATACTTATTTTTTTTTATATATATAGTATAATAAAGAAATAGAATTGTTACTGTGTTGTGCCTATTTCGAATAACATTAGTGCGCAATGTACTGTTAGGACTGACTGAGTCATGTCCGTTTTCGCTGCGCATATTTGCTTTTGGATTTCCTTAAAAAAGGCCTCATACTAGCGGAATTCAGTTAAGATTTATAAAGTATGAAATTTTCTTGACAAGTTCTGATGTAAGATTTGGATTTGCACCCTAACAAATACAATACTAAATATAAAATAATTTTACATTAATACACTATCTATTTATGTTATACAAAATATTATTTACAATTTAAAACTTTGTTTTATACAAATCATAAACTCAAACCCACAAACAAAAGTGTCTTATTTGGACCGAACTTTCTTAGAGTTCTAAACCCTAAACTCTAAATCCTAAACTTCAGTTACTAACCAATAAGACTATGAAGAGAATGGAACAAAGAGAATATTTGTTTAATACAATTTTTTTTAAAAAGTATTGTTATTAATAAATACTTTCTTCGTTTCATTTTAATATGACATTTTTTTTTTCAATTTTTGTCTGACTCATAACAATTGCTATTTTTTATTTTGAAAAAAATTTATTAAATCAAAATATATTTAATAAATATAAATCAAATTATTTAATTACATTAACATATAATACTATCGTGACTATTCAAAACCCATTTATTTCTATATCTTTCATAAAAAAAAAAATTTATTTGTATTTAAAATTTTACATTTTTATAAAATTAGTTTATATTAATTATAAAATAATAAATATATATTTTTTATTTACTTGTATTATAAAAAAATTTATTATCCAAAAAATAATATTAATATTACATATTTTTTTATTATGATATAAATTTTAAAATATTTTAATACATATTCTAAATTGTTTTAATCATATATATTAAATTTTATTTTAAAATTATTATTATTATTATTAATCACATATAAAATAATACTTCCTTCGGTCTCAGGGGAATGATGGTATTTGCTTTTTGCACTTAGGTTTTTAAATATTAGTATTATATTGGATAGTAGTAAAAACGACAAAAATATCTCTATTTGTATGGTGTAATATAAAAGTAATGATATTTATGTAATATATTATAAGTTGAAAATGTATTTATTATATTAGATAGATAGAATAATTACTAAATTAGAAAATAATAACTTTATTTTGGAACGAAAAAAGTATAATAACTCACAATTATAAATAAATTAAATATTATTATCTCAAATATCGTATAATTAAGGAAAGAAATCAATCGAAGGTAGGCAGTATTATCAAAATATCTTAAAAATATTTATATAAATATAGCGAAACATTTCTTCGCAGTATTATTAATTCACTTTCTTCGCTAATTTCCCGCGAAATTAATTTCTTCCCCAATCACCAAAAGCTATAATTTCAGCTTTTACTCGATTCTTCCAAACCCTAACAATGTCCCAATTTTGCATTTCAAAGTGCGCAAACGATCCGATTCGAGCGACCTACGTGAATCTCTACAAGTGGCCGGGATCCGACGCGGAGTTCATGAGATCCGCCGCCGTGCACGGCGGCGGAGCGCGGCTGCACAGTCGAGTCGTCGACAGCCTTTCGTGCCGGCAGATGTATCTGAGAAGTTACACCTTCTCGAGGAAGGAGGAGACGGTGCCTGAGAGGACTATAAATTGCTTCCGGAAGGTTCGCGAGAGAGTCGCGGCGGCCGGAGGGGACGAGAGGAACGGAAAGGTCCGGCGCCGGAGGAGGCGGCGGCGGCGGCGGCGCGTGGTGGTCGGAAGGATGAAGGAGATTTCACGCGCCGCCTTGCGTGGTGTTTTCCGGAGGCTGCTGTTTTGTACGGCAACCGTCGATGTAGTGGATCCGCCGGTGTAGTTTCGTGTGATGTGGTCCAGGGAGTTCAGGTCCTTGTACAGATCTGACCGTTGATTCAGGTGAGACCAAGATGAAGATGGATGGATAGATCTGTTTCGAAATACCGAGGCCTGGCGGGTCCTGAACGTGGCAAGTAGGGGGAACTTTTTCTTCTTTGCCACAAGTGGAAGGCTTCCTTTCTTGTAGTTTTCTTTTCTTTTGCCCTTTTCATTTAATTTCTTTATTATATTTTTATCGTCGAATTTATTTATTTCTTTATTTTTAAGTTTATATGTTAAATTTATCTTATGTCTTGTTTTATATTATTTTTTCATTTCTTTGATTTTTAACTAAATTCCAAAAATTTCCTCAATCTTGTTTTTACTTTTTACTCATTCCGTTCCACATAATATGGATGTATTACTACATATACAATTTAGGTAAAAATAATTATAAATTAAAATTATTTAAAAAATTATAAAATTTAAAATACGATTAAAGTGTATAATTATATTTTTAAAAAAAATAAATAATGTGAGAAGGATAAAAATAAATTATATCGACAGAAAAAATATTATTTTTTTAATAAAATATTTTTTTTAAATTTCTGTGCAGAAATTTAGATACTTTAAATTTATTGGACCGAAAAAGTACTTCTTTATTATTATTATTAGTTTTAACATTTCAAAAGTTTGTAACTTTTTGTTTATTTATATACATTTCTTTCTTTTGTCTCTTAAAAAATAACTTATAAAAAAGTATTCTATATAAAATAATAATTGCATTTATATTTTTGTTACTAATATTAAATTTTAAATAAAAAGTTAATTATCAAATAAACTTTTAAATATATTTGTAAGCTACACGGGTTTAAAAATAGATAAAACTCAAACTTTATAGCTCTTTTATTTCAGACTAATAGGTTATGCTCAAACTTTAATTTATTTATTTTAGGATGACGTAGGAACCTGCAGCCGCTACCCGAAAGTGGGCATTGAATAAACCTCCGACCGAACCTAATACACTACAAACCAGGTCCGACGGTGCTCAAACTTTAATTTTTCAAAATAGACTTGGGGTGTGTTTGATTTTAAATATACTGTTCATCTCATTTTTTTTCCACCAAAAACATCAAATCAATTCAAAATATCACATTATAACTTATTTATATCATATAGAGCTATTCAAATTCCAACTCAAAATTCAAACCCCCGAACATACAGTCTATTAAGCCAAGCCTGACCAGACCATCCCTAAATCGGGACAGAAATAAAGATCCCATTAACAGTTGAGCAAAGATATGAAATTAGGTACGAGGATTGCTGTTACTATTAGTGGTTCAATTTAGGTAAAAGATCCCCTAAGATTTGGGGCTTTTTTTAAATTTAAAAAATAAATAAATAAATAAAATTTGGGATTGGGATTCGGATACATAACACTAATCTCTCTTTATCTCTACATTGTTGGTTCGTTCAACTGATTGCTACCACAGACTCACCAACAATTCATTTCCTCACCAAACTTCATGCCTTAATATACTCCCCACCCCACCCCACAAAAATACATACTTATAATAAATTAAAAAATTTAAAAAGTCATCAAATTTGCTAATGTTTAGGACTACTGTACTGAGATGGTTGGCATAAAAATGCATATATGAAGTTGAGCATGTGATTTCATCCTAAAAGAATGCATTATTAGTGGAAAAGATCTTTACAATGCTAAAAAAAAAAAAGAAAAAATTACATTAAATAAATAAATATATATATATAGTTTTTATTCAAAATATTACATTTAATACCACTTTTACATTAGGCTAATTCAAAACCAAACATCCGACCACTATTTTCCATTATAAGAAAGATTCATATTCAAAATAATCTAAAAGGCCAAACAAAACACAAATGAGACCATAGCTTATGAGAAAACACAGCAGCAAATGTAGTGCTCATTTTGGAAAATCAATCCACATGTTATTTTTCAACATCTATAATAATCAAATATTGCAATTTCCTGATTAGGGGAAGAAAAATAACATATTTGGGCTATACTCTCTTACAAAATATCACATTAAACTACTACTGAAGCACAAATACAAACCGAACACATTTGATATGAACAAAGTGTAAAAGAACCATAACCTCTAAATTGCATGAAACCTAAGGCTATACAGTTCAAGAAAGGTAAATATGGGAAGAATCGAAAATACAAACATCGAATGTAACATCATACAATTATATTTCCATCATCCGAATCTTATAAAGCTCATTGCATCTTGGAAAATTTTAAACAGAAATGAAACAAGTAGAGTAATAATAATCAGAACTATCTACGTATTAGCAGAATCACAAGTTATAAGCAAAGAGACCTACAACAATTAACAAAAAAGAAACAAGAACCTGATCTCTACCTTCAAAGATCGAATTCCTCGTCCCGAAGAGCCATTTCTGCAGCTTCTTCCTCCTGATCGTCGAGTACAAAGTACTCATTCTTCTCAACTGGTCTGAACATGTAGAAAATTACAGCATAGAAGGCAAGACTTGCAATCTCCTCGGCAGCATTGGCCACCCACTGGAACTTGTAAGATGCAATGGTCCTGAGTGCAAATACCACAATTCTCGTGAAATACAAGTACCCGATAACAACAATGTAAAACTGCCTAAAGAGTGTAAGCTTGGACAGATTCCTAGCAGCTTTCCCATCGGTCTTTGATGTCTCCCTCAGAGACCGGATTGACCACACTATCGGGAAGATAATGGCACAACAACAGATAATATCGATCAACAGGAAAACCTGATTCCAGGTTACCCAATCCTTAATAAATGGACCTGTCTCCCCAATCACTATGGATGCTACATTTGCCAAAACCTGCAATGGGATCACAATTATCAACACCTTCTTCTCCCTCTCCTGCAGAAATGGCTTCAAGAACGACCAACCAGTGCCAATCAATACAATGACTGTAAACAACAGCACAACCCTAATAAACTGGAAAATGTAGAACAGCACATCCCATCCATGGGGTGTTCCTGTAACCTTCACATAGTGTTTATCTTCAGCTGCAAAGAGCAAATTCAATGCCTTCACAATAACCAGAACTCCCATCAGCAAATGAATCCTATGCACGGAGTTCTTATTCGTCAGGCAGAAGTGAATCCAATACCCAAAAAATAAGAAGTAAAACACGGAAAACCAGAAATATAGCGACGGCAATTGAGTTAATCCAGCGGACAAATAGTCCTTGACTTTCCCACGGCCATCGAGATTGTAAAGCTCCGTTCGCACATTCATCGAAACCCTAGATTCCGGATTACAATTCGCGAAAAACAGAGAATACTCATTCGGTGCGGTGATCGGATAAGAACGATTGAAAAATGAATGAGGCGGCGGCGAAAGATCGCGAAACGTAAAGAGAGGCGTAATGTATTTGGAATCAAGGACGCAGAATGAAGGATTCGTCTGAAGTTCGAGGAGGACCTGGATCAGAGATTCTTCCGATAGGAGGAAGAAACCTAACCTGGCAGCATCGACGGATTCGAGACTGGACACGACTGACACAGCAGAGACGGTGATGGTGGCTTGGCCGGTGTGCGTGAATCCAAATCGCTCGAATAGGATCATAGGGCGAGAATCGTCGGAGATCTTGAGGTTCTTGATTTCAGCGGAGGCGAGGGAGAGGAGGAGGAGGAAGAGCGAGATGAGAAACGGTAGCTTCGCCATTGCAGCTCGTCGGCGGAGGAACGACGGCGTCGGAGCTTTGGGGAGGAGAATATGTAAAAGAGGAAATGAAAGCCGTCGGAGTGAATTTCACGGCTGAGGAATTTTTTTATTCCGAAAATGCCCTCAGATCTGGCTGGTCTTGGACAATGTGACCGCTGACCAGAAGGACTATAATGAACTTTTTATTGAATTCGGATCTAGTCCTCAGAGTTGGAACTTAATTCATTTTGGCCTCATAACTTTTTTGTATTTGTCTTTTATTTTTATTTTTTTATTTTAATAAGATAATTATTGCATGTTATTTTTATTAGAGCATCTCTCACCATGCTGTATTTATGGTGTTTCAACACCATTTCTGCAGCCACATGCTCCAATCCAGCGCCATTTCAAGCTCCAATTTTGGAGTTTGTTATAGTGCGTGTTGCACTATAGTAAAACGCCATTTATTTTATTTTATTTTATTTTATTTTAATTTTAATTTTTTTAATTTTTAAAATTATAAATTTAATTTTTATTTTTTAAAATTTTATTTTAAATTATAAAAATAAAAAATTGTTTAAAATAATAAGAAAAATTGAATATTTGAAGAATAATAGTAAAAAATGGAGTTAAAGTTGGAATAAAATTACTGTAACAATTGCATATTTTGAATTAAAACTGGATAAATGGAAATGATGAATTAGAAATGACCTTCAAAATTTAAAAAAATAATAATAATAATAATAATAATAAATGATTCAAAATGAATAGGGCCAATGATGGAGGAACTTCCCTTAAATTAGAAAAGTATGTCACTATATTTTTATTTTTTTTTTTTTTGGTTCAGTTTCTTTATATCTTATAAAAATAGTATATAAATTTTATATAAAATATATACACAATTATATTAATAAAAAACATTATGAAATAAAATAGCTTTGTATTTATTTTATAGTTTTGTATAATACTGTCTTCGTCTAGTTTTTTTATGTATTTTTTTTCCAACTTATAAAGTATATGTTTTTTTTTATTATTATTTTGACTTGACTAGTTACAAAATAATTATTTTTTTTTAGTAAATATAAATTTTACTAGTGTGGAGCCGTGCTATGTACGGATAGATATAAATTTTATTACAAATGTGAAAATTAATTGTTGTTATTAAATGTATAATATTTTAATATAAAAATCATTTAAATAAATTAAAATATTTAACACGATTAATTTTTGATATTTTAAGTATTGGAGATTGATAAATTCTATCTATTAAATATAAATATTGCAAAAATAATATTTATATGTAATATTAGTTGTGTTTATTTATATTTTTATAAGCAATTTTTAAAATTATAATTCATTTGAAAATTGTGTCGGTAGAAAATTAAGATAGCTAACAGAGTTAAAGTCAAAATTCCATTAACTTGTCACTATCATTTTAATATAATTAAATTATAAAATAATTTTTTTATTCGGAATATTATATCGTATTTTTATCTATTAACTTATGCATAACTCATTTATAATACAAAATTATCCACCCATAATTTTATTATCATTATTTTTAGTCTTCATGTCCAGATAATATAACATATCAACTAATGAAGTAAAAAATAATAATGTATAATATGTTACTACAAAAAATTTAATTCATTTATCTTCTTAATATATTTATCTTTCTAATATTACATATATCTAAAAAAGAAAATAACACATAAATAAAGTCACATTGTTATACATAATTGTTATTTGATTAAAGTTGTTTTATTATTAAAATAATAAAAAAATATTATATTATTATTATTATTTTACCGTCCATCCTTTTTTATTTTGCTATTTAAGTAATGGGCCCGACAAAAAAAAAATTAAAAAAAAAATTATGTGTTATCACGTGGCAATACATTTTCAACGCTAAATATATATATTAGACTTTTTTTTTTATAAATATTCTTATTTTATCAATACATTAATATTTTTATATTAAAAAATAAAAATAAAATTATTTTTATGTTATTTTAAATTATTTATTATAATTAACATACTATTATTTTTTTAATTTTACATTAGAAATAAAACAAATGTACATTTTTAAAATGAAGAAAGTTTTGCTTTTGTTTCATAGATTTGGCAGGAGTTAAAAGATTGCATTGACTTGCAATTGATAAATAATAAAGTATTTATTTTTTTCTATAGTAAAAATATTTTATATAAATATTACTAAAATATCTTAAATTTTTAAAAAATATCTATTTTTTATACTTGTCAGGATAAAGGTATTAATATCATTTTATATGTTTTTATTAATTAATAAAATAATAATTTTATTTTAAATTTATTATAAAAATATAAATATATATTTTGAGTCAAAACCAACAAAATATTATATATGGATTATATTTATTAAATTTATATATATTGATTGTTGGTCATAAATTAATAAAATAAATATTTCCTTTGAACTGTAAAATTAAATACGTTTGGTTAGACATCAAAATTAAAAAATAATTCTATTTTAGTATTAAATTGTGGTAGATAAAAAAAAATGAAAATATTATATAAAATTTTTTAAAATATTGATAAAAATTTGTGAGCTAAGTAAAAAACAAATAGTAACAATTTGGTTATTATACGTTAAAATAAAAAGAATAACATTGTGAGTGGATAAATGATGTGTTTGTTTTGTATTTTTGTTTAAAATATTATCTCCGTCCCTTAATAATTTATTCATTATTTCATTTTGGTCTGCTCCATATCAAAATATTCATTTCCTTTTTTAGCAATTTTAACAACTATCTAAAATTACAAATACCCTTTCAATTTACAATATATTACACAAATGTCATTACATTTATATCATACAATACTAATAGGGTTAATTTGGTCTTTTTACTTTTATTTCTACTTTATCCGTGTAAAAAGCAAATTGATATATAAATATGGGACGGGGGAAGTAATATTTTTTTATATGAGATATAAGAAAATGTATAAGTAATACTCCCTAGTCCACCACAATTGACACTATTTCCATTTTTGTTTGTCCCGTAACAATTGACATATTTATATTTTTAGTAAAAATTATTAAATCAAAATATATTTAACAAATATAAATCAATTTAATTAACTACATAACATACAACATCATAAATGACGTAAGACACACTCAAAACCCTTTTTTTTTTCTACCTCTCTCTTCAAAAAAATAAATATTTTTATCTATATTTAAAACTACATATCTTTTATAAAATTGATTTATATTAATTATCAATAAATAAAAATATTTTTTTATTTACTTGTATTATAGAAAATTTTATTATCTACAAAATGATATCCATATTGCATATATTTTTCAATTGCTATATAATTTTAGAATATTTAAACATATATTTTTATTTTTTTTTAATCATATATATTAAATTTACTTTTAAAATATAAATATTATTAATTATACAAAAATATATATATAATAATATCATAATTAATTATTACTCATTCCGTCTCGCATACCATGTTCACGTTGTTGTTTCTATACGTCCCACATATCATGTCGCTTTCATCTTTTGAAAAAAATGATTATATACTTTAATCTCATTTTAAACTTTTAATTTTTTTTTAAATTTTAATTAAACTAATTAGTTATCTTAATCTTAATTTATAATTATTTATATTATAAGATAATTATTTTTACTAATACATTCTTAATTATCTACTAATTATACTTCTCCTAAAATATCCTGTCTACAATATAGCAGGTATGTGGGATGGAGGTCGTATTAACTAATTAAATATCTTAACCTTAAATACCGTGTCCTTGGGTTCAATTCCGGTGGGATAGAGAGAGTATAATATGTGTGTAGTATATTACTTTTTTGGGGGAAATGCATTGAAATTTTTTGGATAAAAGAACAAAATCGAAATTGTTTATTATAAATAAGTTGTGTATAAATCTAGGCCAACTGAAAACATAGTAACATAATTTTTACGGGGCAAAAAATAAAATAAAAATACAATTATGGACGAATGAGGCATTTGTTAATAAGTGAATCTCATAAGAGTGTTTGATTTGTGTATATAGTTTTTTTTTTTTTTTTTTTTTTTTTTTTTTTTTAAGTTAAATTATCACTTGAATAAAGAATTTATATGAAAATTAAATACTATTTTTATTAACGATGAATGAATTAGGATTAAAATAATATTTTAATATGATATTCAATAAAAAATAAATAAAATATTACATTTTTATAAAAAATTGTGTGAACATAATAAAATTAATTTTAATTTTAAATCTAAATAAAGAAATATTACTTAATAATAATAATAATAAAAAACAAATGGATCTGAATGATTTTTTTTTTTTTTTTTAAATGTATTACACCATTAGATCTAATCCTTGTAAAATCATTTGGTTTAGTCCAATAATAGTAGTTAGGTTGACTCAACTTTAACTAAATCAATATAATTAGATACTAATAGTGATTATAAGTAATTATTATTTAAAAATTCAAATTAAAAATTAAGGATTTGTTTGATTAGTATTTTATTTTTTATTTTTTATTTTTTACGTGGGATATACTCTCTCCGTCCCTTACAATCTATTTATTTTTCTATTTGGTCCGTCTCATAATAAAATTCATTTCCTTTTTTTTTTTTTAGTAATTGTACTATCTACCTAACATTACAAATACCTTTCCAATTTACAATATATTACACAAATATCATTATATTTATATAATACAATACTAATAGGGTTATATTTATATAATACAATACTAATAGAGTTAATTTAATCTTTTTACCTTTGTTTCTATTTTATTCTAATATAATATTAATATTTTAAAACTCCATGAAAAAAAGAAATAGATATATAGATATGAGACGAAAAGAGTAAAAAATAGTAATGTAAAAAATAATGTTTGTGTTAAATTATTATTTTGCGTGAAAAAAATATAAATATTATATATATGGAATAGAAACTCTATTGAGTTCTTTTGTGATTTTTACTACAAATTTTTACTATTAATTTTTTTTTCTTTCAAATATATAAAATCAAACAATTATTTTTTTTTATATTATACTAAAAATTTATTTTACATTAAAAATATCACATCAATCTTTATTTATATCACATCAAACAACTATTAAAATTTAATTTTTTGCTATTCAAAAATCCAAAATACAATAACAAAAACACACAAACAAATGCACTCTCCTATATTCTTTTTGATAGTTTTTTTTTTTAGAAAAAAAAATTATATTGCTCTCTCTTATTTTGGTGCAAAAATTAAATTAAATTTTCTTTGGTTCATTTGTTACAAATTATGTTCAAATTAAATAAGTATATTTTTATTATATAATTTTTACTAGTATCCACACAATAATATCATATTAACAAGAGATTCATATTTGTCTCATAATGATGACTGGTTCGTGTGGGGTGAACTTGTGATAATGATGTTATGAATGCAAACCTTAATTTCTATAAATTTCAGATAGTGGGACAAATTTTTTAATGTAAAATATAGAAAATTGTGTAAATATTATAAGAATAATAAGTGTACTTAACATATTAATTTTCTAGAAAAAATATATTTTTTCCGTCTCAATATAATAGTCTTGTTTACTATTTCTATCTGTCCCAAAAAATAGTCTTATTTTCATAAATAACTATATCACCGGAAAACCATCTCTACTTTTTCATTTTTATTACATAATTGCCACTATTTTTTACACTAATACACTCACAAAGACAAAAAAGTCTTTTATCTATATTTTTTACCAAATGTTAATATAATATTAATATTCCTTAAATCTCGTACCCAACCAAATTAAGACTATATTTATAGAACAGATGAAATATTTTTTATTTTTGCTTGTAAGAACACACCTTTCAATTTAGAATTAATTAGTATTGAATGAACAGTCTTTCATGTTCATTTTTTTTTGTCTTCAAATTTTAAATTTTTAATATTTAGCCTTTCTTCTTTTAAAATATTCAATTATATATTATCTTAATACAAAATTCAAATCAATTTTTTTCAAACTTTAAAAAAAAAAAAAAAAAAACTTACATATTTTTCTTGTTTGATATGAGACATAATTCAACAATCTAAAATAACTATTTAAATAAAATTTATCATTCAAATGTCAAATCTAGAACCAAATTCAAACACACCCTCACAGTGCAAACAATGAAACAAAGGACCCCTTAAATTTTAGATGGCATGGAAAACAAGAAAAATACCACAAAAGAGGAAGCTTCCACTGCTCTGCAATAGAGGAAGCTTCCACTGCACTGCATATTTATTGCAGAGGTTGGGAAGGGAACTCACCAACTCAACAGTCAGGACTCTGCCAAAAAAATAAAATAATTTTTTATTAAATTATTAATAATATTATTACAAATTTCGATATTGTTCCAGATTATAAAATAGGAAGATAAATTTGGGGGTGACATGTATGCAGCTAGCTTGATTAGAGTAGAAAATTTTTGCTAAAACTTAACTCAATTCAATGACGGGACGAGATATTCTCGGAATCTTCGCTTTGGGATAAAAATTCGTGGGGAGCGGTTTCTTGACTCAACAAGCATTCATCCATTCATTGATCTATCAATCCTTGTCGTTTGGATATTGCCTGGTGAATTTTTCGCAAGTTTTTCGTGGAGGTAAGTTGAACTCTGCAATTTTAATTTTTATTTTTTTGGTCTTTGTTGATTTTGAACTTGATTATCTGCTGGAGAAGTAATTTTAAGGATTCGATTGTGCTGCAGAGTTCGATTCATGTGGAATTTGATTAATTGTTGATTTGATTGTGAAATTAGTTTGGTGTTCGTGAAATTTGGGGATTAGGTTTTAGGTTTTGCAGCGAAATTGCGAAATTGAAGGGATGAATGTGGTGGGTAGGGTTAGCAGTTTTATTACACAAGGGATGTACTCTGTTGCCACACCATTTCATCCATTTGGTGGAGCAGTTGACATAATTGTGGTTAAGCAGCAGGATGGAAGCTTCAGGAGCACGCCATGGTATGTAAGATTTGGGAAATTTCAGGGGGTTTTGAAGGGGGCTGAGAAGGTAGTGAGAATTGAAGTCAATGGAGTCGAAGCTAATTTCAACATGTATCTGGATAATTCTGGGGAAGCTTATTTTGTGCGAGAGGTTGATCTGAGGGAGGAAGATGGTGAGGGTATAAAGGAAGGGAGAACGACGAAAACCGGTAGCGATTACGGCGACGAAGAAGACGACGAGAGTAGTTTTAAGAATGGTGGGAATGGTGATGAAGTGAGGTTTGATCTCGGGATGGAGAAGTTGAAGAAAATTGAATCGGATAGCGGGCACGTGTTCTACGAGTTTCAGGACGAGCAATCGTCGTCGTTGGACGGTTCAATTGAGTTTTCGGAGTACGGTTCGAGTAGATACGACACTTTAGATAGCGTCGAACATGCATTGGAATCACAGGATTCGAATTCGGAAGTTGTTTTGGTGAGCGTGGACGGTCATATCTTGACGGCACCATTGTCATCGTCCGAGAGGGACGGTGAAAATGTGCAGTTAAGTACGCCTCAATTTCACCTCGGCCCGGGTGGCGGAACTGCGGATTATAGCCCCGGAAAAGCTTCATGGACTCCCGATTACTTGGACGATCTAAATGCCTCGGATCGAGAGCTTTTGGTTCATGAACAAGAAGATCAGAAATCGACCGATATATACATCGAAAACAATTCTCGAAAATCTTTGAGCTTATTAGAGAAGGATGATGTTTTTCAAAGCTGCTTGGAGCTTCCCGAATTGGCAGTGCAGTATATGAATGGCCGTCCGGATCACCAAACTACTGAAGATTCTAAGGAGAAGTTTGATCGAAGTTCTTCATATAAGCATGATACTGAAAATGGAAATCACGACGAATTAAGAATCGAAGATGAGCCACTTGATTCTGGAAATCGGATCCGTAACTCTTTCCCCAATTCTCAGGTCGAAGCTGTAATGTATGAAAGGAATACATACAATAAAGAGAAAGAGTCGAAGAGTGTCACAAGTAAGATATTCACTTCGCTATATGGTTAAATTTAGACAAAATTATTCCCGACATTACTCACATTCATTATTTTTTGACAGAATTGGAGATATCACTATGCGGAAACATGATTCAACCCGGAATGGGATTGCAGGCAGCAGAAGCAGCCTTTGATGCAAGCCGAATATCACCCGAGGAATTTCGAAATTCCGGTTCATCGATAGTGAAGAACGAGAACTTAATTGTTCGACTACAAGGAAAATACTTACCTTGGAGTAAAGCTGCCCATATTGTTCTCGGTAAGGTAGCTTTCGGTTTCGATTTGCCAGTTGACTCGAAAGATTCGATCCCTGTAGAAAAGGATACACCAGAAGTGAAAGAAGAAGCATCCGGAATGAACTCAACCTCATCCCGGAGATGGAGGCTCTGGCCAATCCCATTTAGGAGGGTCAAGACACTCGAGCGCACTTTTAGTAACTCATCGAATGAGGAAGTTTTCGTCGATTCTGAATCTTTGAGCTCACCGAGGCAACCCACAGCTACAACCCCGACAGCCTCTGCAATCTCCAGACCTCCTTATAAGCAGCTTGTAAGAACCAACGTCCCGACTAACGATCAAATCTCATCGTTGAATCTCAAAGAGGGGCAGAATATTGTGAATTTTGTATTCTGCACAAGAGTGCTTGGATCACAGAAGGTTCGTTTGTTCTTTGGCGAAATAGTTATTTGGATTACAGCTTCTCTTGTCCCTTTTAATTTATGCATCATCTCAAAACAGGTTGAGGCTCATATTTACGTGTGGAAATGGAACACGCGGATTGTGGTTTCTGATGTTGATGGGACGATCACCAAGTGAGATTTTTTGATTCGTATTAGACAATTTTTAGATCTGCAAACGAAACTGTTCTAGAATTCAAACCAACTGAGAGAGATCGAATGTGGCGAAATGTGCTTGTTTTTTCTAGGTCTGATGTTCTTGGTCAGTTTATGCCTTTGGTCGGGAAGGACTGGACGCACTCTGGGATAGCTCGTCTCTTTTCAGCAATAAAGGTGTCCTCTTCATATCTCTGTTTGTAAAGCTAAAATCTCACTATTCTTTGCTTCATCGAATTGGTTTTTGATTCAAGCAAATGATGAATTGTGTTAATTCTTGAAGACTTGATATGTTAGAATACCGAAGGGTGTGTTTGTTTGTGGGTTTGGATTTTTGAATAGTAAAAGTTGAAAATTTGAATAGTTGTTTGATGCCATATAAATAGATGTGGATGTGATATTTTGAATGTAAAATAGACTTGTAGTACTCGTGACATTCATAATAAGGTATCCATTTACTATTTGCATCATTATACTTAATATTAAAAATATCCTTATATTTGTATAATTTTTGTACAAATGTCACTATATTAGTATTACAAGACACTAATAAAAGTATTTTTGTCATTTTTCCTCAATATTCAAATATCAACAAGCAAAAAGTAAACGAATACTTAGTTACGGGACATAGAGAGTATAATATATATAAAAAAAAGTAATTGTTTGATTTGATATTTTTTGAGGAAAAAAGAATTTAAATAGTAAGAATCGATGGTAAGACTCACAAAAGAACACAACCGAAGTGTGAGAGTGCTTGTATTGAAGCAAGAATATATGTTTCGACCATGCATTGACTTTGAAGCACTGTATGCGTTCATAAAATCATGTGTGATTTAAATAAGATTCTCGATTCTATTTAGTTCCTAGTGATACTGTAAACTAGTAATTGGTTAAATGAGGTGATACTGTAAACTATTTACTCTTTTTAATTAATATGAAAAATAGCAGCCAGAATATACCCGGCATTATTTAGTAAATTGTTGCTATCATGGCTTCTATTTGTTTCCATGGGTTGTTGAGTACATAATTCGTTTAATCATTTGATCTTATTTGGTATTTATCTTTAGGGTTTAAAGATGCACCAAGTCTTCTATATTAATTAATCCGATCAAATCTAAGCTAAAGATTTGCACGTATTCTTTATCGAATTAGCCATTTACACTCTGCTGTTCGTGCTGTTGGTTTAGGGTGTGTTTGTTTGGAGGTTTGGATTTTGATTTGAGATTTGAATATAATTTTTTTTAATTGAAATAGTAGTATGATGTTATATAAATAGGTATTGATGTGATGTTTTGAACACAAAATTGATTTTTAGTATATTATAAAAAATAAAAAATAAATATTTGATTTGATACTTTCGAAAGAAAAAAAATTGGCAAATAGAGGAAATATTGGAAAATCTCTCATACGAACACACCCTTAATCCTTTTATGTGCAGAATGAAATAGTTTCCTCAAATTTATCTATTATCTTGTTACTATTGTTATTTCATTACGAATTAAAGCTTATAGATCCATTTTTCATTATATTCTTTTATATTTAAAATGCTAGCCAAATTCCATAATTTCTTGTATGTCTATTGTAATATCTTTTTGGTAAACTGAGACATTGTTGTATATTGAGAGCTTCAATTGTAAGCAGTCGAACCATGATTTTCTGAATGTCATTATCTGTTGCAAACATGTTTCAAATCTTTGCCATGTTAATTTATGCTTTTTTAAACTATGGTTTGTCAACAAATTGCAACAGGAGAACGGGTACCAGCTATTATTTTTGAGCGCACGTGCCATTGTTCAAGCATACTTGACCAAAAGTTTTCTATTCAATCTCAAGCAGGTATTTGCTTTTTTGTTGTATTTTCATTTTAAGATGGTGATATTACGTATGCCAGATAAATTGTTACTTTTATTTTAACGGGTCCAAAAGTGTACACTCTTTGGTATAATGTGAAGATTGCAGAAATCCTATCCTATGCAATAATAATTCTTCAGTTATCGTAACAGCTAAAATGTTTTACAGTCAGTTCAATTCAGTAATGCTCCTTATTGGAACTTTATGCAACAATCAAGTTCTGATTTGGTTGCTGAAATTTGTCAACAATGTTTTCTCATTTGTTTCTCTTGTGGAATTAGTTCGGCATTTTGCAAAACAGAATTAATTGGCTCATAATTGTTCAAAATTTCACAGGATGGCAAAAGCTTACCCAATGGACCTGTTGTTATCTCCCCTGATGGCTTATTTCCATCTCTTTACCGAGAAGGTGAGCTTGAATAAAGATTATTTTAACCTCTCATCATAATGCGTTCTTCGTGGTTCTTTTCCAACTGTAGATTTTGGGTGTGTTTGTTTGGGAGTTTGGATTTTGAATTGAGATTTGAATAGTAAAAATTTTGAATTGGAATAGTTATATGATGTGATATAAACAGGGGTTATGTGATATGTTGAATGTAAAATTATTTTTAATATAATATAAAAAATAAAAAATAGGTATTTGATTTGATATTTTTTGGAAAAAAAATTTGATGAATAGTATATTTTGGGGAAAATCCCCCAAACAAACACACCTACCTGTATTTTGCTATGGTTTTGGCACAAAGATCACAGCTCATTTGCTGCATGGCATTTACTTTCATCTGCTTATTTGATGTACAGACAATTCTCGATTCTTTTGAAAGTTAGAAAAATTTGTGTGTGTATGCTTTTAATTAATCTTTCGACACTGCATAACTTGGATAAAGAAAGTACAATAACAAAATTTCGACTCTCCTATGTAGTACTCCCTCCGTCCACATACAAAGTAAATATTTACTTTTGGCGCGGTGTTTATAGTGAATAGTTAAAAGTAGTAAAATGATATTTTTGACCTTCCTTTTTGGTGTAAAAGTAACGATGTGATGTAAAGTACGGGTATTTGTGAAAAAGAGTGAGGTATTTAATGAAATGTTTACTTTGTAATTAGACGTCCCAAAATAGAAATATGTATACTTTCTAACTGGACGGAGGGAGTATAAAAAAAACTGAAAAAGAAAGCATGATAGACGTTTGTTCTTTCAATACTTTTTTTTTTCACATGTTTTTCCAAAAATATTAATAATTACATTAATTGTTTTTATATTTTCTACACAATTTTTATAACTCACATAAAAAAATTTCTTTTCAACAATCTCACAAAACAAACACATCATTACTTTTTTACATGCACATGATTGCATTGTTTTATTCGATGGCAGTAATACGAAGAGCTCCCCATGAGTTCAAGATTGCCTGCTTAGAGGTAAATGTTGACGATCAACCTTACGTATTGAATCTTTCGTAGCAAACTCATTAAAAAATTATTCGTTTGCAGGACATCAAGGCGCTATTTCCAGCTGATTATAATCCATTTTATGCCGGATTTGGAAACAGAGACACCGACGAACTTAGTTACAGGAAAGTGGGGATACCAAAGGGCAAGATCTTCATCATAAATCCTAAGGTACTCCTATTCTCTTTAAATTAAACAAAATGCAATCGGGCTCGATCAAATTATAGGCTCCATGTAGATAGAAGTTCTGGAAAATCTTGAGAATAGTAAAAATCGAGTATTTGATGTTAATATTTTTTTGGAAAATTTAATCTTACTGAATAATGCTGAAAGTTCCAAAAATGTCTTTCTAAACTTCTTACTCAATGATTCGATCATTGATTATTGCAGGGAGAAGTGGCTATTAACCACCGTGTGGATGTAAAGTCATATACGTCGTTCCACACACTAGTGAACGATATGTTCCCCCCGACATCCCTAGTCGAGCAGGTATTGTCTTTGCCTATTGAAAAATCTTAAGGTTTGTTTCTTTAGTGTTTGATTTGAAGAATATTTTTTTTATATGGTTTAGGGTATAGAAAATTATGTCAATAATATAAAAGATAATATTTATATTGAATGTTAGACTTTTGTGAGAGGATAAAATATATATATTGAAAATCGTATCGAAAAAAAATATTGTGCAAACAAACCCTTAAAATGTGATTCTTTCTGGTCTGAATTGAGTTTGATGGTTTGAGTTTCTTATTTAAATAATACTCTCTCCGTCAGCCTCTAGGGTCATATTTATCTTAATTGTATTTAACATTAAAAAATATTCTATTTTTTTTTACAAATGTCCTTATATTAGTATTAGTATTATAAGACACTAATAAAATAATTTTTTAAAAAATTTGTATTATATTTTGATATAAAAATTAATATTAAAAAATCAATATGAAAAAGTAAATAAAACTCACGATGGAGGTAGTATTTGATATGATATTCTGGTAAAAACTTAGTATATAGAAATAACTTTTTTTTTGTTTTAAGAAATATGAATCCGATTAGTAAAAACTTAGTATATAGAAGACGGAAAAGAAACACACCTGTTTTGTCTCTGTTGTTACTGTAATATCCTCATTCTGTATCGGTTTTTTGGCCTGCTTAGGAAGATTATAACTCGTGGAATTACTGGAAAATGCCCCTGCCCGACATCGATAAGTTGTAGTTGTTTCTGGCGGCAGCAACGGCGGTCGTGTAGAGGTGAGGACAGAATTAAAGCCTATCATTAATTATTCTTCAGTTCAGTATGTCTCTTTGAATGGAGATGGAATGGGCTGTTTTAGCACATAAAAGTCGTTCGTATATGTAAGAATTAAGTACATTCATTTTTGTAACATTTAGACTGATCATGTTGTATAAATGTCTATTTTTTATTATAAATATTACATTAAAAGAATATACTCCTACTTTCTATTTAAAGTTTAATACTCCGTCCGACCCATAACTAAGTATCAATTTACTTTTTGCGTGTTGATATTTGGATATTAATTTTTATATCAAAACGTATTACAAATCAAGAAAAAATTGCAAAAATAGTTCTATTAGTGTCTTGTAATACTAATATAATGATATTTGTATAAAAAATTATACAAATATAAGGATATTTTAGCGTTAAGTATAATGACGCAAAAAATAAATGGATACATTGTTATGAGACGGATGAGTTATATCTTTTATTATACTATTAGAAATTAATCTATGTTGAATATATGAAATTATAAAAGATTATCACGTGTAGAGCAATTAATGAAGGTTGTTTTATTATTATGTTTTAATTTGATCTTTTAATATTAATTATTATATTGTAGTACTCCTTCGGTCCCAAACAACATGCAACATAGGAAATAATTAATTATACTTAATCTCTACTCTACATTTTATCCCTCGCATCACCCAATTAAAAAAATAAAATATATATTTCTCTCTCCATCGTATTACTTAATTTCTAAATTATCCTACTTAATACTATCCACCCGGGATATTTGGGACAAAGAGAATATAAAAAATAAGAATTTAACTTAATTATATCTTATAATAATAAATACTAATAAATTAATTAGATGTAATCTCTACCCCACATTCTATCTCATTACATCACCCAAATAAAATATACATTTTTCTCTTCATCTTATCACTTAATTTCTAAATTATCCTACTTAATATTATCCACCTAAAAACTCGAGCTCAAAACAAATATTGCACCTTGTTTGGGACGGAGGGAGTATAAATTAAGAAAAAATTACAAAAATATTTCGGTCTTATAATAATCATGGTAGAAGCATATTTGTAAAAAGAAAAATTATACAAATATAAAAATATTTTTAACGGTAATACATTCACGCAAAATATGAGCCGGAACGAGTAATATGTATTTGTTCCAATTCAATATTTTTAGAGTGAAAGGGAAAAAGAGGTTGCGGGTGTGGCAACTGACAAGCACGTGCGGCAAACGGTCAAGGGCATTTTGGGGAAAACCGCCAAAGCGAAGGCGCGAAAAGAATGGATCACAACACTCGAACTATGGCCTCATTCTTCTTCTTCCTATTTCCTTCTCTCATCGATTTTCTTCCTTCCTCCATATCAATCCTTTCTCATTTTCGTTTGCGTTCAATTCGATTAGATCAGGAGGAATCACTGTTCGCTTCTTTCGCTCAATTCGGATATGTCGTGGCTTCGATCGGCGGTGTACAAAGCGGTGGAAGTCAGCGGAACATCCAACCTCAGCCTCAGCCGCGCGGTACGAACCTATGCCGACACAGTCGTCAATCAAGCCGGACAAGCCGTAGTAGGCGGCTCCAGGCTGTTGCCAGATCGCATTGTATTCTTCGTTAATCTATTTCTGTATATGCCTGTGTTCGTGAGATTTGGAGGCCTCTCTATATTAATTATGGAGTACTGATTGAAATGGTTATGATTATCACTTGAATATTTGAGGATTGGCTTGCTTTAAGGAGTGTTAATGGTTGTAGAATATGACAATGACAATGGTGATTAAGATAGTTTAGCTTGAATATATATATATATATATATATGTATATCAGCACTTTAAGATGTTATTCTTCTTCACTAGGAAATCATGTGTAAATTTTATGCTTATCATGGAACTAATGAAGTATTGGTTTTCTCAGTGGAGCTCACTGTTTCAAATGTATTGATTATACTGGAAATTATTATCTTTCATTTATCAACTGATGATGCGGTTAAACTATGAATAGTTCATATAGTTTGAACAACATTTGGCTATTGAAAATTCTGTTCTCTGTGCAAGCATTTGTGTTCAGTTTTTCAATATATATTTAGCTTTGTTTTCTCAGTCATATTTGTAAGGTGTGTTACAAGGTGAATGAATCGATAAGAAATATTAATGTTATTTTTCATTCTTTATTCACTATATATATATATTTTTCTTTGCATCTTCAAAGTAACTTGAAGTCTTAAACCATGGCTGACCTTATTTTGTTGAATTAATTGGTTTTGTAGGGAGCTCGAAATTTCCAAAGTTATAAGCATGCAGTAAAACGTTTAGAAGAAGTCTCTGTTACATGTAGGGGAATAGAAAGAGTTCAGGTACTGAGAAGATGGCTAGTTGCCTTGAAAGAGATAAAGAGACAAAATGAAGCTCTCAACCTTGTCAAGTCTGGTTCATTGAAAGATCCTCCTGCAAGGCCAACCACGGTATATTTTCTAAAAAGCCTCAAGCTTTTAACCTTTTCCAGTTTTCAGGGAGATTATAATTTCATTCTTGGAAGATTCTGCATTTTCATTTTCATCTATGTAAAGTTAAGGACCATCAGGCTGGACTATTTTATGACCAAGTCCAACATAAGCTATGTTCTTGGGAAGATAGGATGATATGAGTTTCTGTTTCATACAGATTCTTCTGCAGAATCCAGCTTCTCAATTGATCTTAGCCGAAAAAAGAAAAAAAATGATCTTAGCCGCTAAATTGCAAGATGTAGTCTTGAATACTTCTCTGCGGCACTGTTCTGTAATCTTGGACTACCTCTCCTGTTTTGTTGATTTCATTTACATTTGTAAATTTAGAATCCAAGTTTACTAGCTTGTCCCGTATAATGTTTCTGAGTTAGATTCATGAACATCTTCATGTAGAAACTTCGTTGAGTTATTCAGGGTTGGTTATGAGTTGTTGGACTGCCAAGCTTTTCAAAAAGGAAATCCATCTATCTGCATTTCCTTATTATGATGCCCAGGTTATGTATTATGATCATGACCATGGTGGAGAACCGATGAACTTCCAGGATGTGTTCCTTAGAAGTCAAGCACTTGAGGGCATTACACTGTCTTTGGTAAGATTTGCGGCTTTCAATTGCCCTATGTCTTTTTTAATGTCTAATATAGCTTAATTAGAGGGTATTTCTCCTTTAATTTTTTTACCCTCCACACTTCTTATATGGATTCTAATATTTGAAAACCAAAAACATATGTTGCCAGAGACAGAGTTAACATTTGCATTTCATAGTACTAGTCTTGTTTATCTTGATGAATTGAGTGAAATAGCCTATTATTCCAGTTAAATAATTTTGCTTTTTTTGTTTTCAAAACACAATTTTCCATATACGATGATATCAAATGATTCTGCTTTTCTCAATACTACATGCTATTTCTGGTTATCATTGAGTTTATTTGCGTTTTCTTATGGTAATTGTAGGTTAACTAAGCTGACTCTTTTGTGTGGCCCAGATTCTTGAAGAACCCAATGACGAGGAACTTTCTTTGCTCCTAGAGATATATCGGTGATTCTCACTGGTCTTGCTTGTTTATATGTTTTTATTGTAGTTCTTAGGCCTAGCCAAGTGATGGGCTTGGTGATCACCACCAATCAGTAGTTTGATTTATTTAGTTGCTTTTCATATTTTGCTTCCACCTTGCAGAAGAATAAAAGCATGAGATCTTTCCCCGTGCTCTTTGTGTTCAGGCTTTGCCTAAATGGTGGAGATGAAGCTCATGATGTGACATTAAGCTGTGTAAAAGATTTGGCGAGAGCATTCTCAACCTACAGCGAGGAAGTGCTGGTATGCTATCAATCATGATGAGAGTGGAGATCTGAACAAGATGTGTAACAATTCTAATGCTTCACATCTTTGCATCCTAAACTCAGGTAAAGAGGGAAGAACTGCTGCAGTATGTGCAAGATGCCATAGCAGGCCTTAAAGTTAATTCTGAGATAGTAAGGTGGTTAAGGGTATACCTTTCATGACTTCATCAGCCATGCTTGATTTTCAGTTTTAGAGAAATGATATATACGGCTAGGTTAGACATGAACAAAAGAATGATACTTGCCACATAGGATTAATCTGGAAGGAGTTCGAAAACTCTTTAAATTTATCTTTTTGTATTGTTCTAAAATTTATAGTATGAACTATATAACACTGCTGACAAATCAGCAGCTTGAAATTAGTGTAACTCAACTACCTTAAAAAGATAATTTCCTTTTCTCATTTTCCCCAAAAGCAAGATTCAGCTGAAATGATCTACCCAAGAAAGGAGGCAGAGTTAGATTATAGTTTCTAAGGAATAAATGATGCTCTGGAGGATTAGTAAGATCTTTATTACTTATACGATTATTGTTTAACCTGATCGTGACTGAAAAGTTACCATTTTAATTATTTTTCTGTGTTTTCATTTGCTCTCAGAATAGATTCTGAAGTCTCAAACATACATAAAAAACTATGTGACTTTAAAAACCAGCTCTGTATAAATGAAAGGAAGAAATCACCCGAAAGTGCATCAGACATGCAAACAAAGGTAAGGCAATGTTTAATTTCTTGTAATTAACTTTCCCATGCATATTGGCACATAATGAAACCTGCTGCTCTAGGTTTGAGGAACTTAATATAGAATTCCGCTCCGTTTAGATAGAAATTTTGAAAATTTTGAGAAATAGTATGATGTTGAGTATTTAACTAAGAAAGAAAAAAAAATTACTGTTGATGAAAGTGCCAAAAATTCCATATATATCCATGTAAATAGAGTTGCTTGGTGTTTTTTAATTTGCTGATTAACTCCCTAGTGGAATATATCTTGGATATAACTCTGTTGAGTCCACTTATGAAGAAAATATTTTGAAAAATCATTAGCATGCCTTGCCTATTGTCTAAAGGTTGCCTTTGTCTAGCATCTATTTGATCTGGGATAAATTATTAATCCCTTCTTCTGTATCATTCAATGTGTAGCTGTCTGATCTTTGTTGATTATTTCTGATTCTTAATAATGACATAGATGAGAGATGAATAAAGAGTTTGCTCATATTTAATCCAATGCTGATATCTGCAAGATGCAAATGCTTAGAGTTAACCTTCTACCGCATCTAATTGAGTTTCTGTTTGGTGCAAATCTACTCAAAAAAATTTGTACCATCACTTGGACTAACTCCATTTTATTCCTGCAGTATCTGGAGGAAGACCTTGAAAATATTCTACTTTATTCCCGATTAGGAGAGCTTCTGTTGCAGAAAAAATTCATGAAGACTGGAGATTCGCCGACAGCCCATAAACAAAAGGCATTCCTGTTATCTCTGAAACCTATTGTTATAAGGGCTCTTAGGTGATTCCTAAATAAATCAACAGGAACCACATTATGATGTATCTGAAAAGATTACTGAAAATATGTGTGCCTTATAACCCTTACAGTCAAATGATTACCATACATCTGCTAAAATTTTTGCCGGCTGACGCTTAGTTGTTTTTATCTTTATAATTGTCAGGTGGATAAGCTAATAATATTATCAGAATCTCTTGCAGGCTCAGCCTCAAAAGCTGAAAAGCGCATTTTTGACAATAGGTTTGTGGTTCTTACTACCAATAGATCACTAGCAGTAGGAAGTTTCTTAAAATGTCAAGTCCTCAGAGAGTTTCTTGTATTTGGTATCAATCTGTTATGAAGATTTTTGTTTTATCATCATATCTAGGCAGAGAATTTGATGGTTATGATCTGGATGAGATATATGTATATGTCTGTAGACGCGTGAGCCTCTCAAAAGCTCCATTTCTTTCTGCAAACAGGATCCAGAAAGAAGAAGCCCTTAAATTTCGTGTGGCCAAAACTGGTGAAGTGAATCAACTCGAAAAGGTAAAATGCTTCTCAAACATTTGTTTCTTGTTAATATAGAAATGAATAACACAACCATGTGATGCTTAATAGATCTCACAGATTCAAGTTTCTTTTGCATTTCTAGTAACATCTGTATAAATATTTCTCATTAGTTTTAATATTGTAACTTTGATAGTAGTTAAACTAGACAGCAATATAGGATCGTGGTCCATGTCATTTTTAATGATAAAGAAGATCACAGGTGAAAAAAAAAGAAAAAAGTGTTCTACAATAGATCATAGATGTTATCTGCAAGCCCCAATTCTTTCCTGCAGTACTAGATCTAGCACTGCTGACTATAACCAGATCCTCAGGAATTGGCTGCTGAAATCAAAGCTCTCGAATGTAGAAAAGACGAGCTTGAAGAAGAGCTAAGAAAGGTACTGACTATACTTCCTTATACTATGGCTTTCCGAAAAGCTGCTGAAGTTATTTTTTGTTGTGTAGAATAGAAAAAGTATATGAATACAAGTGAAGTTACACGGATATATAGATGCAATTAGGAGTCACTCTAATATTAACCAATAAAATCTAACCGTTATATGACTCTATAGTCAATAAGTTGCATAGATGAGATAGAATAGCCAAAATAGAGGGCAAAAATATGTTGTCATACTGATGAAAAATGTGGTTCTGGTATGAGCCAACCTTGTTACATCTAATGAGTTTATATTTAGGTTAACAATTCCTTGACTTCTGCACGTGCCCGTCTTCGCAATGCCAGGGAAGAAAGAGATCAGTTTGATGAAGCCAGTAATCAGATTATTCAACATTTTAAGGTTAAGGTACGGTACTCCTCTGCCATTTCCAAATTCATCAGGTTCTTCAAGTTTTATTTCCTTAAAAGTAATGATGCTGCTACTCAGGAAGATGAGCTCTCGAAATCGATTGCCTCATATCGAGCAGAAGCCAAAGTCTGCAACACATTTATCAGTTTTCTCAAAAGCACATGGGCTTTCCAGTCATACTGTGCTCAACAAAAAGACAAGATTGTTAGGTAAGTTCCCCCCACATCTCCATGAACAAATGCATCAAAAATCGAATGTAACTATTAGATTTCTTTTTTTTTTTTTTTTCTGTAAGTGATGAGCTGGAGAAACACAAGGAATACTTGATGGATGTGGCTATGAACCTTTTAACTGCTTACAAGGTACCACAACAGCAGATGGAGATCAAATGTAGTAGTATATATATATATTCGTTTGAAATTCTTTTATCGTTGTAATGATGTTCTTCGCCAACCAGGAAGACCTCGAGCCTTGCATTTCTTCAGTTCAGGAACTTGTGCAGAATTTAAAAAGGTAATTCTTGTTAATTGTCATGGAATGGAACTCTGCAACACATACACCATGTCCAATACCAATTTTGCCAGGTTAGACAAATCATCCGATGCAGAGGAAACTGAGGCTGCGGCTAATCCAAGACGAAACCTTGAAAAACAGTATCAGATCAGATCAGCCAAGGTGTAAAATCATCCATCATCTTATGTACATACACACACACACATACACATATATATATATAAGCTTAGAAATGCAATTAATTAATCTTCATCCATCATAAAGATTTCCGTCGATTCCCTAAGACTAGAAGACTTATGTTGCTTCTATGTACCATTTTCTTGCAGATCATAACTGCATTTAGCATTGTGGAAAGCATCAAGAAACAGCTTTACATGCTCGAAGACACGAATTCAAGGTGAACTACGTCTAAGCCTTTAATTTACATTTTATGCATCCATGAGTAAATTAAACTCCCTGTTTATATAGTCGCTTTGGGAAAATTGCAAAAAATATCTCACATGTATACTCCATTATCACTTTTATCCTATATTTATAGGCGCGATCATACGCGGCCAAATGATAGAAATAACGACTTTTGCAATATATTTTACCAATTAGATAAGTACAGGACAAAAGTGACAATGAAGTATATATATATATATATATATAGAATTTTTTTGCAATTTTTTCTAGTCACTTTAGAACTTTTGGTATTATTCCGTAAAAATTACATCAAATGCTTAAATTTTTATTGTTCTCAAAATTTTGTAGACATCTGACTAGTGACACTCTTTACCAGGGAAAATGGCAACAAAATACACGAACTACTCGACACACTTGAAGAGATGAAAGTCGAATTCGAATCCATCGAGAAGCCTAGTTTCAAAATCGAGGATCCAAATATAGAAGACCATACACCACCAAAGGAAAGGGCCCCAAAAATCCGGTTCCTATCACAGAAACAGCGTTCGCCAAAGAAACTAGAGGCCAATGCTGAATCAACCTCAGGTTATGAGACACAAAGGGGGATTAATCCATTGGCTTTTGCTCCATTTTCTCTACCTTTGTCTCGGATGCAGACTTCGGCGTTACCAAGAAACAACGATCACTTGGAACATCTGGAGCCTATTGGGGTCGAAATCGGGAAGATGAAGTCGAATGCAGAGGCACTGTTGTCCAAGTTGAAGCTAGAGTTGGAACTTGAGAATCACATTAGAGGCAATTCCATGGAGGGCATTATTGACTGGGAATTCGACGAGATGATTCCGAGAAATAGTTTGTGACGATGAATCGATCGATCAATGCCAAATAAAATGAAGGATACATATGTCTGAAGTGATCATCATCATCATCATAAGATGTTTTGGGTAAGTTCTTGCCATGTTTGTTTATACTTCTAAGCATGAATATGTATATCATTTGATTGATTCGAGTATGGATATATGTAGTTATTGCATTTTCTTGAAATTATGAAATGGGATCGTTACAATGGCCCTATTATATATATATATATATAAATATATATACATATATGAGGTTGCTAGCGTTTTAAATTTAAGGATTTTTGTAGTTGTTGCTTTGTGAGGTTAGATATTTTACTTTTTTTTTTCTTATTTTGGACATACATTCGTTGTTGTAAAGCTTGGGCATCCTATATGCAATACTTTGAAATTATTAGATGTGAAATTATTTTGGAGGGAACATTCTTGAAAATTTAAAGTTAACTTATTATGGAAATTAATTTTATTACTATGTAATTATCATATTTTTTTTATAAAATATATTAATTTCTATCAAAAAAAAAATATCACATTTAAACTACTATTTGAACAAAATAAATAAATTAATTAAACAAGTTAAAATAACACAAGTTTGTTTACATTTTGGTGTGTATTGAAATATTGTAATGTGATATTTTGAATAAAAGTACTTTTTGAACATAATTTACTAAATAAAAATTAAAAATATGATAGTATTTTTTCTAAGAAAAGCAAAAATAAGATCGGCATTACAAATAAATAGTGGAAATATATGTTTAAAAATACAAGCAAACTATTTACATGAAGATTAAAGAAGTAAAATTAAAAAGTAACTTTTTAGATAAAAAAAATATTAAGAAAAGGAGACAATAGAATTTGGCCATATCAGAAGAAAATTTCAGAGCACCACCTTTGTTCCTTTCTTTTTTGGTTAAATTTTGTCAGATAACATGTGATGAATCTGATATAAGAGTCTCAAAGGGGTCCTCTACTTGGAATCCAATATGTATAAATCTATATATATATATATATATATATATATAAGCTTATTTTCTTATCCAAATTATTTTACTTGTTCATTTCTTCTTAATTCACACACACATATATTATATTATAGAAATAAATTAGAATGTAATGTTGGTGTGAGGTCCAATGGATTGATGCAATAGTGTGCAAACAAAATAAGGCCTCGAGGTGAGGATATATAGATATATATATATATATATGCACATAGGGTTTCTTGTGTTCTGATGTTTTTAAAATTATATTCTAACAAAATATTTCTTTGATAGAATATAAATAAGTCTTTAACATAATATTTTTAATATTTGAGATTTAAAAAAAAATATATATTGCAAATAAATTTGTAGTAAAAATAAATGATAGAAAATACAACCAAACATACTTGTAACTTTTTGGTAAACTAATCTATGTTTAACCAACAATAAAAATATTAGCTTATCTGCACTAGATTAAAAAAACACCATTTTATTTTGATGTCTCAAAAACAGTGTTATTTTTAAAAAATAAAAATAAAAATAAAAATAAAAAAGACCAAAGATGCCCATATTTTGACTAAAAGTCATCTTGGAGATCCATAAACCTCCATTTTCTTGCCATTGATAAAGATTCACAATAACAATAACAATAAAAAATAAAAGTAAATAAATAAATAAATATATAAACAGTTGGGAGTGGTGCAAAAAACCAGGTTTTGAGGAATGGGTTGGCTTCCAGTTTATGTTTTTTGTTGCAGGGAAAGTTGTGGAATGCTGCTGCTGCAGCACTCCCATTATTTAATCTCTTGCCCCCCTCATTAATTTAAACAATAAAAAATAAAATAATAATAACCATAAATTAAATAAAAAAATAAAATAAATTTTTAAATTAAAAAGTTTTTTGGACTCATGTCAGAAAAATACAAAGCCTGTAAAACCTAACTTGGAGCCACTTTTGATATACACTAAACTCCAAATTGCAATTTGAATTCCAAATTAGGAATCTCACTCTCACTCTTACTCTCTCTCTCTCTTTCTTTTTGATTTTATTTAATTTTATTTAAAGTTTTTGCTATGTGAACAAATCATTAACACTATAAAAAGCTGAGCATTGAATTTGAGTTTCATTTATTAGTTCAGACTTAAGAATTGCCCAAATTCTATCAAACTAAAAAACACATGCAGACAGAAACAGTGGTGCAGATGGCCAACTTTGTTTGCATATCCGCTAAAATATTTATAATTAAGTTTTCTTGGAGTTTGTTTTTATTTCTTATTATTACGCAACAATTGCAATTTCCTATAAAATTATGACTCATGTTTATATATACATCTAATTTTAACCTATTCATTAATACTCCATCCGTCCCACTTACTATATTAATGTTGTCGTTTCTATATGTTTCACATCTCATCTCATGTCACTTTCATTTTTTAAAAAATAATTACCCATTTTAATCTCATTTTAAATTTTTTAATTATAATTAAACTAATTAGTTATTTTAATCTTAATCTATAATGATTTATATTAACATTATAAGTTAATTATTTTCACTAATATATTTTTAATTATCTACTTATATAATAAATTCTAGTGTCTACGGTGACTAAGACATCCAATATGGGACAGAGGGAATAGTATCTTTTTATAAGAAAAATATAAAATACCTCTCACAAATATCATACCAAATTATTTTTAAATTGTTTAGTTAAACTAAATACTCTCTCCGTCCCATAACAAAGTATCTATTTTTCTATTTTAGTCCGTCCCATAACAAAAATATCCATTTCTTTTTTTAGTAACTGTACTGTCTACCTAACGTTACAAATACCCTTACAACTTACAATATATTACACAAATGTCATTACCTTTATATCACATATACTAACAATTTATTTTAGTCATTTCTACTTTATTTCTACTATATCCCAATATAATACTAATATTTCTAAAATTACGTGCAAAAAACAAATAGATATTTTTTTTGGGACAGAGGGAGTATATACTATCCTCCCCTATGTCCTAAACACCGCGCAACATTTAAATTCGGCACGGTAATTTAGATGGATAGTATTAAAAAGGATAATTAGAAATAAATTAGAGATTAAGTGATGTAATTGGAGAGAGAAATACATTTTTTTTTTTTATTTGAGTAATGTGATAGGTATAAAATGGAACATATATTTATATATAAAAATATAATTAATTATTTTGAAATTTAAAAATATTTGAGTGAGTTTAGAAAAAAAATGAAATAAAAAAAAAACCCTAAAGGTGTGTTTGGTTGTGATTTTTGTGCAGTGTGAAATATATATAAAAATATACTCTATCCGTCCATTAACAATCTATCCATTTTTTTTTATTTTGGTTCGTCTTATAACAAAGTATTCATTTCCTTTTTTACAAATATTGTTCCAATTTACAATATATTATTACATTTATATTATACATTAATTTATCTTCTTACCTCTATTTCTATTTATCACAACATAATACTAATATTTCTAAAACTCAGTTAAAAAAAAACAAATGGATATATAGTCATATAGATATGAGACAGAATATTTTATTCTCATAAATATCACATCAAAATACTATTTAAACCACTCATTTCAAATCAATTTCAAATTCCAATCAACCAAACCCTAAAAATTTAATAATTAATTCCCTATTATAACCACATAATGCACATCTTTTCTTGATGATTTTGGGAGAGAATTTAAAAACCCATTTTCCTTTTTTCCTATATATAAGAAAGGCATTCCTAATGCTTTTAACCTAACTCCTATCCATCCATCCATACCTTTCTTCCCTACACTACACTACACACTTTGATTTCTCATTTTCTCTCAACAACAATCATCATATTATCATCTTCACAAATCTCCCATTTTAATTCTAATTTTTATATTTTTTTTATTTTTCATGAAATGGCCTCAAATCCATCAAAAGAAGAAGAAGAAGACTACATAGACATGGAATTAATTACTTCTTCCCCACAGAGCACAGAGTTTGAGTTTACCTGTAATGACAAAGAATCCACCACTTCTCCAGCTGATGAGCTCTTCTACAATGGCAAACTCCTCCCCCTCCACCTCCTCCGCGCCGCCGCCGCCGCCGCTGCAACGACAAAATTCAATGTCAGTAAAGCTTCATTTGAAAATGAAGAAGAAGAAGAAGATGTTTTCTACTCAATGCCATTGCCAAAGTGCTCCACAGCACCATGCACCAACACTGCAAACACCCCGGCCGATTCTGTCAACATCTCGCCGTCGGAATCGTGCAGGGCGAGCTGCGAACTCAATCACGACGACGACAACTACTTCTTCGAATGGTCGACAGAACTCACCGGCTTCATCAGCAATCGACAGCCGACAAAAAAGAGCAACTGGTCAAAGAAACTCAAGATAATCAAGCATAACATTCTTGCCCACAAGCTCCGGGCTTCGAGAGCTTACCTCAAGTCATTGTTCGGAAAATCCGACGAGCCCGGCAGCACGAATTCCAGCGCCGGAAACTTTTCGGGAGCCAATGAATGTTCGGAGAAACATTCGAAGATTTCCAAGAGAATACCTTTCAGGGTGATTGGAAGAACTCCATATCCTACAATAGCTGCTATAATGAAAGATGGCGATCGAGAAAATGTCCACCGGAGATCCTTCTCCGGCGCGATCAAACGCCATTCCCCGAACAAGTCCCTGTCTTCTTCGTCGTCAAATTCTTCCTCCGGCGCTTCCTCTTCGTCATCCTCTTTTTCGCTCAATTCGACTGGTCTTTCCGAGCTTCAGTTTCTCAGGAGGAGCACCAGTGCTAAAGAGATCGAGAGTTCGATTGAGGCTGCCATTGCTCATTGCAAGAAATCTCAGCAGGTTTTTGATTCAAGAAACTCATCCGGGGAGCCTGAAATTTGTTCACAGATTTAATGTAGCATTCGATATATATACTGTTTTAATCCATCACATAATCTATATGTCCACATGAAAATTCTTGATTATGTATATAGATAGATTCATACAGCTTGAATTATACATAATAATTTCTTCACATTCAATTAAACAGATTCTGCATTTCATTTCAAATTTCAAATAAACCCCCAAAATGATGATGTATTTTCTTGATTCAAAACCCATTCTTTAAGACTTTCCAAAGCCTACCCTATACCAAAAGGAAAGCACAGTACACCCAAACTTTTCAGAAATGAAAAGGGTTCAGAAGACTACAAAATACACAACTTTTTTCCAGTCTCAAAATGAGGGCACCCAACTTTTTGGCCAAGTGGATCCAACTTTCTCTTAGTCCTGATGCTTATTCAGATGCCATATGATTTTTGGTATAGATTTTAGTGCAGTCAAATGTGTTGTCGATGGTTTATGTATATTGAACTAATAGTCACACCTATGAAGGAAATTTAATTTTAACAGAACTTAGCTACACAGATAAATCTAACAAGAATCAAGAATGCTTTTAATGTAGCATGTAGTGATAACTTTGTTTCACACATGAGCCTCTGCAAAAAAAGTGAATATATGATCAACTTTTCTCTCTGTCAAAGAAAGGTAGCAAAAGTTGTTCAGGGGAATCTTTGCATTACTTGTATGACAGAATAACCTTTTGAGCCTAAAAGGGAACTTGATGAGATATATATATATATCTAGAGAGAGAGAGTGCGTGTGTGTGTGTGTGGGAGAAACCTTTTATTTTAGAAGAGGATAGCTGGAAGAGAGAAAAGAAGATGAATATGATGACATAGTTACATAAAAGTTTTTCATGTTCATACTTTTTTCTAAGTGAAGTGATTAAGCAGAAACGACCTTCAATGGCACTGACTTCCATTCGTCCATAATACAGCAAAGCGAAAATAGAACAAGTACAATTATTACAAGGAACAAATAATGTCCAAATGAAAAACTGTGTGCAAACAAAGAACTAATGGGGCATGCTTCCATGGCTTTTGAGACAGACCAGATACTTCAAGACTAACAAATATCTAGAACACTGTCAAATACTTATCGACATTTGAAGCTCTTTCTCATCGAACCAACAAGTATGTACTGTTACAGAAAGTATGTATCAGTTCTCATACCAACTGTTTGATTAGATTTGAGAATAATCAAATCTTTGATGTATCTACTTTTCCGTTGATTTTAGATTTATGTAAATTTAAAATCATCTCATCTTGTTCATCATCTAAAACTCTATCCCAACTGGCTGAGGCTCTAATTAAGTCTAAGATAAAAAGGATTAAATACTATCAGTTCTGCACCAAACAATCTTCTTGTGGATCAAAATATTCCACATTTCCTAAAAGCCAAAACTCCTTCAATTGGAGATTATATATATGAGCAGATATATGATAATCCATTGTATCGTAAACTGCTTACAGGAGGCACGCATTAATGTAATATCAGCAATATTTTAGGGCAGTTCGATTTATTGGTTGGACAATTGTCCACCATTCAAGCTTATAATAACATACAAAGAGAGCAGTAGCACATGTATTTATATCCTAAAAATACACAGACAGTCTGACAGTATACACAGGACCATTACTTACACATTTAGGGAGAAATACAAGGAACCAACTACCTTCATTTTCTTATATTGTTGGCAATGGAGTCTTTTTCTGCAAAATGCTCTTAATCTAATAGTGCCATGACATCGTCTACAGTATTTGTACGTGTGAAATAGACGAAACAGCTAGGAAGACCTACCAACACCTCTCGATTCTTATGGTCAGCGTTGTCTAATTACTTGTCTCCATAAACATATCAGATGAGTCTATCTTAATTTCTGTCTCCCCTAATCTACAAATTCCTTAACTACTTCTATTATGATATTCAGTTCAATGAATTAGTCCAGAAAAACGATTCCAGGATAACACTACATGCAGCATTCTCATCCCTTAACGCCATGTAGTCGAAAAGCATGCAATGTCTACGTATAAATATCGTAAGCACATGAATAAATGGAATCTCAGTACAAATTATATTAACATCTGTGAAAACATGATATAAATTTGAAAACCCAAACTAATGAAACAGGCAATCATAAAACAAATTGATCTAATCTACAAACAGTCCTAGGAAATCCATATCGAGAGAGTACCAGAGTTCCCGAGCATTCCAAGAGATATTCATGACAGCCTCACAGGTCCAAACTCATCAGAATTTTACCTGTATGAAGTACAAACATTAAGAATTTTACCTGATATGCTTCCAATTGCTAAAGGATAAGGTCAAAGTAAATCATTGCAGACAGCACAGTGCACACACTGTTTACTTATTGAAGGATGTTCATATTGCAGGTCATACTAGACATTCGTTTTGCCACTTCAGCATGGACCCTCACTTGGTTGATCCAATGGTGCCGCATATACGGAAGGATCCAGTCACCAGTATTATCAACAACAACCACAGTAACTGGTTCGATGAACCTGCAGAGCTTGAAAGTGATGGCTTACCTCCCCACGAGACCTAGATGGTCCAGTGCGCTCACTAGTTATCCTGAACTAGGTCAACAAGTATCGAAAGAGACATGTTCCACAAAATTGTGTGAACAAAGTAAAGCAAGTAAGCTTGTCTGAGGATGAGACTTCCAAATTCAGACACAAGTGCCCCGCACGTGTCTTGGCTCCTCAAGAATGGTCACTCGCCAATCTGCCTTTTAATCTGCATGCATGTCAACAATATAGGATGATATTACACGAATGCCTATCATTATACGTTTTCTATGGTACATAAACATAGGAAGTTCAGCTTAGTTATCACCGTCAATACATATCATTGCTTTTGTCTAGCAAATGGGTGTGTGTGTGCCGTAAGACCTAACCACAATCCCTATGTATCTATCAGTTGTAGCATCATTCGATAACAGCACAGCATTATGCAGATAAACAAACTCAAAGTGGCAACGAAATCAAAATCAAACATGAAAAACAAAATCAGATATGACTGAAATTTATATCTTCGCCTTTTCCCCTTTTCACGCACAACAACATAAAGGAAAGACATTGAACTAATGGCAAACAACATATATTATATCTAACTCTATCTCCAATCCATTTTATCAGGTTACCGAGCAGTTAATTATCCAGATTAGATGTTACACGTACATACTGTAAATTGTAACTTGAAAAATAGTGCAGAATAAGGCCTAAGTATGAAGACAAGCACTTGGTGTCAAAACCATATGCATGGTAACCATTACAGAAAAGAGTTAGAATACTGTACATACTTGCATACATATATATATATGTATATATCATTAAAAGACATCATCAGAGAATGCAAAAGAGCAACCAAGTCTTGAGAGAAACCAATATTTATTCAATAAACATGCAAGGAGCAAACAGTACATTCAGTAGTGAGAACATTTGTGACCACTTGTGTCACAAGCACACATCTCTTCTTCGTGTTACAGCTTATGCTCCACAAAACAACACCTTCCAGAAGTTTCCCCCTGATTCCGCATCATTTTGCTGACAAAGTATCCTCATTTGATTCTGAGGTCTTTAGTATGTATGTCTTGCGTGTTAGAAACTCGGTTCTCAATCCAACAATATATGTGTTTTGAGAACCTATAAAAGTTTTCCAAAGCTCCCAATGTTTGTAGTTAATTGACTCTTTTTCTATAGAGATTGCATTGCTTGGTTCTCGGAGTTGTCTGCATACTGAAAAAAACGAATACACTCAATCTTGCATCTTCCATCAAATAGCATAGATTGGGTGTACTTCTGAATCAGTATCCGAGTTACGCCATGAGTTTGTTCCCCCACTCCTAGAATACTTCTCTTTCTTCTTCACTCTCCGAATCCTTCTGGATTTCACTACATAATATGTCATAGCACCCAGAACCCCTGCCATTATAAGTCCCCCTGTAATAGTAACAAGAATTGCAGCCCATCGATTGTGTCTCCCAACAACTATGTAAGCTGAAGAAATGAAAGCCACCGTGGTGCAAACAGAGGCCAACCACATCAACTTATTGATTATCTCCACTACTCGTCTCTCAGATTTTATTTCACCCCTGACCACTGTAATTTGCACAACAACAACAGCCAGGGACGTGAAAAGTGCCACAGCATTAGAAACAAAGAAGACCTTGAATGAAGGATTTTTTACCATCACAGCTTTTCCATTGTCATCATCACCTCCAGGAACTGTGAATATGGCAGCAAAAGCAACTGTTGCAAAAAGAACAGCAACCACCGTGACTGAATTCGTGGCATTATTTATTCCTTCTCTGTGGAGCTTCCTAAGCTCCTTTGCAATCCCAGTAACATTTTTATTTGTTTTGCGAGCTTGTTCAAGCTGAATATGTACATCCTTCTTAATTTCTGATACAGTTCTCCGAAGCTCATCACGAGGCTGGTTCAGTTCATTGGCTCTGACAGCTCCATTACGAGTCAAGCTTTCCCTTATTTCCACAATTTCTTCTGATAAAGGGAGCCCTTCAGCGATGTCAAGAGCTGTTTTGTGGTCTCTTGTCAATGCATTAACATTTGTGTCCCGAAGCAATAGCAGCTCATGAACAATCTGCATATACACCACCAAGATCTCAGGAATACGAAATGTAAACTTTTTAAAGTTTTCACCCCTTAGATAAACATAAAAAAGTACTCATCCGAACCATCTATTGGAAGATTACATGCAAAATACATTAATCCATTGCCAAAGGCATGTCATGATAGACGCATAAATTTAGGGTGTTTGCTTGTTTCTAAATTAAAGTAAATTTTATAATAAAAAACAACATATCAATACTTATTATCATTCAAAGCATTTACTGTTAATGCCTCTTTTTCATTCAAAACATTGCATTAACAATATATTTACATAATGGGTGTGTTCGTTTAAAGGATTTTGGCAAAATCCTACTATTCATAAAAAAAAAAAAAAAAAATTCTCCAAAAACATCAAATTAAACACCTATTTTTCATTTTTTATATTATACTAAAAGTTAATTTTACATTCAAAACATCACATCAACACCTATTTATATCATGTCATGCAACTATTACAATTCAAAATGTTTACTATTCAAATCCCAACTTAAAATCCAAACCCCCAAACAAACACACCCATTCTAAACATCATATTAAATATATATTTACATTAAAAAACATAACATCCAAAATATATTTTCATTTAAAATATCATATCTGAAAACCTATTTTCCAATAAGAAAAAAAAAAAGACACCCATGATTACAGACCTGATACCTGAATTGCAAAATGATACAGCAGAGAAAAAAGTAACAGCATGTTTAGCAATCAATCTTGAGCCAGCAGAGAGGAAGAAATAGGAACGGAATACAAACCTCAACACGTTTTTTCCTGGTGGCAATATGCAGTGCAGTGTTACCAAATTTGTCGGGAAGCATCACAACCGCAGCACCTGCCTGAAGAAGCAACTTAACAACTTCACAATTAACACCCTTAACAGCCATGTGCAGTGCAGTCTGTCCTTTCTTATCAGTTCTTTTGGCCAGGTCTGGGTCCTTCTCAAGCAATGCTTTGACAATTTCCACATGGCCTTGGCGGGCAGCAAAATGTAATGCGTTTTTACTATTAGACCTTGTCATCTCTAGCAAACTGGGATCCTTTGACAGTAATTCCTTGACAACAGCAATATGCCCTTTAGTTGCAGCAGATATAAGTGGAGTAGCATTTGATTGACCAACTGTTCTGCTTAGTTCAGGATCATGCTCCAGCAGCATATGGACAATATCTGGAAGATTTAAAAAGCAAAAGATAATAGTTACTAAACATAGAAGAACAATGAGAAAGATCATTATATTCTAATTTGATGTTTTAGTGAAGATTTCCAATCTTCAGCAAGCAAAAAAATATTCCAAGGTTGGAATGAAGTTATCCATCATTTTTTTAACAGAAATCAAAGGTCTCCATCAGCTTGGTTTATTAATACACTTCTAAAATTGGTTAAATGGAAAAAGAAAAACAACAACGATATTTTTCCTACCTAAAACACATCACACAACACATATTTTTCATTCAAAACCTATTTTCCATTCAAAGCATCACGTCTAACACATATTCTATTTATAATGTCAAAAAAAAAAACATATCAAATCAAGAATGCCCAAAACATCAAATAAAGACACCCAATTATCCCATCCCAGGAAAATCACAATCACAAAACCATATTCATCAATTCAAGCATCTAAGAAGCCACAATCACATGCCAAGCATTTGAACTCAAACTTGAAGAATTCAATTACCACAATGTCCTTGACTTGCAGCAATGTGCAGTGGATCGAAACCGGACCTGTTCTTAGTCCTAATCCCTTCTTTAGTTGTGAAAGGTAACAACTCCTCAACGATATCAATGTATCCCCTCTCTGCAGCTGTGAAAAGTGGTGTCTCCCCGAGTTCATTGACCTCGTTCACTACAACAGCCCTGACTTCAGCAACCTCAGCATCAAACTCAGCCCCGCCAGATGTCTTCAGCATTTGCTCATCGATTTCCCCCAAAATCTGCCTCACTGCTGCCACGTCACCCTTCTGCGCAGCCAAATGGAGCTCCGTGTCGTTGTGCCGACCAGTGACCTGCTTCACATACTTCTTCTTTCCTGATTGGTCCATTGTTTTTCCCGAATTGGAAACGACCAAAGCCTTGCCGGAATTGGAAACCACCAATGCCTTTCCAGAGTTTGAAGACGCTAATGATTTGCTGGAGCTCGACACGTACAGAGCCGCCGCCCGCGGCGAAGGTGAAGGCGACGGCGACGGTCTCTCGAGACTGGAACTCATTTCCAGATCTTTCTCCCCTGTTTAGCGAAATCACTAAAGTCAAGACACTGCACAATACAGGTAACGCTAATACGATCGATCATCGATGCGAAACATTTCTAATTCGAAATCCGAACAAATCACAGCAAACAATATCCCATAGCAGCGTTTCACAGATCAAAAAATAGCAACTCGCCACCACTATTAACTCCATGTACGAAACCTAATTGTCGATTCCTCAGGTGATTAGTAGTATGTAGGTAGTTACGCACAATCCGATCAAAATCCGAACAAATCACAGCACACAATATTCCGTAGCAGCGTTTCACAGATCACAAATTAGCAGCTCACTTCCACTATTAAACACCATGTACAAAACCTAATTGTCGATTTCTCAGGTGATCAGTAGCGTGTATGTAGTTACGCACCTTTGACGGAATCCATTGATACAGAGTCGGAAAGTCTTCACTCTCTTTCCCTCCCTCGCTATTTACTCCATTTCTTTCGTCCAATCGAGTGAGCCGCAGCAGCCAAGCAACCTGACGGGAGGTGAAGAAGTAGCAGCGGCGACGGTGGCAGTGGTAGTGGTGGTGCGGCGGAGGCGAATAAAAAGGCTGGTTGTCGTAGCCGCGTTGACGCCGCCGGACCCACAAGGTCGCTGTACGTCCAACAATTATTTTTTATAATAATAATTATTTAATTAATAAAATATAATAATTGGCGTGGAGAAAAACTGTTCACAAAATTTAGACACATAACGGTAAAAGTCGCAAAATAGCTCCACACGGCCCAATAAGAGCCCAACAATAATAATGAAATTAAAGCCGACAATTGGTAGACTCTTGTTAGGTTCGTGTCGGGTTGAATACTTTAAACGGTCGTGTCGAGTTCGTATTTATCCGTTTATTATCGTGTTGAGTTCGGGTTGACTCATATTGACCCGTATATATAATTAAGTCAAGTCGATTTTCTTGATTCAAATTAAATAATTTTTTTGTTACGTTGTTGTTGGTTAGTTTTTATTAGTTTGAGCTTAAATTATATTGAATTATTTAAAATTGAACTTAGTTTAGATTCATTTATGAGAAAATTATTAAATTATGATTATTTTATATATACAATAAATATACTAATCAATATTAATATATTATAATCGAGTTGTCTAGTCGGGTTCGAGTTGAGAGCCTCAACCCTAATCCGACCCGTTTACTATCATGTCGGATTCGTATCAACCCGTATACATATTCATGTTGAAATCTTTAACCCAAACTCAATTATTTTGTATCATGTTATGTCAGTTTTTGTCGGCTCCAAATGAAATCAATGATTAAATATACTTCATAAACATAAATCTAAATTAAAGATTATATAAAAATATATTTATACCGTAAAAAAATAAAATTGAAGTATTCAAGATAATACTCCGTGCTAAATTGTTCAATTTAGTTTGGTACAAAATTTTAGGTATGGTATAATTAGGAAGTAATTAAAAAAATTGTAAAAATAAAAGTAATTATAAATTTAAATAATTAAATAATTTAATTAAAATAAAAATAATAAATTTTAAATTTTAAAATATTAAAATATATGACAAATTATATGGAATAGTCGAAAATAGAAATAACTTTATATTTTTTTACTTCTTTGTTTTTTTTTTTTTTTTCCTTCTTCGTTACGCTGCTTTGCTCCGTCACACCTAGGGATGGCATACCGTACCGTACCGAACTTTTCGGTATGATTAAAATATATATCGGTATCGTACCAAAAATTTCAATATACCGAATTTTGGTATACCGAAATTTTCGGTACGGTACGGTATATACCGTTTATACTGAAAATTTCAAATTCGGTACGATACCGATATATACCGCTTATGCCAAAAATTTTGTTTTATGTATTCACCTGTATATAACAATTATACCGAAAATATAAATTTAAATTTCAAAATAATTAAAAAATTAATAAATATCACTATTCTCCACCACAAAAATATTATGAAAAAACCAATAAATTTTTTTCAATAGTTTACATATTTTTTCTTATGATTTTTAAAAAATATTAATAATTATTATTTATATTAATAATTAAATTATTTTAATAAAAATAATATCGATATGGTATCATATCGAAATATCGAATTTTTCGAAAATTCATACTGATACCGAATATTCGGTACGATATTTATATCGTACCAAAATTTTGGATATTTTCGACACGATATGATATAATAAATCTGTTTTTCGGTATGTTCGGTAAATTTATCCATCCCTATCCTAGCAACACCGCTGCGCCGGGTGTAAAGGTGATGTTCCTAGATTTATTTTCAAAATAATAATAAATGCTAAACCGCCGGTTCAATCCGAACACCGGTGGTTCGACCCGGAGATTCACGGTTCATGTCTATTTGTAATTGGCGTTGTGGATCCGTACCCGTGTCGGCCATTAATGAACCTCTAAGAAACGCCAAAGCTTTCAATTTATTCTTCAATGCGACATCGATTTCGGTTAGCGTCACCCCTTCATTCTTCGCCTATAAAATGGGGATTTGTGTTGGTTGCTTGAGCAAGAACACTCCCGATCCCCACCATTGTCCTTCCCCAAATCCACACATCTCCTCTTCCAACAATCCGCCCGATTGTGTAAATTCCGGCATGGCTCTGCGACTGCCCTATGGCCACGTGGATTCCGCCTTGCGCGCTTTGGCCGGCCAAGCTGAGGGCTTCGGTCGCCTCGCCGTCGGCGGCCTCAACGGCGCCGTTTACTGCGTCACCACACTCGCTGGTACGAACTCTTCCCCCTTTTGATTAAAATTGTCGATTCCGTTTCTATTTCACTATCAATTTCGAGCGTGTTTACTTTGTAACTGTATTATAAACATATTGTAGTTGTAACCTAATTAGCAGCCTGTGTTAGTGAATTGTGTGAATTTATTTTACATAAGAAGATTAAATAAAGTCGAGTGATTCAGTAAATGTATGAATTTGTTGAGTTTCTTAATTCATAATTCATGTTTCAATTTGTTAAATTCATTCCCCTTTTAATTGATGATCGGGTTCAATTCCCGTCGTTCGCGCTCTCGTGTTCAGTTTGTTCATGGATTGCGAAATTGTTTAACATGAAGATTAAACAATCTCGAATGATCAGTAATATGAATTTATGGAGTTTCTTCATGATTCGTGTTCAGTTTGTCAAATCTTTAGCATTTTGATTGATGATTCGTGTTCAGTTTGTTCATGGATGGTGTCAAATTGTTTAACATGAAGATTAAAGAATCTTTCAGTAAAAACAAATCAGTGTATGAATTTATGGAGTTTGTTAATTCATGATTCATGTTCTGTTTGTTAAATTTATTCGCCTTTTAATTGACAGATTCGTGTTCAGTTTGTTCGTGGATTGTGTGAAATTGTTTAACATGAGCATGAAGATTAAGCAATCTTGAATGATCAGTAAACACGAATTAGTGTATGAAATTATTGAGTGTCTTAACTCATGATTCGTGTTTCAGTTTGTTAAATTTATTCCCCTTTTGATCACTGATTCGTGTTCAATTTGTTCGTGGATTGCTTGCAATGTTTAACTTGAAGATTATTTCGATTAATCAGCAAACACAAATTAGTGTATGAATTTATTGAGTTTCTTAATTCATGATTCGTATTTCGGTTTGTTAAATTTTTTCGCCTTTTAATCGACGATTCATGTTCACCTTGTGCGTGGATTGTGTGGAATTATTTAACATAAAGATTAAACAATCTCAAATAGTAAGCAAGCACAAATTATTGTATGAATTTATGGAGTTCCTTAATTCGTGATTCGTATTTCAGTTTGTTAAATTGATTCGCCTTTTAACCGAATCAAGTTTTTGACTCATGATTCATGATCACGTTGCAAATTTATTTTCCTTTTCTATGTATGCATTTATAGACGACGGACCAGGTTCGCTACGGTATGGCTGCCGTAAGCAGGAGCCTCTGTGGATTGTCTTTGAAGTTTCGGGAACAATTGAGCTGTCGTCTTATCTGAATGTATCCTCTTACAAAACCATCGACGGTCGGGGTCAGAGGATTCGGCTCACCGGGAAAGGTTTAAGGTTGAAGGAATGCGAGAATGTAATTATCTGCAATCTAGTATTCGAAGGGGGCAGGGGACATGACGTTGACGGGATTCAGATAAAGCCGAAATCAAAGCATATATGGATAGATCGTTGCAGCTTGAGTGACTATGATGATGGTTTGATTGATATCACCCGGGAGAGCACCGACATTACTGTTTCTCGGTGAGATTAAGATGGAATTTAGTCTGTTTTTAATTCGTTCTTGGTTTTGACCGATTAGAAAAGATTGCCCGATTGAAATTTGACGATTCGATGACTCGATTGTTTTGATTTCGTAGGTGTCACTTTATGAATCACGACAAGACTATGCTAATTGGTGCTGATTCGTCCCACGTAGGGGATAGATGCATACGGGTTACGATCCACCATTGTTTTTTCGACGGGACTCGGCAGCGACACCCGCGCGTCAGGTTCGGGAAGGTTCATTTGTACAATAATTACACTCGTGGTTGGGGGGTTTACGCTGTTTGTGCTAGTGTCGAATCTCAGGTGACGATTGTGCATTTCAATCCTGATAAAATCACTATCTTTAGAAAAAAATGATATTATTGTCTTGACACGGTTATTTTGCTTCTTCCTATGTAGATATACTCGCAGTGCAACATATATGAAGCCGAACATAAGAAAGTAGCCTTCAAATACTACACGGAAAAGGTATTCTTATAACTTCTTCGATTGATGCAAATAAGGCCTATAAAAATAGATTTAAAACTCGATTCTTGAACATTAAGTCGATCATGTCCGTTGTGTTTTGTCGTTGGGTTATCGTGCAATCTTGAATCGGTTGTGAATAACGAAACAAGATGTAAATAAGCAGAAACACTTAGTTTCAACTACGACAGTACTGCGTTAGTAGAAATCATGTGCCGACAGCTCTCTATATAGGGAAGGTGTGTTGTATAGAATATAGATATATTTTATGTGCTGAAATTAAAAATAATGTGTTGTGTGGATAATTCTCATGTGTTGTTAGTTATTTTATAATGTGTTGTTAAAAACGTAGGGTGTGTTCATTTTGTATTTTTGGATGAATGTGTTTTTTTATGGTAGATATGAAGAATCGTGTCTATAATATAAAAAATAATATTTTGTATTGAATTGTTTATTCCTTTATGGGTTCATAGAGTATATTCTCCCTCCGTAAGGGTGATGTTTACCTTTTACATGTAGATTTTTAAATATTCGTATTATATTAGGTTGTAGTAAAAAAAAAAAAAAAGCCAAAAAAATACTTCTAATAGTATTGTGTAATATAAAAGTAACGACATTTGTGTAATATATTGAAAGTTTGAGGGGTATTTATTATGTTAAGTAGATAGTACAATTATTAAATTAGAAAATGGTAACCTTGTTTTGGAACGGAAAAAAATAGAAAATAACAACCGGAGGGAGTATATTATATATGTTGTGTTAATATATATATATATATGTATTGTATTTTTTGCAGTATTTATGAAAATTTGTGCCATTAAAAAATAGGTTGGGTGAATAAATCCGTTCTTAATTTAAAGATTCAACACACTAACAACAATTTTTCAATCAACACATTATGTGCCAAGATGAATACTAGTATATGCTGTGTGTACAATTGTCATGCATTGTATTTTTATATTATGTTAACATAAATCGTGTGTAGTATGTCATCTTTTCGTAAAATTCAGCACAATAATTACCGTCATAATTGAGTGGCTGTTTTTCTGCATGTAGGCTGGTGATAAGGACTTGGAATGCACGGGGCATGTAAAATCCGAAGGAGATATGTTTACCAGCGCAACTCAACCGGGATTAATGGCCCTCCCGAACGATTCGTGTGTGTTCCATCCGAGCGAATACTATGAGACTTGGACAGTCGAAGCCCCGAGCGAAAATCTGAAACGAGTTCTTCAGCATTGTGCCGGTTGGCAAAATGTCGCGCGCCCTGCGGACCTTCCTATTTATTAGCTTCGCGTATAATTTGTTCGCACATCCGTCAGACCGTCGTCATCGTTGTTTCTTGTGTGCATTCTTTCGTATCTATGTTGTTCTTGAGGAGCCATCCTTAATAGCTGTTTGAGGATCGTCTTGTGCTGGTGCTCTATTTAATCTTTCTGAAATTTTTTATGCTGAGAATAAGAAGTGTGATTGTGTTTGTGTTGATTGAGGAATGGATTGTTTTTTTTATCTTTTTTTTTGTATCTTTTTAAATGGTGATCTTTATACAATTCAATATGATTAGTACATAGAATTTTATTATTTTGATATTATATTTATGTCTCATAAAATATGATACTCCCTCCGTCAAATAAAAGATTTTTTTTGCAAATAAAAAAGTAGAAATAGTTTTATGGTTATATGGATATTTATGGAAATAAGACTATTGTTTTGGAACGAACAAAAATGATAAACAAGACTATTGTATTGGGACGCAGGAGTATTAAATACTTCATTCGTCCCGATATTTTGAGCTTATTAGATACTCTAAAATAGGAATAAATTATGTGAATCGGGAGAAATTATTTTAGTAAAAAAACTCAAACCTTTAATTTTAATTCAAAGTTAAGGAAAAAAAAAAAAAAAATAGAGAGAGAGAGATTTAAGATTATCTTAGGTGAACGTTAGGATGTACACATAAAAGGTTTGCTCGTTTTGAATTTTTTGAATGATTTTATGTTAAATATGAAGAATTGTGTAAAAATAATATTATCTGCATTTCATATAATTTGTCTACTATTTCTACTCTCACATACTCATATAATTTGTCATTTTTTTAAAGATAATTATATATATTTTAAAATTCATAATTTATATTTTTTTATTAATTTTAATATATATTATTTTTACTAATATATTTTAAATTATTTATTAAATATACAATATATAAGATTCCGTGCCCCATCTAAGGTGAACAAATTAGTTGGAACGAATATAGTATTTTATATTAAATTATTTTTTTTGAATGGATAAAGTATATATACTCTCATATATTTTATCATTTTCTTCGTTAAGGTATTTGTTTTCTTTTTAGTAATTTTGGAATCTACTATTTAATTAAATATCTTACTTTATTATATATTTATTATTATATTATTTTTTTCGTCTCAGATATTTTAGGTTTATTAACGTAGATACAGAAATTTAAGTAAAGTATAATTAGTAATTAATTAAGAAGTGTATTAATAAAAATAATTATATATTAAGATTACGATGAACAAATAGTTTAATTAAAATTGAGAAAATTATAAAATTTAAAAATTAAAATGTAATTAAAGTGCATAATTATATTTCCAAATATAAAAAGGACAAGTTACGTGGGACGAACGAAAATAAAAAATATGGACAAATTACGTGGGACTGATGAAATATTATTTTTATATTAAAAAATATGAGTAAAAATAATATTTACCAATTTTTAATTAAATATTATAATTAAAATACTATTATTTTAAAATTTTATATAAAAAATAATTAGATACAAAAGAAATAAATATATACTTCCTCCGTCCCAGATACCATGTCCACGTTGTCGTTTATGTCAGTCACACGTACTATGTCACTTTCCTTTTTTTCAAAAATGATAACACACTTTAATCTCATTTTAATTTTTTTAATTTTACTTTTTTTAAAATTTTAATTAAACTAATTAATTATCTTAAATAATTTATAATTATTTATATTATAGGATAATTATTTTCACTAATATATTTTTAATTATCTACTAATTACACTCCTTATAAAATACCGTGTCCACAATGTAGCAGACACTTGGGACGGAAGGAGTATTATTTTTAATATATGTATTATATTTTAAAATAATATTTATAGAAAATTATAACATACAAAAATACTATGTGAACACATCAAAATCGGGCCGTATAAATATGCTAACTTCTCATTGTAGTTAAAAGAAGATTTTGGTTGTAAATTGATTTACATTGTGAGTCCTTTTCAAGTATAGAAGGAGTCTTTTATCAAATCAAATCAAATCATCGTGAGCTATTCTATGTGTTTGACAATTCTTTTTATATTGGTCTCTTCATTTGAAATAAGAAATTTTGACTTTATATATATTTTTATATATTTAAGAGATATATACTGTTTTCGTCTCAATTTAACTGGTCCTTTGAGGTTTTATAATAGATTAAAAATACTTTTTTATTTCGAATATTATATATTATTTACTGTAGATATGAGAATTTAGCAGGTGTATAATTAGTAAATAATTAAAAATATATTAGTGAAAATAATTATCGTATAATAAAAATAATTATAAATTAATATTAAAATAACTAATTAGTTTAATTAAAATTATAAAAAAATTATAAATTTAAAAAATTTAAAATAAGATTAAAATGTATAATTTTAATTTAAAAAAAAAAACGTGATAAAAATAAGTGGGACGGATAGAAATGAAAAGGTAAATATGGTAAGTAGGACGGAGTGAGTAACTTAATAAATTAATGGTTAATGAAAATGTGTAAGAGTTTTTTTTTTTTTTAGACTTTATGTATAAAGTAAGCATATGTATAATGATATGTTTGTAATTTAAGTAAAAGTTTGTGTTAATATTAGTATATGGTTATTATTTTTAAAATAAGAAAGTGATATTTTGAAGTGAGACAGATAAAAATGGTAAAAAAATACTTTGAATTGAAACGAAATAAGTATATTTTTCCTGTCTTAAAGATAATTGAGTCATTTTATCAATACCACGTTATTTAAGATAATAATATTTAATTAATTAATAATAGTAAATTATCATATTACCTTTTTTTTTTATCAAATTAATTATATTGATAGTTTTAAAATATACTCCCTCCCATAACAAAGTATCCATTTTTCATTTTAGTCCATCACATAACAAAGTATCAATTTCCTTACGACTTACAATATATTACACAAATGTCATTAGCTTTATATAGCACGTACTAATAAGGTTATTTTAGTCATTTTTATTTTATTCCTACTATATCCCAATATAATACTAATATTTCTAAAACTACTTGCAAAAAGCAAATGAATACTTTTTTATGGGACGGAGAAAGTATTTAATATATATGACTAAAAAAATAGAATATGTATTTAGATGTTTTAAAAATAATATCGCAAAAAATATATACATACAATATGAATATTATTATTTTTATAGAAAGTAAAATTTTAAGAAATAAAAAATTTATTAATTTATTTATAATTAATATAAATTAATTTTATACATGGGAATGATGGTATAGTCTAACGGTGAAACCTTCGACTCCTTGACCTTTAGGTCGGCGGGTTTTGAGTGGATTTTTAGTAATTTTTAACATTAAATTTTTTCTTATTTTTTTTAATTTTTTTGAAAAATAATGTTTATGTGGGCTTACCCATTATATATTATTATATTCGTAATTGTATATTTATTTAATCAAACACAAAATTTAAGAAAAATAAATAAAAATAATTTTTTTATAATAAAAAAAGGAAAAAAAGGAAAAAGAAAAATTACTTTTTATTAAAAAAATAATAATATTTTTATATGACAATAAAAAGGTAAATATAAATTTGAACGACGGATGAAATATATTTAAAAAATATTAACTATTATTATTACTATTATTATTATTATTATAATATTTGATGTACGTAATATTTTTTTTATATTTATATAATTATAAATTTTAAATTGTAACAATTATTTAATTTTATATAAATAAATATTAATATTATATTTTAAATTAAAAAACTATTGTATTAAAAAGTAAATACACACATTTAATAAATTGATATTTTTTTTTTCTTTTGAAAAAAAAGAAATAATTTGTGGTATTTTTATATATAAATATTATTTTGATGTTTTGCCTTTTAAATTCGATATACCATTGTCAATAAATTCAATTATTTTATTTATTATCATAAATGATTAAAAAATTATATACAATTAAATTTAAATAAGACTAAAATAATAATAATACTTGCAATAGTCTCGTAAACATAAATATTTTTTGAATACTCCATTATGTGACGGTAAAAATACATGTGTTGGTTAAGCACAAAATCTAAAAAATATTTAATAAGTTATTTTATATTAGAACGATTATATATGAAATAATATGATGTATTATATAAAATTTATTAAATGATTGAAAAACACAATAAGATAAGTAGAAAAATAATGAGAGTTTAGTTATTATATGTTAAAGTAAATATTATAGAATTATAGGTGAATAAAATTATTTACTATAAATAAATTATCTATAATTTAACGACAACAAAGAAATAAATAGTTATATAATTTCTGCGGACAAAATAGATATAATTAAATTGTTGAAAAATAATCAATTTATAGTACTTTTGATTTCATATTATTAATTTATATAAATTTTAAATTAAAAATTTTAAATTAAATTAAATTTAGCTTTCTACAATACGTTACTATACATTTTAGTTTAGTATAATTTGTTTTATTGGACTTAGTCTGCATATTATTAGATTCTATCAAACTTTTATCGACCGTGGCTATAGATTTTCATGTTATGGATATATATATATATCAGCAGTTTAGCAACTATATTAATTTTTTTAATATTTATGTATTGATATGCGCTATATAGATATATTAGATAATTTATATATTTCATTTATCCAAAATACTATACTATTTTATTTGGAAATAAATATTAAGAAATAATGTCATTTTAATATCTATGTGGGGTAAATAAAAAATAAAATAGGAGTATCACAAAAATTTTATTATAAAAATTAGTAATTTTATAAGTAGAAAATACTCCATCTTTCCGGCGATAAAATATATATTTATTTTTTAAATGAATAATTAAAAGTAGTGTAAAAATAATTTTATCATTGTAAAAATAATGATGTGAAAATAAAATAAGAGTATTTATAAAAATAAGATATTTAATCAAATAATTACTTTTTAATTAGACAACCAAAATAAAAATATAAATATTTTTTTATATAACAGAAAGAGTATATAATAACAATTATTATTATATGTTAAAATAAAGATAATAAAATTATAAATTAGTATATATTTTTGTAACTGTAAATAAATTATGGATGAAGTTAAACTATCAATTTTAATTGATATAATAAATCATATATTATCTAATTCCGTATATAATATGATATTTTGTCTAACTATGTCTATATATATAACTTGAATTTAAAAACTCAATGTCAAAAGTTTAATTTATTTATTTATTTATTTTGTGAGAGGGGATTATAAATTTATAATAATAATAATAATATGTTTAATGATATTTTTTCAATTTATGTAAAAATAAATAAAATAAAATAAAATTGGGGTTTGTTTGATTTGAGTTTGAGATTTTATTTATTTATTTTTAAAATTTTTTTTTTATATGATATTTTATTAATAAATATAATATTTTTATAAATTGTTATTTTGTTAATTTTATATGAAATTATGAGATATTCCATTAAAATAATATAAAGTTTATGCTTAAATTATTTTTGATCCGACGTTTATACTTAACTTGTATTTATATAAATATTGGTTATATTAGCTTTAGATTGTCTAGTTGTGTTTTATTAGGAGTTTTTACATTTTTTTATTATTAATATTTTTTTAAGAAAAAAAATATATCAAATTAAATAGGATGTCTTTTTTTAATTTTCATATTAAATAAAAAATAATTTTAAATTTTAAATATTTATTTATATCATATCAAATTATTTCAATATTTTAAGTTTTTTTTATATATTATTTTATTAAATTCGATTCTAAAAAATAGATATGATTTGATAGATACGATTTGAAATTATATAATCTCAATTATCTATCTATCCATAATTATCTATCTATCCATAATTAATAAATCATATCTCTAATTCTCTATATATATACACAAAGGAAAGGGAAGTTTAATAAAAATATTATTAAACACATAAAGTTTTTTAATGGCTTCTACTATCATGGATACAAAGATATCTCTTACGACTGCCATGGATAAAGAGAAATTCAGAATTTTAAGGAGTTGCGATGGCAAAGAATTCAAGGTCTCCAAATCCATAGTTATGCAATCATTGCTCCTTGCAAATTTACTCGATTTAGAAGAAGACGGCAGAACCGATATAATTTCACTCTCCAAAGAAGAAGGCATAATCGACGTAATTCCACTCCCTGAAGTCGACGGAATAACCCTGGAGAAGATTATTGGCTTTCTTAGCATGTACATAGAAGAATCATTTCAGCAATTCACTGCTGAAGAAAAGAAAAAACAGTGCGACGATTGTTTTGCCAAATATGATATCTATGATTTTCTTACCCTTGCATCGGCTGCAAATTACTTAGGAGTTCAAGTGGTTCTAGACGAGGCTTGTCAGAGATCAGCCGACTTAATAAAAAATAAAAGTGTGGAATGGATGAGAAAAGTTTTTAGAATAGACAATGATTACACGCCCCAGGAGGAACAAGATGTAAGAAATAAACATATATGGACTTACGAAGGACTCGATCCAGACGATGACGAAGAAGATGCTATGATTGCTTGATTAAGTAATATTAGTTATAATCTATGATTACGATTAGAGTTTCTTGAAAGTTTTAGTTTGTTTAATTTTTTATTTTCAAAATTTTTGTTTTTATAAACTTTTAACTAAAGTTATTTTTTTTATATTTATTTAAATATTTGTTGAAATAAAATCTTCTGAATTTTGATCTCTGTATATTTATTAACTTTTTTTGCATACAAAAAGGCACTTATCTAGATATCTTCCCACAAGCGGGTCTGCTCGGACATCAACATGATAATAATAATAATAATAATAATAATAATAATAATGAGATTCTTCCGTTCAAAAAATATACATTACTGTAGAAATTTAGGTGTGTTTCTTAGGGATTTGGGGAACTTTGGATTGAGTTCGATTTTTATTTGAATTTTGAGGTGGATTTGATTTGATGATTATAAATATAATAATATAAATATGTATTAATTTGTACAATTTAATTATAAATTTATATTATATTTACATATATATTTCTAATTTTTTATTTATCTATATTATAAAAAAATTATTCTTTACAAAATGATATATATTGTATATATTTTATTAAATTATACATATTATAAAAATTTTAATTTACATTTACAATTTTAATTTTTTAAAAAAATTTGAGATTTAGAAATTAAAATTTTAAAATTTATTTACAATTTGAGCCGTTTAAGGAGATTAAACGGGTAGAATTTAACAGAGTTTTAGAAATATATGAAATTTGGCTCAATTTCGTAAAATTGTATGCACTTTAGTTTATTCCTTTTGTATATTTGATACACATTCTAACAGCTACTATATATTTATATTAAATATTGATATATTTTATATATGATTTTTTCCAAGTTACATGAGAAAAAAAAAAGTTAGCTTAACGAAAACTTGAGGGGACTGCAGGAGATGAAGGAATATGAAATGACAAAGAGCCCCCCGAGTCGAAATACAACTCCGACAACATATTGCTCACATCGTCAGGGGTATATCTGACCATCGGTAAAGAAATTCTCCGCCGTCCGATCATCCGCCGATGTGCGTTCCAAAACTCACGGTACAATGGAACCGTCTTTCTCGCGAGAGAAAGCTTTATATCATCTCGTAGGTTTTTATCTGGTACGACGCAGACAGAGTGCTTTCTGTACGCCTGGCTGAATAAGCCGTTAAATTTTATCAAAATCTCCAGAACTTTCTCTGGGCTATCCACTGCCGTTGGATCAGACGGCACCGACTCGATGACGTGGCTCCATCCTAGCCGTTCGTAGTTTGACGCAAATTGCTTGACCTTATATTCGAGCTCGGTCAGCCATTGATCCCCCAGGAGACGGTTCAGATTTGAGGCTCGCGCCTTTACGACGACGTATTGAAGATTGTTGGCGAGAAACAGGTATGATAGCGATACGTCTTTGTAGAGTTTGGATTTTGTGTCGAGTTTGCAGAGGAGGACTAATACGAGCCACGCCATTTTGAGCGAGAGCGCCGCCGGGGGAGAAGTGTTGCCGTCTAAGAAGGCGGTGAAGGATTCCGGTAGTGATTGCTTCGGTAGTTGCGGCGGCGGCGCTGCGGCGAGGATGTTTGATAGAATGTTTGAGTAATCAGCGAGCATTGAGAGGCTGTTCATAGTGTTGATTGTTAGATGGTGGATTCCGGCGCCGGAGATTGGGGATTTGGAGGATTCCTTGAGGATTGTCGACTCGAAATCGTGTAGTGCCGTGAGTATAACCTCGGCGAGCCTGGCGAAGGATTTGTGTACCTGAGATTTGACGGTTAGAGTTGAGTTGAAGGAGAAGATGGATTCGATCTCCGGTAGGTAGTTGGAGATTGCGGCGTACATGTCGAGCGCTCGGAAGAGTTTTTCCGGTGATTTTTTGGTGTTTCTCGCGACGGTTTCTGGAAATTCGAAGAGAATTATAGCTCCTGCTTTCGAGATCTCCGCGAAGCAACGCTCTCTGATGGAATCTGAGATCGCGAAGACGTGATCGCAGAGGATTCTCTCGCCATTGAAGAGAGTTTTCACTGCGGTTCTTATGGCGGTTATCCAGTTGTTGATTCTCAGTTCTAGAAGCTTCCAATCCATTTTATGAATCTCCGAAGAGGTAAGCTTCTCAACTCCGAGCCTATACAAGCTTTCATCAACAATCGATTTACGAATGGTGCTGTATATTCTCGAACATTCTCTGGTGTAGCCGGACGAAATCATACACTCCGCAATCAATCTCAAATCCGCCATGGCAAGAGACGAAGCATCTTCAACTTCAGAAATCTCGCCTCTCCCCGCGTCCTCTTCGTCGTCATCGCAATCCACCGTGCTGGATCCAGTAGACATCTGCGACGACCGAGTAGAGACGGATTCAGGATCCAGATGAGCTCTGTTCATCGACAGAATCTGGTAAAACTCCTTCTGAAGCCTTTCCATAGCAATTCGCATCAAATTATGAGCGCGAGCTAATTGATCAGAGCACGAATTGTTACCGATTATGAAATGCATAGCCTTCTGCAGATTCTCCACCGTTTTGATAAACTCCTTCGCCTCTCTCCGATTCTGATAGAGAAGCGAGGTGAGGCGCGCGTAGGCACTGCTTTCGATGCTCCATTTCATGACGATGGAGTCCGCCATAGCTATCGCCCGATCAATTGCAGCTGCAGCGAAGTCTGGGCGATGGCGGTCAGTGGAGGAAGAAGAAGAAGTGCAGTTTGGAGGACAGCACAGACAGGTCTTTCCCTTCCTCGGCATTTTCTTGCAGAGCCACGTTTACAGTTGCGTCAATTTACGGTTTTCGTTTGGGTCGTTGTAATAAAGAGAGGCTGACACGCAGGTCCTCGGGAAAGTCCTGCGAACTCCAGAATCTGTGGTGTGGATGTAGCTGGTGTTTTGGTCCGGGACCGCCAAAGTGCACTGTAGTCAAATTGACGCTGGAAAGGTGGAGTCCGACGGCACTCGGCGGTCCGCCGTATTTACTGAAGATTCAAGAATCAATCAAGAGGTCAGTAAATATATATATATATATTCATTTAATTTTTTAAGAAAGTTGATAGAGCTTTTAGGCGAGTCAAATTCAATTGTTGATTTTTTTTTAGGTATTGTATATTCTTCCTCGCTCTTAATATAATATTATTATTTATTATTATTTTTTTCTTCTCTATTTTAAAATAATAATCTTAAAATGTTTTTATTTATATTTTTTTATCAATTATTAATATAATATTAATATTTTTAAATATCTTGTACAACTTAATCAAATAAAAGTCGCGGTCCAGGTTTAACATTGTTTATTGGTGTTTTAATGCGTCAATTTCGATTTGAGTTTTAAAAATAAAATTCTTTACAAACTAAAATAGTACTTAAGTTATAGATCTATTATTAATGGTGTGTTTCTTTTTATTTGATTTGATTTAAAAAAAATTAATTTAAGTTTGTATTAAAATAATATATAATAAAATATTTTTAAAATATATATATATTTTTTCTAAAATATCTCGGGATTTGGGTATTAAAGAAAGGGTGTGTTCTCTTTATGAAATTTTACAAACACTTTTACTATTCACCCAAAGAAATTTACTAAAATCTTTTTAATACATTTTTTTCAAAGAAAAATTAATATACTGTAAAATTATTATTTTTATATTATTTACACAATTTTCTATATCTAACATAAATATATATATACAGTATATTCTTTTAAACCAAAACACATAGTATAATACCACTCATTTTTTGTTTTTCATATTATATTCAAAATATATATCGATACTTGTTTATATCATATTATATAATTGTTCAAATTTTAAAATTTTTATTATTTAAATTTCAAACCAAAATTCAAATTCTCAAACAATCGCATCCTAAATGTTTTTTACTTCGGAATTATATCGATAATATAAAAAATAATATTTTGTATTAAATTATTAATTTTTGTGAGTAAACAAAATATACTTTCTCGGTCCCAATATAATAGTCTTGTTTATCATTTTTGTCCGTTCCAAAACAATAGTCTCGTTTTCATAAATAATCATATCACTATAAAACAACATTTACTATTTTATTATTATTACGCAATTGCCACTACTTTTTACAATAATACATTCACAAGGCCCAAAAAGTCTTTTACTCGTACTTTTTACCAACTACTAACATAATATTAATATTCCTTAAATCTCGTGCCAAATGCAACTCAAACTATAATTTTGAAACGGATGAAGTATATCTTACTATTATTAATAATGTGTATATATTATTTTTTAAATATTAATATTTTTAAGGAATTGTATTTATGAAAACAGTGATGAATACAAATGTTTAATTTATACTACTATAATTTATTGTATTAGATGGAAATGTGAAAATGCCCTTATATCTTATACTTATTTTACAAAATTGATTGATAATTTGATATTGTTGTAAATATATTGAATCATAGAAATATTATCTATTACAATTAGAAATATTTTATAGACATTTTGGATTGAAAATGATAGCTGCAACAACTGAAAATGTATTTTACAAATTTCAAAACTCAACTTGGAAGAAATTTATAATATAAAACGTCTTTTCCTTTTGTTATTTTTTATTTTTTAAAAATTCCTATTTATCTTATGCATTTTTTTTTTCATAAAATATTTTATCAAATATTATTTTAATATTAAATTCAAATCAAAATTTTTAAAACTTGACGAAAAATAAAACAACATATTTTTTTTTTTTTACAATTTAAACCCGGAAATTATTAAATATTGAATAAAACTTCCATAATTTTTTTAGGTGCACGTCATTATTTATAAAAATAAATGTATTCATCAATTGCTGACAATTTCGTTTAATTAAAATTTTGCTCCAAAAGTCTAATTAAGTTGTTGTGTGAAACCACGTGACAAAATACTGTTACATTTGTGTCTAAATTTTCAATATAGATCCAGAATCAATTATATGATCAGCATATTTGAATTTCATGTTTATTTTTAGAAGCACCTTAATATTCAATTTAAAAAATAATAAATAAATGATGACATTTGCTTTCTATATAAAATATATGGATTTATTTTATTTCATTGTACTTTAAAATTAATTTAAAATAAAATATTAATTTGAATTTTTGTTTAAATAATATCTCGATCAGTGACAGAGCTAAAATAAATTTTGACAGGCCCAATTTTTTTTATGTAATATATAATAATATTAAAATTACATAATATAATAATTTTGTTTTTTTAAAAAAATACAAAAGGTTTTCATTTGTTTTATCTTTTTCAAGTTATTTTCAAATTTGAAGTTTTGAATCAAATTTTTTTAGCGTTTGAATTAAATATATATAACAATAATATTTTCACTAAATCTATAAGGGTGATCATTTACTTAAATTCTAAAAATTATACAAACATCATATAAGGGTGATTAATTTTTACATCAAATATCTATTTTACGCCTGTGGTAGTATAAATTATATTAAACCAATCCACTATTTTATAAAGGCACTATGTAAATTTTATTTTTAAAACCCCTATAAAATGTGTGTGTGTGTGTTTTTTTTTTTTTTTTTTTTTTCTTTTATTCATATTTTTATAGCATTTATATTTTCAATAAAATTATATTACTCCAGTATTTTTAAAAATATATCTATTTTTTTTTTGAAAAATCATCATTAGCAACATTACAATCTTTCCCATAATATTTTCATAATTTATAACAACTAATACAAATGTTTTCCCATATTATTATTATTATTATTATTATTATTATTATTATTATTACTACTACTCTCTTCGTTCCAAAACTATAGTTTGGGTTGGGTTTGACATGAGATTTAAAGAACATTGATATTATATTAATAGTTGATAAAAGAATACGAGTAAAAGACTTTTTTGCCCTTGTAAGTGTATTAGTGTAAAAAATAGTGACAATTGTGTAATAATAATGAAAAAATAAGGGTAATTTTATAGTAATATGATTATTTATGAAAATGAGACTATTGTTTTATGACGGATAAAAATTGTAAACATGATTATTATACTTAGACGTAGTAATTATTATTATTATGATTATAATTATCAGTAGTAGTAGTTTGAATTTGATTATTAAAATTGCAACTTGTCATTTCCGTACAAATGGTGGCAAGTTAATTCAACACCGTACAGAAAACCACCTACGGTGTTTACATTTTTAATAAAGCAAATTCAAACTAATGATGCAATCTGTTTAGTAATAATATTAATAAAAAATAAAAACAAAAACAAAAAACTTTGGACTCGTTTTACATACACTCTTTTTTTTTTATAAAAAAAATATCAATATTATTTATTAATAATATTTATTAATTCTTTTGTCCTGACTTAAAGGTTTGCTCACTTTTAAATTTATAGATCAGAAGAACTTTGGACTCTTTATGTTAAGTATTGTATATAGAAAGACACTGTATTTTATATTGAGTTATTAACTTTTTTATAAATAAATAAAATATGAAGTTTATATTATATATATTGTTAACACAATATATACATTATATTTTAGACACTAAAGTTAAGGAAATGTCTACTTTCAATAAATATATATATTTAATAACAATACATTAGTTCTTCTTGCACAATATATATTAAATAAATAAATATTTTAATCAATTTTTTTTTAAAAAAAAGATTACAGTTCTTAATAACTAATAATAATTCATAAATGGGTAAACTGTTTTTTAGTCCCGTAACTGACCCCCTTATCATTTTAGTCCCGTAAGTGGAGCCTGTCGCAAACTAGTCTCATAAATGAAAAATTTTCGTTGTTTTAGTCCTCCGGCGCCGGAGACGCCCGCATGGCTCGCCGGAGGTGACGTGTCCGCCAGGTCAGCGACACCTAGCGCTGACCTGGTGTCGCTGACCTGGCGGACACGTCGATTTTTTATTATTTTTTTAATTTTTTTTAAAAATTTATTTTAATTTATTTTAAATTTTATTTATATATTTTTAATCTTTTAATTTGATTTTTAATTTTAAAAAATAAAAAAATAATAAATCCACGTGTCCGCCAGGTATTGCTGACCTTGCGGGACACCTGGCGGACACGTCACTTCCAGCGAACCACGCGGGCGTCTCCGGCGCCGGAGGACTAAAACAGCGAAAATTTTTCACTTATGGGACTAGTTTACGACAGGCTCCACTTACGGGACTAAAATGATAAGAGGATCAGTTACGGGACTTAAAAAAACAGTTTACCCTACTAGAATTTGTTTGTATGCAATTTGAATTTTAGATTTGAAATTTTTGAATAGTATTTAAATTTTAATATTTATTTTTTCGTATAATATTAAAAATAAAATAACTATTTAATTTTAAATCCTTGATTTTGGAATTGAAAGACATCAGCTGTTAAAATATATTTAAAAAATATATAATATATATTATATTTATGCTAGTTATTTTATTTTAAAAAATTTATAGAATTCTTATTTTATTGGATGATTTATACGTTATTATAAATATTATAAATATGTGAATTGTTACGATTAAAATAGAAAATTTTAATTTTATATTCTAGCATCAAGAATTCTTACCATTTGTTAGATTCATGAATCCGGTTCAATTCAGTCTCGGGTATTTCATTCACATTTCTTTCCCACTAATAACCTTTTCTAATATTCTTTGACCTCATATATTTTTCTAAAAGATAATTAGATATTTTATTTGTTCCACTACAATTGACACTATTTCCATTTTTTTCTATCCTGTAATAATTGACACCTTTTTATTTTTGGTAAAAATTATTAAATCAAAACATATTTAATAAATATAAATCAACTTAATTAACTACGTAACATACAACATCATAAATGATGTAGACTCACTTAAAACCCTTTTATTTTTACTTCTCTCCTCAAAAAATAAATATTTTTATCTATATTTAAAACTACACATCTTTTATAAAATTGATTTATGTTAATTATAAATAAACAAAAATATTTTTTTATTTACTTGTATTATATAAAATTTTATTCTCTACAAAATGATATTTATATTGCATATATTTTTTTAATTGCTATATAATTTTTAAATATTTAAATATATTTTAATTTTTTTAATCATATATATTAAATTTACTTTAAAAATATAAATATTATTAATTATGCAAAAAAATAATATAATAATATCATAACTAATTATTATTAACTAATTAAATATTCTCACATTAAATACGGTGTCCCTAATAAAGGATTCAATTCTCGTGAGAGGGAGGGAGTATTAATTTAAAAAAAAAAAATCCCAACCAAACAATACAATCCAAACAAATTAATAAAAAAATTAATCTGAAGAAAATCAAAAGCCCAAATAAGCGTTGTAATAAATGGGCCAAGAAATTAATCAGAAATAAACGGGCCATAAAGGCCCATTAGGCCCATTAAAGCCTTAACCGTCGAATCGTACGTACCAACAGCTGCCCGTGTCTTGTGCTTTCCCAATAACTGAATAGATCCTTCGATCATCCCATCCTTCACACCATTCATTTCATGTTTCATTTCATTTCATGCAACTGTAAATGACCTGACCTCGCCGGAACTGATCCGAATTCCGATCCTCCGGAGCAATTCAACCATGAAGCATCTGCACAAGTCGCCGGCGATGCCAATCTCCCAATCGTCGGAGCCGTACTCTCCCAAATCCTCGAAGCACAACAGATCCATCCGCAGATCGCTGAATTACATCTTCAGGGAGCAGCGCCTTCTCTTCATCATCGTCGGTGTTTTGATCGGCTCCGTTTTCTTCATTCTCCAGCCTTCAATTTTCTTTTCGTCGTCTTCATCTTCATCCTCGTCCACCTCTTCATTCTCCGCCAATCCCGGCGGCGCTCACATTTTGTCGGGGAATCACGAATCGTTAGGTCGCTATCGCGATCCTAATTACGAGAAGCATTTGGTCAATCGGTACGGCCAGGGGCACGCCGGCGGCGTGGGGAGAGTCCCCGTGGCGATAGGGAAGAAGAGAAACCGTGTGGTGGTTACCGGCGGGGCGGGATTCGTTGGGAGCCATTTGGTGGATAAGCTGATTGCGAGGGGGGATGATGTGATTGTTGTTGACAATTTTTTCACAGGGAGGAAGCAGAACGTGGTGCATTTGTTTGGGAACCCTAGATTCGAATTGATTAGGCACGACGTCGTCGAGCCGATTTTGTTGGAGGTTGATCAGATCTACCATTTAGCTTGTCCTGCTTCGCCAGTGCATTACAAGTACAATCCTGTCAAGACTATCATATCCTTTTTTATTCATAGTTAATTCTGGCGCATTACATATGAATTAATCATCATTTCATTCTGCAATGCTTGTTCATCTGATAATTCGATTGCTAAGTTGGATTCATCTCTGAACACATGTTTTTTTTCAATCTTATGATCTGATTTCAGTATGTAAATGATGTAAGTTTGATTAACATGGCTGCATTTTGTGTGTTTGAAATGCTACATATTTGATCTTATATTAGGCAGCTGTTTTGGTCGATTCTTCTTTCTTCATTATGTGTGTTTGAGTATTAGTTAAATCATTGTGTTGCGAACCTTGACGTATGATTACAAGACGAATGTGATGGGCACTCTCAACATGTTGGGACTAGCCAAAAGAATCGGTGCAAAGTTTCTCCTTACGAGTACCAGCGAGGTGTATGGTGATCCTCTGGAGCATCCACAGAAGGAGACCTATTGGGGACATGTGAATCCAATTGGTGGGTGAATAAATTTGTTTATTTCTTGTCGGTTATTTCATTGTTCCATCGAGCTTCTGTTTGAAATGTTCCATGTTTTTAGGCGTGCGTAGCTGCTACGATGAGGGAAAGCGCACTGCTGAAACCTTAACTATGGACTATCACCGCGGTGCAGGGGTTGAGGTAATATATTCGATATATAATGCTGCGAATTGAACTCAAATTGCTTTGGGTAATAAAAATTTCGCTGATAACTCGATTGATGAATGGTAATAAAAATTTTGCTGATAAGACATGGCCAGATATGAATGTGTGCATTTAAGATATAAGTTATCCGAATCTGAGGAAGCGATGTGTACAGGTGCGCATTGCGCGCATTTTCAACACATACGGGCCTCGAATGTGTCTGGATGATGGCCGTGTCGTGAGCAACTTTGTTTCGCAGGTTTGCTGTCACAACAATTTCCATATCGTGCTTTCTTACATAGATGCCGAATTCTAATTAGCATAGCTATATGTGCTCCTCAGGCGATTAGGAAACAGCCAATGACGGTCTATGGCGATGGGAAGCAAACCCGAAGCTTCCAATATGTATCCGACCTGGTATGCCGCGCTATATTCTCCCTACAAGCGAACCTCTTGTATACGACGAATAGTATTATTATATGGTCATCTCACCTAAATTACATGAATCTTGTATGTACACAATTTTATTTTATTTTATTTTATTTTTTTAGAGCAAATAAATTTAAATACGGACCTCTCTACTCTAATATTAGATTAAATAATTATTTTACCTCACATTTTAAATTGATAGGAAAATACATCACTTACTTATGGTGTTGATTTAAATTATATGAATATTGTATGTGGATAATCTTTATATCTTTTATATATTTTTATTTTTTATATGAAAGAGAAGATCCGATATTATGTTAAATGATAATTTAAGCTTAAGCTAATAGGAAATGTATCAAATATTAATTACATATTAGATAGGCTTCCGACAATGTATTTTTTCTTGATTTCAGGTCGATGGATTGATGGCGCTGATGGAAGGCGAGCATGTAGGCCCGTTCAACTTGGGCAACCCCGGAGAATTCACCATGCTAGAACTTGCCGAGGTTTGTCTACGGTTGTACATAAACATATATATATATATATATTGATAAGAAAAGAGGTGTATCGATTGTTTGTAACATTTATGTCGAAAACATATATATATATATATATATAGGTGGTGAAAGAAGTGATTGATCCAAGCGCATCGATCGAGTTCAAGCCAAACACGGCTGACGACCCTCATAAGAGGAAGCCGGATATTAGCAAAGCGAAAGAGCTTCTTAACTGGGAGCCAAAAGTCCCGTTGCAAAAGGGGCTGCCTTTGATGGTGAAAGACTTCCGAAACCGTATCCTCAACGATGACGAAGGGAAGGGAAATTAAAGTAACGATATGATAGGATATGATATGATATATGTACAGAAGGAATCAAGAAGAGAGGTATTATAGCAGCTATCTCTCCAATATTCTCCCTCGGTAGTAATTCATTCATTCATTCATTCATTCCTTTCTTTATTTAACAGTTAGAGAGTGAGAGAGTTTAGGATTGGATCATATGGGAACATCCATTACTACTACTATTACTATATGTAGTTGTTTTTGGATAGAGAAGATTTTGTTGTCACACGGGCTTGGGCTTGCTTGCTTACTTAGCCCACTTTTGTGATTGTTTAATTTTGTTTCTCTCTCTCTCTCTCTCTCTCTCTCTTACTTAGCCCACTTTTGTGATTGTTTAAATTTGTTTCCCTCTCTCTCTCTCTCTCTCTCGCGCGCGCGCGCATTTCATAGCTTCAATAAACATTCATACGTATTTGTATATCAACATCCTTTTTTTTTTTTTTTTTTTTTTTTTTTTTTTATGAATTTGGAAAAAAAATTAGTTTGGGTTTGGTATGAAAATAATGTTTGATGGGGTGTTTTGTGAGAGAAAAAAAAATATTTTTTTTTTCGGGGGCCACTCGACTGATAAGGAGGCGAGTTAGAATAGAGCCAAAGATTCCCCCCATGGATCTCCGTAAGCCGCAGAGTTCAAAATAGTAAAATTTGAGAAAACTAAGCTAAAGAAGCATACCCTTAATTTTGGTTTGAGATCTAATAGTTTGTTGTTTTTTTTTTTTTTTATCAGTTTCTATTAAAATTTTTATTATTCATCGAGTTTTTCTCCAAAAAGAAAATTAAATTAAATACCCAATTTTAATTTTTTTAATATTATTTTATAAGTCAATTTTATATTTAAAATATTACACAATTTAAAATTTTTATTATCCAAATCCTAAACACCGAATGCAAACTCTCAAAAGTTTTATTTGTCTGAATTTATGTATTCCATATTTGAATCCATGACTTAATTCACACTAAGCCACTAGGTGGCTAGTTATTGAATTAATTGAGGAAACAACGAAAAAATTGTTGTAATGGGTTATGTATATAGATATTTTTTGTAGCTTTGGAAAATTACGAGAATATTAAAAAAGAAATATTTTATAGTATGATTATTTTTTTTAAAAAAAAATATGTATTTAATTTAATGATTTTAAATATGAATAATGTCAGTACTTATAAAAAACGTATAAATAAAATTTATATGAACAAAGCCCATTAAAGGGCCCATAAATGATTTCTTTTAGGCTCAGTCCATTTTGAAAAAACCTAATAAAATAAAAAAAAATTTCCGACCTGCCGGATTCGAACCAGCGACCTAAGGATGGCTATGATAACACTACAGTCCTCCGCTCTACCAACTGAGCTAAGATCGGACTTGTTTAAACATGTTAAATTTATTCATTTAATTTTTAATAAAATAATAATTAACTCTTTTATTTTAGTCCGTCCCATAGCAAATTATTCATTTCTTTTCTTTTAATAATTGTACTATCTACCTAATATTATAAATACCCTTACAACTTACAATATATTACACAAATGCCATTATCTTTAGATTACACATACTAATAACGTTATTTTAATCATTTCTACTTTATTCCTACTTATATCCCAATATAATACTAATATTTTTAAAACTACGTGCAAAAAGTAAATAGATATTTAGTTCCGGACGGAGGGAGTGTTATAGATTCCACTTACATTCATTTCAAAATTATATTATAAATTATGTAATAAATTTTATTGTAAGTAGAAATATTTGTAATATATAATAAATTAATATTAATAAATATTTTTTTAGATATATATATAAATAAAATTATTTTGTATGTGTTTCGAAAATTTTTATTTTTTAAAAATATAATACTCTCTCTGTCTGTCCGACAATTTTTATTATTGACACGGTATTTAAGTTAATTATATTTAATTAGTTACTAATAATGAATTATAATATTCTTTTATTATTTTTATATAATTAATAATATTGATAGTTTTAAAATAAATTTATTATACTATGATAAAAAAAAAAATTAAAATATATATTTAAATATTTTAAAAATTATATCGCAGTAAAACATATATAAAATATAAATATCATTTTGTAGATAATAAATTTTTTTATAATACAAGTAAATAAAAAGGAAAAAAAAAAGCTTAGTTACTTATAATTAATATAAACTAATTTTGTAAAAAATTTAAAATTTAAAATATAGATAAAAAAATATTTTTTTTCTTTTTAAAAAGAGAGATATAAATAAAATAATTTAGAGTGAATCCTAAATGATATATAATATTATATATTATTAATCAAACTACTTGTAAAAATATTTTATAAAAATTAAAAAATTGCAATATATTGATCAAATGACTTATAGATTATATAAATATAAAATAGATTCAAATATAGATAGATAAGACCATCTTACTCTAACAATACCTCTATTTTTCACTATTATTCTTCAAATATTCAGTTTTTATTATTATTTTAAACAATTTTTTATTTTTATAATTTAAAATAAAATTTTTAGAAATTTTAAAAAATAAAAATTAAATTTAAAAAAATTATAATTTAAAAATTAAAATATATATATATATATAGCAACGCCAAAATTGGCGTTGGATTTCCAACCCACGCCAAAAATGCCAACCCAGCGCCATTGGTTGGAGATGGCCAGACAGACCGAACTTTCGGATTCATCGGAAAAATCCGACACATACGAACCCACAGCTTGGTATATGCCGCCAACTCAACCCAGACAGACCGAACTGTCGGATTCATCGGAAAAATCCGACACATACGAGCCCACAGCTTGGTATATGCCGCCGACTCAACCCAGACAGATCGAACTGTCGGATTCATCGGAAAAATCCGACACATACGAGTCCACAGCTTGGTACATGCCACTGACTCAACCAAGACGGATCGGACCGTCATATTAGTCAGGAAGATCCGACCCATATGAGCCGTGGAAAAACTAGAATTGACTTGAAGGTTGTTGAATTTAAAAAAATATATATAAAATAATATTACAATGCATTTATACACATAAAAGCACATATTTATTTAAAAACATACTATTTTAATTCATCACAATGATGTACATAATACATAGGTAGAGTTGAAATACAATACATAATATTATTCAATAGTCGAATTTTTAAACTTTGATAAATAACAAGTTATAGTAATAGAAGTTACATATTAATGTTATTTAGATCATGTACTCATGTTTGTTTGTTTTGATTTAAATCTGAATTTTTTATTTAAATAATATCTTAATATATTGTTTTTTTTTAAAAAAAAATAATATATTTTTATTAAAAATTATCGAATAAATAATAATAACAATTTTGATTTTTTTTAAAAAAAACAAACAATTCTAACTATTAATATTTTTATTTATTTTAGATATTTTTTCTATATATATATATTTAAAAAATCAATATATAATAAAAAAATAATTAAATAGAAAGTGAGGATAAGGCTGCACCTCTTGGTGTATTGCTGCCCTAATTTATAGAGGATTATATTTTAAATTTTAAAATTAAATTTTAATTTTAACTTTATATATATATTTTATTTAACTTTAATTTTAAAATTAAATTTTATTATTTTATATATTTTTTTAATTATGTTTCATCCATTTTTCTAAATTTAATCGAGGTCTTCATTTCTCTGTTTCATATCATGTCGCACTGCATCCACCCACTCAGTCTAAATCCGCACCACATTCTCTCCTCTCATTTTCACCATTCTTCAGCCGTTATCGCTTTTCGAACATCTGTACAGTCTGTCTTTCATTTTCTTTTATCAAATCGATACTGTCCAGACCGTCACATTCAATCTTTTATCCAATCAAAGTTAATCAGTGATATTATTTTAAAAATATATTTTAATTATATGTTTATAAAACCCATAATTTATTTTTGCTCGGGCTCCGAAAAAGTTCCGTGCCCTGCTCATGTGTACGGGTACATGCTGCCAACTCAACCCAGATAGACGGGACCGTCGGATTCACTGGGATTGCCGTTGAGACATCGCCCGCCAAGAGCTCTGGTGGGTTTGATCATCAAACTTTGATGCGCCGCCACAACTCCAATGCACGCCAGCATATATATCGCGGGATTGAGGTTTGAATTTCAGTGGGGTGGAAGAATAAAAAATCATTGCCGGCGAGAGTTTTTTTTTTTAAATATTTGTGTTATGTGAAAATTGGAATAAATGAAAATAATGAAAAATATAAATGAATTAATTCTCTTCCTAGAAATACACGACTTCCGGCTTAAAACTTTTCGGAAAAATTATTGAATTTTCGGGCAACTTCAATCTTACAAAATATGAATAATTATTCGAATTAAAAAAATAAATATATATATATATATAGTTAAAACTCAAATTTTCAGACAATAGAATGGCAACTTGGGCTAGTCTTCTCATGCCGGCCCAGTCCGATTTTGAAACGTGCTGGACCAACATAGTCCGATTTTAAATTGGGCCCAGAAAAGTAGACCTGCGGCTCTGCCGTGCGCCGTGCTTTTTTCTGTTTTCTTTTTCTACTTTCAAATTATTTTTTTTAGTTTTAAATTAATTATTTAAGTTTTGCCATTATTTTATTAGTTAATATATTACATATTAATTTAAAAAACTGTCCAAAAATTTTTAATAGTAAGATTTTTATGTCAGGTTCGAATCGAATTTTTGGATCATAATTATTTTTTCCAGCTCTACATACAAGCATATCCCTATATGATTTTTGTTATATATATATATATACAATATGAGTGTGATTGTTTGAAATTTTGGATTTTGAGTTAGAGTCGAATAATAAAAAATTTAAATTTGAGTAATTGTATAATGTAATATAAATAAGTATTGATATAATGTTTTAAATGTAAAATTAATTTTTAGTATAATATAAAAATAAAAAATACTCCATCCGTTCCAAAAGTATAGTCTTATTGTGTTGCACGCGAGATTTAAGGAATATTGATATTATATTGATAGTTGGTAAAAAGTAAGGCTAAATGACTTTTTTGCCCTTATAAGTGTAATAGTGTAAAAAACAGTGACAATTGTGTAATAAAAATGAAAAAACATGGATAATTTATGGTGATATGATTATTTATGGAAAAGAGACTATTGTTTTTTTACAGACAAAAATGGTAAACAAAATGATTGTATTGAGACGGAGGGAGTATTTACCGAATTTGATATTTTTTAAAGGAAAAATTAGTAAATAATAGAATTTATGAGAAATATGTTAAACGACATCCTATCAAAATCCTTTCATTCAATAAATATATGTTCATTTGATTACAGTGGAACACAAATTTTAATGAATATAATATCATATTAATTAATTAATTATGACAAAAATAGAAATATAAAGAATTTATTCTTGAATAAATTGAATACCTAAGCAAATATGATTTCTTTTTAAAAAATAAATATCATATTAAAATGTATGAATCATTATTTTATCAAATAAAATATCACGCTCAAAATTAATTATTTGTTTTTTTAAAAAAATTAAAAAACACAAAGAAAGTAAGACTAAAAAACATGATTAAAAAAACACACTTCTAGTATTTATTTATATTAAAATGATATTAGTTTTTAGTTTTTTTAATAATAAAAATGATATAAAGATCTTAAACAAAAAGAAAATTATTCTATTCGTCCGAGTTATATGTATTTATTTGATATTTATTTGTAGATTTAGATTTTTTAATATTTATAGATAATAGTATAATAATTTTATCCTGAAAATCATTTATTTTTTAATGACATTGTTTGTAATATTGTATAAAATGTAAAAGTATTTTTATTAAATAAAAAAATAGATATTTATGAATTAGATAAACAAAAATAACAAAATAATTATATATATGATCCGAACGATAAAATATTATTTATTTTCATTAAAATCACATTAAACCTTTTATTTCTAGGTGACAAACCAAACAAACTATTCATTACACCTTTACATAATTCAATAGCTATATATTACTCCATTGCCGTAATATTACTACTATAATAATATAGTATTATTTTGTCGAAATTATATTTTATGAAATTATTATAATATTATTATACTAATATTATTATACGTACATGTATCGTATGTATCTACACGCCACGTGTCATATACAGTACAAATTACTGTATTTCTACTCGAGACTTCTCCGCCTATATAAAGGTGGGCATACAGAGATGAACGGAATATAGACAGAAGAAGAAAGATGGCCAACGTTAATCTTTTTACGACGTCGTTTTTGCTGTCCCTAATGCTATTGGGCCTTCTTTCGAAGGCCCAAAGATCCGACCCATATGAGCGGCCCAACATTTGGCGCCCGCCGCCGACGATTGAACTCAGCCGGAGCCAAAGATCCGACCCGTATGAGCAGCCCAACATTTGGCGCCCGCCGCCGACGATTGAACTCAGCCGGATCCAAAGATCCGATCCGTATGAGCAGCCCAACATTTGGCGCCCGCCGCCGACGATTGAACTCAGCCGGAGCCAAAGATCCGATCCGTATGAGCAGCCCAACATTTGGCGCCCGCCGCCGACGATTGAGCTCAGCCGGAGCGGACCGTCGGTTTCGCCGGAACCGCCGTTGCGACACCGGCCGCCAAGGTACTCCGGCGAGTTCGACGCGCCGCCGCAAATCAAACGCACGCCGCGGCCGTATGGACCGCAGGACTGATTTGAAGTTTAATTTTGGGACGGCGGTGGAATGAGCTGGAAATCGTCGCCGGCCGGAGTTTGGATTTGGTAGTATTTATATTATATGGAAATTGGAATAAAATGAAAATGTTTAAAAGGTAAAAATATACTAATACTATATTCCTTCGTTCGGATCTACAGTTTTATTTGAATATTAATTATTACATCAAAATGTAATATAAATTAAAAAAAATTATAAAAATAAATTTGTGTTTTATATTTATAAAAAAATTTATATAAATATAAAAATATTTTTAATATTAAATAAAATGACTTTTAGAGCAGACGGGATAAACACAAAATGTAAGAGTAAGAACCCAATCAAATAGATAAAAAGCAAATCAAGATAAATAAAAAATATGACACAAAAAGAGCATCTTAATCTCACCCGCTTCCTATCATCCTTCTTCTCTTCACCCTAAGCCCCCAAAAATAATTTTTTAAGGCAAAATACAAAAATGCATCTCGTAATTTGTAAAATTTGCTAAAAGTACTTGATAGCCCTAAAATTATGTATTATTTACTTATACTTCAGATAATATTGCAAAAAAAAATATCACACTTATTAGTATTTAATAAAAATTGCAGCAGTTGCTCTTAATCTGCTAATATTATTACAAATTTAAAAAGAAGAAAACTAGTTTTAACAATACAGGCTTATTTTTGTAACTTTCTCCTAACGTATCTATGAATTTGTAATAATATTCGTAATTTGAATGCGTCTATTACAATTTTCATTGAGTATTAAAGAGTAAAATATTTTTTATGATATTATTTGAACTTGGTAAAACAAAATTTTAGGATTACGGGATCTTTTCATCAAAGCTTGAATACCACATAAATTTTTTTTCTATGTTGCCTTTAAAAAAAAAAAAAGAAGAAGAATAAGTAATTCTTATATAATTATATTGATTTCCTCACCGATATAGATTTATTAACCTGCTATGCCTTTCATTTTATTATTTCAATTTATAATGAATATATAATAATTTTAATTAAAAGATATGATAAATATAAAAAATACACTTTATAATTCTAAATATCAATATCATATTTTCTATGGTTCTTTTATTTTCTTGTGTAAAGAAAAATCAAAGAAAGTGACATTGAATCATGGAAATGTATTGGCCAACAAGTCTTTGCAATTTTATTTTTTTCTTTCATACAAAGAAAGTTGAATTGCTAATTCAACAGCGAACAAGCAAACCGAATCAACAACTGTGATGGAACAAAGTGAAATTTGAGAAGAATTAAACGAACTTGATTTGAATCGTGAAGGAAGAGAATGGATAAACTTGAGTTGGATATAAAGCTGGATCTTGGTTTGGTAGTATCCCACTTAGATCTTTAAATTGTCGATTCAATTCTAGTTACGATCACTTCACTACATATTCTAGGTTTGGATCCAAACAGAAGCATACCAATATATATTAGAGGCGTGTTTCTTTTGAATTTGGTATTAAAATAATTTATAATAAAATATTTTAATTTATTTATGTAATATACAAACTAAATATTATTATTATCATTATTATTATAGAAGTAGAATAAGTAAAAAAGTTATACTAAAGATATTATGGAAAAGTCGTGAATATCTTTTTTGTATAATATTAATAAAAATATTATTATTATGTACTTTCTCAGCTAATAAGGCCTGAACTCAAGCTCAAATTTGAGATTCGTTTCAATTTTTATTATTTAATGTACTTTTTATTATTCATTTTATAACAATCTATCCATTTTTTTTTACAAAAAGTAAATGGATATATAGATATGAGACGGAGGAGGAAGTATATAAATTAAACACTAATACTCCCCTATATCCCATTGAAATGTTATCATTTTTTATTTTCATCCGTCCCAAAACAAAGTTATCATAATTGTACTACCTATCTAACATAATAAATACCATTTCAACTTACAATATATTACACAAATGTCATTACTTTTATATTACACCATACTAATAGGAATATTTTTGTCTTTTCTACTAAAATCTAATATAATACTCCCTCCGTCCCATGACAAAGTATCCATTTTTTCATTTTGATATATCTCATAACAAAATATCCATTTTAAATAAATGTACTATCTACCTAATATCACAAATACCTTTACAAATTCAAATATATTACACAAATACTATTACTTTTATATCACATAATACTAATAATGTCAATTTAGTTATTTCTACTTTATTCCTCTTATATCACAATATAATACTAATAGTTTTAAAACTCCGTGCAAAAAGCAAATGAATACATAATTATGGGACAAAGGGAGTACTAATATTAAAAAATTTATGTAAAAAAAGCAAATAACATCCTTTGGAGGGAGTATCTAATTTTATTATAACAAAAAGAATTTTGATATAAAAAAAAGTTATATATATTATAATATATAAAATAATATAAACATATTATCAGCAAGCTCCGTTCGAGCTTGGTTTATATATTTCTCTATAAACAAATCAAGTCAAATGGAGCTTGACTCCCGAGCTACCCAAATCATTTAACACCTCTATATAGCACTAAACGAAAACATGATTGATAATACAATATGACATTATATGATTTTCTTATTTATACGAGCAAATATATATATATATATATATGTAACAGTCTATCATATTCCTCCTACCAATTCTCCTATGCAGATAAGAAAACATCGATCAATGCTGCTAAAATTCTACCATAGAGGATTGCTTGTTAACTATCAAAGCCAAAGAGGCGAGACATGGCTAACCTGTTTGCCGATAAGCCGTCAAATTTATTCCGGGATCGATCCCCACCGCCGCCGCTATGTGTTTCGTCGTCCTCGCTGTTCGCCTAACGTTTACCTACGCCGGAAACTTCGCAACTTTTCTTTTTCATATTTTTTTTACGATCGAAGAAGAAGAAGAAGCTCGATTACCAGGTCATCTATTAGCAATTCCTCGAGCTCGGTACCTATCACGTCGATTTCTCTTCGGGCACCCGACCACCGCATTTCCTTGTCGAGCGTTCCGACCAGCAGCATCTGATCCCCGTCGACAAACTCTTGCTTGATTAACTTGTCGAGGGCGTCTCGGATTCCTTGCTTGCTTTTCAAGTTTCGTTCCCCGAGTTTCTGCGTTACCCACGGGTGCATGTCAACGTGGTCGTGGAAGATCTCCAAGATTGCGGTGTTTAGTAGGTTGAAGAGGAACCTTCTTTCGGATCTCGACTCGTTTGTCCCGTTTCCGTGTTTCTTCTCGAGATGGTCGAATAAACTCGGGTCAAGAGGGGTGTCGGGGGCGTGCCATCTTGTCCTGAATATGTCGAAATCGGACTCTTCGAGACCAGATTCGACGAGAATGTCGATAATGTAAGAAGTTTCCCATGTTATCGATCCTGCATGGTTTCCTTCTGAAACACTTGGAGATAATTGTGCGGCGTTGTCCTCGGCGGGGCCGAGCGACGACTCGGTGGGATATGCGCCGGACTCCATCTTTAGAAGCTTCAGTTGCAGCCGGAGCTCTGCGGCAAAAAGAGATGAGATCGTAATTATATATAATTATGAATGTAATCAAGAACAGAAAACATAACCAAATACATTAGTCGACAAAAATTGACCAGAATTATGCAACGAGACATTCAGGATTAAACATACCGAGAACTGCCAGAGACATATATCAAAATTATGAGAAAATTTTTGCGTACCATGAAGTTCAGCGCTCACTCTCTCAAAACTTTCAGAAGTTGAGGTTTCTTCGGCGAAAGGAACCTCGAGGACTGAGATGGGACTCGGATGATCAGCTTCCTTGGAGCTTTCCGAGGAATCCGGCTCAGCTCTATGCTTGGCGGGTTCCTGCTTTTGTTCCTGTAAGCATAACCGAAGACGAAGAGAGGGCTAGTTAGAAGAAAAGGAAGTCTGAATTTCGATAAGATACTGCACGGGCGCGACGTGTCTTAATCATAAGGATCCAAATTGTGGTAAAATCAACTCGAACACAAATGCTAACATTGGTTAGTTATAATCGAAAGAAGAAATCTTTGTTTTTTTTCACTTATAGGCCGTTCGCTGATTCCAAATTCAACACGTAAACAGTAATCACATAAGGCAAGTTTTCAGCATGCACATATTAAATGAAAGTAATAAATGAAAAGATACTAAGTAGCATTAATAGTACTAAATCTGTCGACAAAAGAATCTTCAGAAATTGAATACTTTCATTAAAGGAAAGAATCCGAACCTGGAGCTTGGATTCGTCGAGGTCATGAATAGCAGGTTTACCGCCATCTACAGCTGAAGGCGATGGTGTCGGGAGCAACTCAGAAGATTTCCAAGACATGGTAGGGCTTCCAGGTTCAGCTATTGTCACTGCATCAACCATGGATTGTTGTTCGGCTGGGTAATTCGATTTGGCCTCCATTTGCATCTCGAAATTGGTTTCTGGAGAAGAATCCATCCTGGCAGCGAACTTAAGTTGATGATGGCTAACCTTTCTGCTTCTTGATTTTGAATCTTGTGATGAATCACCTTTATGCCTTAAATTACCGTTTGCAACTTTATTTCGAATGTGCATTGGTGAAGAATCTTCGGGCAAATCATCATGACAAGAGCTTTTCCAAGTACTTCTCCCATTTGTATACGAAGAAAGCGATCGAGATCCGGATACATGCCTGCTTACATTATCCTTCCACCCATCCCTACTACTGATGCCTATAGGACCGTTCCTCGTTGCAGCTCCATTATTGCGAGAAAGTTGATTGCTCGACCTGTCTAAATGTGTCTTACCACTGAAATGGCGTGGCCTCGTTTCCCTATCTGGTAATGACAGCATTTCGCCTAGTGTACTGCCCTTGCTAACCATTTCCAAATCTTGATATTTGTGAGTTGTTATCCATCTTTCAGAGAGTCGCTTCTTAGCTTCGCGGCTGACAGATGATTCCGCAGAATGATGCGTGTATCTGCAATATTCACTGTCACTGAATGTCTTTCCGGAAGATAATTTGAACTCCTCTGAGTCACTTTCCGAATCACTTTCATTAGCATCAAAGGAACTCTCATCTCCCGCGTACCCTTTGAACTTCATTGACTTTGCGTCGACCATTTCAGTGTCATGATAGCCGTTTCGCATCCTCATCGTAATTTCCCTCGCTATTTCTCTCGCTTCTTTGGAAATGGGCTTTGAGAACCCCTCATCATGAAATAAGTCTTTCCTTGTGCATGCAACTGTGTCGGAACCTCCAACCTTTTGAAATTCCTTCACTTTCTTGAAGCTCGGGTGATAACCATTTGAGAGATTGAACAAGAAACCCGACACACCATCGTTTTGCATCTTCCCAAGATTTGGCTTCAGAACGACGATCTTGGTGGGAAGAATATGATCCTCATTCTTCTCCTCTAGTTGAATTCTTGAAGAATGATGAGAAATACGGGCTCTGTGGCGACTGTGTGGTTCGAGCAGAAGGCCATCTTCACGTTTCAGGTGAGAAGTGGGATGGTGTTTGTTTGAAGTATTTCTCTCTGATCTCCACATTTTTGCTTTGCTTTCAAACATTCCGGGATTTGATGGCTTTAACACTGCAATATGACTGCCCGTAGAACTCTTAGACTCATTCTTTATATCATGCAAATGCTTCACAAACAAGGAATCCGGTTCGTGTAGATATTCTAATAGCAAATCCTTGTTGGAGTCTAGCATCTCTAAGGTATCATCCAGTTCTTTCGAATACTGCAGCTTTTCATCAGTTGAAAGACGTTTTGCATCATTAAATTTCTGCTTAATGAGTGCCATCTCAGGTTTTGTAAGAATTGAGCTTGCATTCCATCTTGAGGAGCATCGTCGATTCCCAACATGAGATGCTTCCAAGTCCTCGTAGACATCCTTGAACTCTTGATGATCATTTGACCTTCTCTTGTTAAACTGACCATCGTAGAGGTGGCTGTTCTTTTGTGAGTTGATTGAACTTTCTGAAGATCTTCGCTGTTGTCTGTGGGAATGCCGAGGGGATGGCATCCCTTCGAGGCCCATTAACTTGGCAATAACACTTGGAGATTGTTTCTTGGATCCAACTTCTTTCGACATTTCTTCTGCCAGTAGTTTCTTCATTGGTATACCAGTTGCCCATGCAGAGGAGCTCTGTCCATATTCAGGCATGAACTACAGAAAATCAGAAGCTATCAAATTTTACACAAATTGCCAATTAGAGAAATAAACATAAGACAAAAACACAATTTCTTGTATGCTAAATAAGATAAACACAAGTACATTACAGACCATATCATTCCTATTTCTTCCTTCAACATAAGATCGAGAATCAGAAGACAGTCTCGCCGCATCTTTGTGTTTCTGGGCCTGTACAATTCCTGGTCAAGATTCCGGAAGAGAATTAATCTATGTCCAGAGTGTACATTCCGACTCATAATCTCTATCATCAAAGACTTAAAATAGATTAAAAGAAAATTAAAGGCAATGTAATGATCACTATCATCAACAAGTCACGCAACAAAGACTATTTTATGCATTCAGCAAAAGAATATCCACAATAATAGTCGAGTAATACAACAATTAACCCAAAAAAACAACAGAAACATGTATATAGCAGTTCTATTGTTTTAAATCCAAAAGTCTACTGTCACTCAGAAAATTGAGAAGGAATAGAGGTAACAAAAGGGTAATAATTTGAGGAGAGTGTGTGTAGCTATCTACATAGTACTGCTTTTTGAGGAATGAGGACCAGCAATTATAACCCATCATAAGTAGAAAATCCAAAGACTGAACAGAATTATGCCATACCACTGGGAAAAAAAGTTCCTTTCATTCCACTTGCCAATAAACTTGCTTTAGTAAAAGCACGAGCATGCTACTTATCAACACATACTTATTTTAGGGCCCTCACGCTTCACATAAGCAAAGAAGAGAAAACACAAAAAACAAATACATGTATGCCTTAAGTTTCACCTATTCATTAGAAGATTCATTGCTCTTTAATGACTTACAATACCAGATCTTGCAATCAGCAGCTAAATTGTAATTTTTGAGCCAATTGCCTAAAAATTGGTCAAGCTTACCTAACAAGGAGTATTAGTTATGGAAGAAACTTAAAAAATATATTGATTATGCTGAGTATTTTTCCTTTTCCCAAACTACAACTCCTCAGTTAGGAGTTTTAAGATTCAAAACTTGCTTCTATTTTACATTCAAACTTTTCTCCTGAATTTAGGTCTATAGCTCATCCAGAAGGAGAATAAGAAAATGAGAATTGCTCACTAAAAACTAAAAAGCGCACACATTTTTTTTTAAAGACTTGATCGAGATGATCGACATTATCACCTAGAAAGAATGACGTGATTAGATGAAATTTCTGTTACTGAGTTTAAATTTTTGGCATATCTTTGTTTGAAAAAGGAAAAGGAAAAGGAAAAGCAATAACTGTTCTTCAATGATCGAAACAGCCACGCTAAAACCATGTGTTCAAGTAACAACTTACCTTCAATGCCAGAAGCACTTTTCGATTTTCTGTGCCGAGCTCTCTCCATTTTCCTTTTGGACAATTTAAATGACGCAGGCAGAAACAGCAACCGGTAGCACCCCGAGATAGAAGCAAAAGAGAGGGAGAGAGAGAGAGAGGGAGAACGATTTTTTTTTTTTTTTTTTTTAAAGGAAAATTCTTTTTCAAAAAGAAGACGAAGATTCCGAGAAACAAAACAAGCGGTGAAGAAATTCAGATCGAAATTATCGGAGAAAAGCACAGCATCGCCTCGAAAACCGTCGCCATTGTTACTCCAGCTTATCTTCAGCTAACCAGCATTTCAAAAACCGGAAAAACTCCATAACCAGATCCCCCTGCACAATCCAAACAGATCAAAAAACTAACCGTAACCACATCAAGCAAACCATCACGTCGAAAACGCAACACTCGCACATTCTTAAGTAACAAAAAAAAAAAAAAAAAAAGCAATCGACGCAACACACACAGCACAGCACAGCTCAACATCAAACGAGAGAGAAAAGATATCGAAAAAAAAAAAAGTGCGCATAGGCATACCTTTAGAGAGAGAAAGCACGGAGAACAAGTGAAAGGAGGCAGGCGGCCATTAATGACGGCAGAGTGCGTGATTTTGAATTGCCAGTTTGAAATATAGAATTTAGCTACACTGATGGCTGAATACTGTAACAATCTTGGAAGGTCCATGGACCTCAATTCCAGACAAATCTACACCGTCCACTAACCGGGCCGACATAATATAAACAGCTCAGATTCACTCTAGCTTACCCCTTAAAGTGCCCTCCCGGAATCACGAGGTAAAACAGTGTTTAACGCCATCGGCGCCCGGCCCACTGACACGTGGCGAAAATCCGAAATGCCACGCAATAAATGCTCGGCGACGTTGGGAAATCTTGGAAAGGTTAAGGGCAAATATGTCAAAGAAGCTGCATACATGTTTGGTAGGACAAATTATCCAAAATTATAGTAGTATTAAAATCGTTAGTTAGATTCCCGACAGCGACTTTTGTTTTTAGAGCGGAAAATCGGGTTTCTCTGCGATGATAGCAATACCATTATAACCAAACGGTCTTTATTTCTCTGTGGGCTACGTGCAATTTAGCCTACGTGATTAGACTAGCCAGTTATTTGATTAATAATTAATCGATGAGTATTAATTTTGTGCTTTCAATTTCTTTTTGGCTCAGTTTACACATATAGCTTTAAATTATTTTTTTTATTATATTAAATATTTATTATTATCAAAATATTTTAAAATTACAGAACTTTCAAAAATTCTTATCTGAATAAAGTTTAATTTGAGGTTATTTGTAAAATTAAGCTAAATACAAAAAGGACAATGATAGTAGCTTTACTTACGGATTCTCAATCTAATCTTTCAAATTTATTCAATATATACTTGAAAAGTAACAACTGTATATTTATATATATTTTTTTAAAAAAAAGTATATATGGTAATATTTTATTTTTAACACAATTTATTAAAGAAGAAAAACAAAGGCACGAATAGTCAAAATGATATTGTAAACAATGAGAGCACTTTTGGAGGGATGGAAGTGTTTGTTTCGTGAAGAAATTTGACTTGTAAAGAGTGGTGTTTTGTGAAAAAGCGAAAGGGGTGCGTATAAAGTTAACCCCCCAAATTAAATTAAAGTGGGTTCAAATCCACTTAGAATTTTATTTTATTTTATTTTATTTTAACCACAATACGAATTAAGTTAATAAGTGAGGTGGTGAAACATCAATGTCATTCACATCACAAGAAAAACAATAATCATTATTATTATTAGGAAAGAAACGAAAAAGATCATGTCTTGTGATTTAAGTTAAGAGGATGAATTTTGGGCATCATTAAGCTTTTTAAGCTTTATGAAGTGTGATGATTGTGTGTTTGTGAAAGTTGGTAAGTGTGTTTGATTAAATTAAACATCCGGCAATAACACACATAACATATAGTTGAAATTAAAATAACATGTGCTATATAAATTATTATCATATTTATCGGATCATATCATACATTATACTCTATGTTACGGGAACAATTGCGACAATATTGAAATTAATTGTGACATAAGTATTATACTAGTAAGTGTTGTTTTTCAACCACACACTCGCGCACTTCACGAAAATGGAACCTCCAACCACAAAGGATACCAAAAGTGTTCAATGTGTCAATTTGTCCATTCTTTCTATTTCAGTTTATTCTATATAATTTGTCATTTTTTTGAAAAGTTATATAATTATACATTTTAATCAATTTTAAAATTCATAATTTATAATTTTTTTAATCTTAATTTATAATTATTTGAGATAATTTGAAATATTAAGTGATAATTTGAAATAATTTGGATATTAAGTGATGTGATTGAAGAGAGAAATGATTATTATTTTTTTTTTTATTTGAATAATGTGATGAAATAAAGTGAAATGTATATTAATATATGTATATAAATATTATTAATTATTTCTAAATTTGAAAATATTGCAGTGAATTTAAGACAAACAAAAAAGAAAATATTGCAGGGTAAACGAAAGGAGTATTAGTTATACTTTACATAAATTTTTGTACAAATTATGTGAGACAAACCGAAATAAAAAGTGAGAATATTTTATGTGGGACGGAAGAAATAATTATTTTTACTAATTCACTTTTTAATAAATGGATAATTTAAGTGACACGGAGGAGTACTAATTAATTATAATCAGTAGTGTAACCATCACCTTATTTTTCATTAGTATATCAATTATGTAGAAATGATAAACCCTTTTAACTTAACCACAAGAAAAAGTGAAAAAAGACCTAAGAAAACATAGGGAACCCTAACATTATTTATTTATCTATTTGATGCTATTCTCTTCGATTAGGGGTGTCAATTTCAGGTAAAATAATAATAGTACATCTACATTTGTCACACAATTCAGACCTGTCTTTGTGTCTCACATGGCTCTCTGTTCATCTTCTAACAAGAAAATAATAAATTTCAGATGACAGATTTGGCACCACTTTCTTTCTTTCACCCTAATTGTGTTGGATGCTGAAAAACTTTATCCTTTCATAGCTTATACTCCATAAAAACACATGAAGAATAAAGAAGCAACAAGAATAGGCTATGTTGGTGTACAAGATTGTCCAAAATGTTATATTTTTCATGCATCTAGCAATAGATTGACAAATCTTATCTTTCGTCATTTGATGAAGACAAAAAGTCCAACTTTGGGGCTCCATACTTCAATTATTGTAAAAAGAGGACAATATGTGCACAAGTGTGAAGTGGCAAAAGAATATGAGTTGACAGATTGTGTTGATTTTAACACCAATAATAATAATCAGTCATTTATATAGCATTTGCAATAACCTAATTTCCAAAACTCTTATTTAAAGGAAGCCCCTATGCAAATTTATCCGGGTTTTATAGTATTCCAAGGGGTGGTTTACTATAGGGAATTAATGAATTATAGAGTTAAATTTATAACAAAGATTAAATTAATCTTAAGTGTTTGTTTGAAGGATTCTGGCAAATTTACACTATTCATACAAATTTTTTCCTCCAAAAATATCAAATCAAATACTTATTTTCTATATTTTATATTATACTAAAAATTAATTTTACATCTAAAATATCACATCAATACTTATTTATATAACATCATACCACTATTCCAATTCAAATTTTTTAATATTCAGATCCTAACCCAAAATCTGAACCCCCAGATAAACACACAAAGCCCATACTAAATAGTTGTGGAGCTACAGTGAAAAATCATAATTGATGCTAAACAATAGGAACAATTTTTATTTATTTACTTTCAAGGGTGCGTTGGTTTGGGGAATTGGATTTAATTTCCACTATTCATCCTATTTTTTCCCCCAAAAAATATCAAATCAAACACCTATTTTTGATTTTTCATATTATACTAAAAATTAATTTTACATTCAAAACATCACATCGTATAACTATTCAAATTCAAAATTTTTACTATTCAAATCTCAATTCAAAATCCAAATCCCCAAACAAACACACCCTCGAGGGTGTAAATATATATATAAAAAGGGTGGTTTTTAAAATAATAAATCAGTGTAAATTTTGGTGCCATTGGAAATGCTAGAGTGCAATAACTAGGAGGAGTCCTGTACCTGTCTCCAGAGGGAGTTTAAAAAATCAGCCCAGAAATCAGTGCCCTCATCATCAATCAACACTGTCCTAAGCCGAGATGCTTGCTGCCTGTCCTGTCCTTTCCTGTCCAAACAATGTCAACAAACAAACATCAATGAAATCTTTGCCATACCAAACAAACAGAGGAGCAAAATTGGGGATCTTTTACCTATAGAAAGAACTAAAGGCAAACAAACACATGAAGGGGCGTGGGCCAACATCAAATAGCAAAAGAGAGCCTTGGCAAGGAATTTCAACCTGGTGTCCAATTTGGGAAAGGGGAGAAGGGACATTATTGAATGCAAATAAATAGATATAGAGATAGAGATAGAGATAGAGATAGATAGTTATATATATAGAGAGAGAGAGAACAAAATGGAATCAGACAGGGTGGGAAGAGAGAATGACCTTTTGGCCCCCACTGGAAAAATCAACAATGATTCCAGAATTTGCCGCGGCCTTTTTTCGGACAAGGCCATCGATCTCATGATTATTCGCCCCTTCTGCTTGTCGGCTTTCCAGAACCTGCAGGAGCTCTACAATTGTTATGTGATTATTCAATCCATTCCTAATATTTTTCACTCTTGAATTTCATATCTAATCAATGAAAAAAGATTGTCATCATAGCATTCAGGAGATGAAAATATGCAAATTGTGGGGCACTTCTTGAGTTATATCAACTAGAATTTTCAGTTTCTAACAATTTGCATTTGTAGTCTACTAAAAAAAAAACATGGAAGGATTGCCGGAAATGCAGCCAGGTCAATCCCAGCAACAGAAGATTTGTTATCTACTGAAAGATTTGGTTGCCCTCTTGCAGATCAGCCAGAACTCTCTAACCCTGAAATTCATCAAAGCCAAGCTATTAGAATTCAAAACTATCCCCAAGAACTGACATATACATTAAATCATCATTTTCAGAGTGAAAATTTATAATTCTTGGTGAAAGAAGTAAGATACAAAACTTGTGTACATTCGGAGAAAAATGATGATGTTACTGCACGTTTTATATGAACTTTTTTTCCAAAGGCATCCTTTCAGTAACAAGACAACCATCTATTGCAACCAATTTAATGCTAGCCAACCGAATTATTTTGACCCATTTCCTAACTTGTAAGTACATCATGATAGGATTGTTTCAACAGCTCACTAATTTGATTTGACAACCCGACCATCAGCAAATGTTGGGATGGTTCAAGAAGGAGCTTTATTCATTCTAAATGAGGTTACAACAACATAACAAACCATATCACTTCACGGGTCTAAAGCATGACACGAAAAGAATGAGAAACCACAATTATTTTTGTTTGCTTAAGATCTTATCAGAGTTGGCTCATAATTATGTAACTTGTATCGATTGAACATCTTCATTACCACATTTTCCCCCCGCACATCATTCTAAAATTTCCAGTATAACACAATCAACTCTAACATCAGATGTCAACTAATTATAATCAAAGCTGAGATTCTAAACTAAGTGAGTACTCAATATATACCACACATGGACTGTCACATACAGATTCAGTAAGCTTCAGCACCAATTATAATAATAATAATAATAATAATACTAACAACAAATTCCATTGTTGTTTAGATTATTTTAAACATCTTACATCAAAGATGCTATGTATATTGTGTATTAATGGACTATCACATACCAAACACCATTCAATAAGTAAGTTCCCGAACAAGTTTTACTTCATACGATTTCCAGTTCAACATTTCTCTTCTACTTACAGCAATATCAATTTTCAAATCACTCTGTTCACAAAGTTGTGTCAATATCTATAGTTTATTGACACTCACACAATAAAATCACATATGAAAACCATAGATGAAATATAATGCAGCTAACAAGACATTTCAATAATATTTTTCCATAAATGCAAAACTTATCAGCCAGATAACTGTTCTCCCAAAACTTTAACCAAAGCAAAAAAAACAAAGCTATCCAGTTAACACACCTTATTCTAAAAATCTTGCCCTGGATCAAGTGTACATAGCCATCTGAGGGGGCATCGCCGGCATAGCTGTCTCATTCTCCCTCGCTTCCTGCATCCTTCGGCCATAAAGTTTGTTAGTCTGCACCACTGGAATAGCTCTGTCCTCTTCCGCTACTTCATGCATCTTTTTGGCGTAAAGTTTGCTCGCAAGCACATTGTCATTAAAATAGGCTGCACAGGGATGCCCCTTGGGAAGCAATCTCTTATACTTCTGAAAATTCTGTTCAGCCTCATCTTCCATGCCCAATATAGTGTAGACTATACCCTGGCAGATATAAGGCCTGAAATCCGTCGGCTCTTCCCTCACTAAATCCTGATAAATCTTCAATGACTCCTCAGGCTTTCCCTGAAGAACCCTAATCTGAGCCAGAAGCAGCAAAAAATCCCTAACTAAACCCTTCTTATTCTCCTTCTTACACAAGTTTTTAGCCGCCAAAGCTTGTTTCTCAACCTTGACCAACTCTTCAGGAGATTCAACATTCTGAGAAGCAATTATCATTAATCCATGGTAACCCTCCACGCAATAAGGATCCATTTCTAGTAACTGGTGGAATCCTTGTCTCGCTAACGAAGTCTCCCCTCTGTGAGCGCGTAAATGCGATCTCATCAACAGCCATTGAGTTTCCCTCGGCTCGAGTTCGATTAGCTTGTTGAGAATCACAATAGCTTCACCGATCTGTCCGGACTTCACTTTGACTTCCACCAGTTGCTGCAGTCCATCCACGTCGTAAGGATTGGAAGCCAGTTGATCTCGGAGAAGTCTCTCCTTGTCTTTCTCCGAAATTGACAAGTGAGCTGTAGTTCCAACAGAAGGAGAGCCATATGTTGCATCGGCGAGTGCAGGTTTAATAGGAAGACAAAACCTAGCAAAAGTAAGTGCGGCGGCAGCGATGGTGGTGACCAGGCCAGCTTTCAGAACGCCGACAAATGGATTCGCCGGCGTTTCAGGAGGTGAATTCTCGTCGGAAACTTGAAATTTCTGGAAATTAAACGATTTCCCCAGACCTCCATCGATTGGCTTCTGCGAAGAAGCTCTAATCGGTGACGACAGAGCCAGCGGTCGACGAGACGGACCGAAGGCGAGCGAAGATAACGGCTCACCGAGATATAGACGTCGAGAAACGAGCGGAGGAACCGCCGATGAACGGCCGGCGGCGGGAGTAGCAGCGGAAATGCTCAGAGAAAACATGGCGGCAGTGATTTCGAAAGGTTTCAGTCAGTTGAGAAGAAATGAACAATCTAAACCCTGAAGATAACGATGAACAAAGCCTTGAGGTTTTTGAACCGTCCGGTGAAGTTCCCTACGGTTTCTTCCTTTTTATACTAAAGTCGCAAGTTATGAATTTGTTATTAGCAGTTAAGCACTCTATATAACAAGTTAGTCTTATCTGGGCCTGGGCCTCTGTTTTGGGCCTTTGTATTTTCGGCATGGTATAACTAATTTGAGAATCTTTAAGTTAGAAATACAGTTATTTACTAACAAACCCTGCGACGTGATCGCAACAAACAAACCGTAATTTTATATTATATTTTAATAAAGAAAGGGAGGGTATTACGGTACATGCATGACCACCGTGAAGGTTAACGCGATGAAGCCACGTGTTATCTTAGAATCGGACGGCGATAGTTGCAGCAGCCTTCACTGCATACGATGGTGGGGAGGATTTGTCCCGTCCGTCACTTGTGGAAGGTAGCTTTTTCCTGTCGTCTTCTATCGTACGCCTCGAAGAATTCCTTGTTCTCTTTCTCCAGCCCTTTCCACACTGCACAAACAACGCAGAGCAAAGATTGGGATTAGGGTTGGGAAACGACGTCGTAACGAGATCGGTTTACACTTCATAGATATTCTTCCTCCGCCGTGAAAAAACGGGGTCGAATTATGATTCTTAAGCGCGAAACGACGTCGTATGAATTGTTTGCAACACTTCGTATGGATTCTTCTCATTTGTTACAACGACGTCGTATGTATTACTAGTTCAGAGAGATTTTTCTCCGTCATAAAAACGACGACGTTTTATGATTCTTAAGCGAGAGACGACGTCGATCAATTACTAGATCAGTTTTACTTCGTATAGATTCTTCCTCTGTGGTGAAAACGGCGTCGTACAATCGTATCACGAATCACTCGATCAATTTTACACAGTGGTAGAGTGAAACGACGTCGTATCAATTACTAGATCAATTTGCAATGCTTCTTATAGATTCTCTGTGTGGTGAAAACGGCGTCGTATAATCGTATTACGAATCCACTCTATCAATTTTACAGTGTGGTAGAGTGAAACGACGTCGTATCAATTACTCGATCAATTTGCAATACTGCGTATAGATTCTTCCTCTGTGGTGAAAACGGCGTCGTATAATCGTATTACGAATCCACTCGATCAATTTTACAGTGGTAGAGTGAAACGACGTCGTATCAATTACTCGATCAATTTGCAATACTTCGTATAGATTCTTCCTCTGTGGTGAAAACGGCGTCGTATAATCGTATTACGAATCCACTCGATCAATTTTACAGTGGTAGTGAAACGACGTCGTATCACTCATCTTCTTCTCTGGATGGTAGCTGCTACTGTGGGTATTGGGGGAAATGAAACGATGTCGTATTAGCGAAGTACAACTAAGTACCTGTGGAGGTGATGAAGGGGAGGATATTGGCATGCTTAGAGAGAGCTTCCATGCACTCCTCTCTGCTCAAATCGAAGATTATGCACTCTTCAATTAAGTGCTGCACCTGATTTCATTACTCAATTAATCATTCCTTCATTCATTCCATATATGTATGCATCAATTAACAGAAGAACAGATACAGATAGGAAATTGCTTAACGAATCAATTAGCGATAAGAGAATTGAAATTTAATTTACCGTGTGTATGTATTTGGCAGGCGATTCCGACAGATCCTCCATGAATATATGCACTGACTGACAGTGAATCAATTGAAGCGCCGAGACAGGAAGAGAAATATGGTGGACGGGACGTAAGGCGGTTTCTTCGAATAAATAGAGGGCCATAGGGTAGGGTGGGGGGTTGGGGGCTCTAATAGAAGACTGATGTATTGTCATTGTCATTGTATTGTATTGTGTGCTGCATGTAAAAAATTGTAAATGAGGTTCAATTCTTCCAGAGTTTATTTTAGGTGTCTCTTTTGTTTGATTTTGCTGCTTTGGAGCTGTTTGTCATTTTTAAAGTGTTTTTGTCGTATCCGATTTTGTATATGCGTTTTAAATCATTATTGATTTATATAAATAAATATTAATATCACATTATAAATGAAATTTTAATTTTTAATACTACAATATAAGATTTTGTTTACTCAAAATATTTTCACTCATTTGACATTATTTGTTTTTTAAAAAAATATTGCATCAAATATATTTTTTCTCTTCACAAAATATTAAATCAAATATAACATTTTATTTTTTATTTTTTTTTCAAACTTCTCAAATTCCAAAAACTTCTAATAATATCTATCTAAACAAAGCTTAAATGTTGAAGAATAAATATTTTATGTGGAGTTTGTGTAATAAATTAATTTTTTTTTACATATTTTTCAATGAATATTATGAATATTTAAAAATCTTACAAATTAAATACTGTCCAATCTATTTTTTTTTACTTGAAATATTTTTAATCTAGGAAATGTATAAACCAAGAGAGTGTTTGGGAAATAGCTTTTTAATCTAAATTAGGTGTTAAAGCTAATCTATCCAACGTTTGGAAAGAATTTTTTCGGTTAAATTTTGGTTATTCCTTATTTACCCTTAAAATTTAATTATTTATTATAGGTATATAAATATATTTTTATAACAGTATATTATTAATTATTTTTAATATATTTAATTTATTAAATTATATTTTTATTTTTGTAAATTTAAAATAATTACTATTATAAATTATTACATATAAATTATTTTATTTATAAAATATATAAATTTTTAAAATTAAATTAAATAGAAAAAACAAAGGTTATTAATTTATTTATATATATTAAAACAATAATTAACATAATAAAAATATATATTTACAAAATATTTATTATTTTATATTTTACATAATTTCAATAACAAATTATTATTGTTTTTTAATAAAAATAATTTTCTCACATCTAAATAATAAAAATAAAAATAAATATTTTATAATTTTCAATAATTAATAACAAAATTTTTTATAAATTTTAAATCAAAATGAACAAAATTAAATATTTTAAAAGATAACATATCAATGGCCTTAATAGTCATTTTATTTATAAACAGCTAATGTCAAACCGTTGTTTTACCAAACATTTGAATACAAACAGCTAATTGAATCAGCTAATAGCTACACTATCAGTTAATTGCCAAACTCCGAAAGCCTTTTGCATGTGCAAAATTTGATGGGTTCTTTTTGCCAATATAAACTTTAAAAAAATGTAATATTTTACACAAATTTATTATTTATTAAAAAATGTAATACAGTTTCTTATATTTTACGTATAAAAAAATATTTTTTCAAACTAGTTTATAAAAAACACATTCTTGATTGTTTGTGTTTTTATTTACAATATGCTTTTTTTTTTTTTACTTTTTTAAATGTTTTATTTTAACAAATACTTCCGCTCAAAGTGAAAGATTTTTTTTTATTATTTTTATTTAAAATATCAATTTTCTATTATAGTTAATAATTATATATTAATGCTAAAATTTCATTAATTTTTATATAAATTAAAAATATATTGTTATACATACAATTAGTTTATACATAAAAATATTTTTATTAATTAATAAAATACTACTATCTCCGTCCAGCTACAAAGTATACATATTTTTATTTAGGACGTCGAATTACTAAGTAATCATTTCATTAAATACCCCCACTTTTTTCCACAAATACTCGTACTTTACATCACATCGTTACTTTTATACCAAAAAATAAGGGCAAAAATATTATTACACTATTTTTATCTATCCACTTTAATTAAAATATTATTATTTCTTAAACTCCGTGCCAAAAGTAAATGCATACTTATTGTGTGGACGGAGGGATGGAGTATAATATTATTTATTAATTTCCAAAAGTAAATTTTTGTGTAATATATTCCCTCAATCCCAAATAAGGTGTAACATTTGCTTTGGACAACGGGTTTTTAAGTGGATAATATTAAATAGGATAATTTAAAAATTAGGTGATATAATAGAGAGAGAAATGTATATATATATTTTTTGTGATGTGATGAGATAAAGTGTGGGGTAAAGATTAAGTATAATTAATTATTTCATATTTTGAAAATGTTGCAGAATATTTGACACATACCAAAAAAGAAATATTGCACGGTGTTTGAGACATAGTGAGTAATAAATAAATAATAAGTGTTTGATATAATTTTTTTTTTTTTTAAAAAGTTTTAATAGTAAAATTAAAATAAAAACCCTACAAGTAAACATACCCTATATTGTCTACGTACTTGTGATTGGTGTTTTATTTTGAAATATTCTATATGTAATATTTAAATTTTTTCAATTATATTATATTGTACTCTATTCATTTTATTATAATTAACATCATTTCTATTTGTATCTATTTGTATAACAATTGACAATTTTGAATAAAATTTATCAAATTACAATATATTTAAAAAATATAAAATAATTTAATTAATTATATAATATATAACATTATAGGTTATGTTCGAATATAATTAATTATAACATGATCATAACTTATATAATTAATATCTTAAAATTTAAATTATTATGAATAAAAAAACATATAAAAATAAATAAATTATACTCCCTCTGTCAATTTATAATGTTTATATATTTTTATTTTGGAACGTCCAATTAAAAATTAATATTTTATTAAATATTCTACTTTTTTTTCAAAAATATATTTATTTTACATCACATTATTATTTTTACACAAAAAAATAAAAACACAAATGATATTACACTATTTTTAACTACTCACTATAATTAAAATACTATTATTTTTTAAACACTGCATTAAAAGTCAATGTAAATATTATATGCAGACGAGAGGAGTATTGAAGTAAAAAATAATGAATTAAAAGTAATGATCATAGCAGCGGCTAAAACAAATGATTTAAATATTGATACGAATAAAAAGAATTAAATAAGATAATGAAATTAAAATAATATTATAACATTATAATAAATCCATAATAAAATTGGTTAGTCAAAGGTAGTACTGGTGGGCCCAGAGGGGCACGTGGGAAAAGAGTGGTGATTGGTGGGGAGAGGATTGATAGTAGATTTCATAGGGTGCCTACATGGCTATGCCTGTGGTGGCCCACTTCACGTGGCGCGTAGACCCCACGTACCACGGGATCAGTTAGGATTTTCCTCTTATGTGAAACAAATAAAATATTCCTACAGTGTCTATGCGTCCCTATTCCCAAATTCGTGCTTAGGAGATATTTTTTTAATGGATTTTTTTTTAAACTAGTAAAAAATTATTTTTTATTTGGAATTTTAATTTATTTGTTTTTTTTGATATTTATATAAATAAATAAAATATAAAATTGAAGATATTTATGATGTGTAAAGGGTTTGTATTTATTTTTTAAAAAATAAATAATTTTTGTTCAAAAAATAGAAGTTGAAAAATTTGATACATTTCTAGTAGATATATGGAATAGTATATTAAATTCTTCCTCCGTCTCACGTACCGTGTCTGTTACACTGTAGACACTGGTATTTTAGGAGGAAGGTAATCAGTAGATAATTAAGAATATATTAGTAAAAATAATTATCCGATAATATAAAAAATTATAAATTTAAATTAAAATAACTAATTAATTTAATTAAAATTAAAATAAAAATTTAAGAAGTTTAAAATGAGATTAAAATGTATAATCATTTTCCAAAAACGAAAAATGACAGGGTATGTGCGACGGACAGAAGCGGCAACGTGGACATGGTATGTGGGAAGAGAGTATATATTTAAAATTACATACTCCCTCCATCCACAAATTGATGTCTTACTTTCCTATTTGAAGTCCAACAACTATTATCATATTTTCTTTTTTAAATATAAATTTTATATTTTTTATCTTTCATTCATTTATTACTTTTAATCTCTATCATACAATTAAAGACAAATTTGCCAATTTATAACAAAAAAGAATCACCTAAAAAATCGTAAAAAAACAATAGAAAGTGGACACAATGAGTATAAATTACTATATTTAAAAAAACAAATAAATAATTAAACCTCAAAAGAATCTCGCATGAATTCGACTCTAATATTTCCTTTATCCATCTGAAATATATTTTTAATACCAAGTTTAAGAAATATTTCTATTTAAATAATAGTTAATTAATACTTTTATGTGTAAATATATTTTTATTTTCATTTAATATAACTATATTAATATAAAACTTAAATTTAGAAACATAGGGTGTGTTTTTTTATTGAGTTTTAAAAAAATTAATTTGAATTTAGTATTAAAATAATATTTAATGAAATATTTTGTAAGAAAAAAATTGTAATTTTTTTAAAGAAAATATAGAATTCAAATAATAAAATTTGAAATTTTTGGAATAAAGAACCCTAATAAAATTAACAATAAAATTGTTATTAGACATACGAAAAAATATACTCTCTCCCTCCCTTAATAATCTATCTATTTACTTTTTTAGTAATACTTTTCTAATTTACAATATATTACACAAATATCATTACCTTTATATCATACAATACTAATAGGGTTAATTCAGTTTTTTTACCTTTATTTTTACTTTATTTCATCAATATAATATTAATATTTCTAAAACTCTTTAAAATAAAAAAATAAATCCGTAGATATGAGAGGGAGAGAATATATTTTAATTAGCATAAAACCTACTACCCACAATCTTATCCAATAATAAAATATATTGGCAGCTCAATAATTTCTCTTTAAATAATTAAATTGCCATCTCACACCCACTGGCTAATTAATTTACATTATCCTTGCCCTTATCAGCCATTTCTCCTTCCATTTTTGTTTATATATAAGAAATACAAATAAATAAGTAAATAAAAACAAATTAAAGTCACTTTAATCATTTCTTGGGGTACAAACTCAAGTCTCACGTTGAAAGTTGTGAAGAAAATTACACATTTTATAAGTCCCAATTGAATTTCACTAGTACGAGGCCTTTTGGAGAATATCCAAAAATAAATCCGTGCGGGCTCAGCCCAAAGCGGACAATATTATACTAGTATTGAGTTGGCTCGGTCTCAACAATGATATCAGAGTCCGATTAGATGGTGAAATGGATTGGGTGGCATTGAACATTGATTGTGGAGGTGAGCTCGCCCTTACTAAGTATTGAGTTGGCTCAGTTCAAACACCATTCCTTTTTAATATTTGAAAATTTTTAGTTATATTTTTATACTTTTAAAAAAAAAAAAAAAAAAAAAAACACTTGCATTTTAATTAAAAAAAAAATAAATTATACTCTTTTGTTCCGGCTTTTGTGTCCATAATACTTTAGATATGTGAATTTATAAGATATATAATTAGTAAATAATGAATAATATATTAATAAAAATAATTATTATATCATAAAAATTATAAATTAAAATTAGAATAACTAGGTAATTTAGGTAAACTTTAAAAAAAAAAAATTAAATTGAGATTAAAATGTATAATTTTTTTAAAAAAATAACAATAAATAAAATATATGAAAATAAAAAGATAAACCCAGTAAATAAGAAAGAAGTAATAATATTTAAATAGAAGAATTATTAATTTAAGTTTCAATACTCTTCATTATTTTCAAAATATATATATATATTCATATAAAAGCATCATATGTAAGCATAAAAAATATATATATTTTAAAATTACATATAAATAAAAAATTATCAATATTTACGGGGATTGTATAGAAAATAAAATTTTATATAACGTTAATATTTTAAATTTTAAATTAAATATAATATATAAAAATAATAATAATAAATAATGGGAAATGTGTTGGGTATTTATGCAAATCACCTGAGGTGGAAGAGAGAAAATCTCCAAAAAGTTGTACATTAGGGTGTGTTTGTTTGGGGGATTCGATTCGATTTATACTATTAATCTAATTTTTTTCCCCAGACATTAAATCAAACACCTATTATTATTTTATTTTATATTATACTAAAAAAAAATTTTACATTCAAAACATCACATCATCGCCTATATATATCACATCATACAACTATTCAAATTAAAAATTTTTACTATTCAAATAACAACTCAAAATCTAAACCTCAAACAAAAAGTGGTTTACCGGGCTGAATCGAACCAGGCCTGAATGACCCAACTTTTTTTTTTTTTTTGGTGACGTGAAAACTCCCAGTCGTTACCCGAAAGTGCGGGTTTGATCTTACCAAAATTGGATCTGATATAATAAATTGTTTCAATTAAATATTTATCTTTATTTTTTTTATAATAAATTAAAAATTATTTTTAAATTTATAATATAAAATTAATTTTTATTTATATCATATCATACGATTATTAAATACAGTATAAATTTTTACTATACAAATTTAAATTTAAAATAAAAATCTCAAACAAGCCCACTTGAGATTAATTTATAGTAACTATTCTGGTCACACTAAACACAAAACTAGTCCAATATCATTTCAAGTTTATCTGGACTCGGACCAAGGAAGACCACAGCTAGTCAAGGGTATATAATTGTTAAATGAATTTGACTTGTTAACCGCTCGATTCGATTTATAATTTACTAGAGTGGACCCGTGCATAGTACGGATAGTTATAAATTTTATTGTATTGTTAAAATTAATTATTGTTATATAATAATTAAATTATTTTAAATATGAAAATTATTTGAATAAATTAAATTATTTTATACAATTAATTTTTAGTATTATTTATTTATTTATTATGTAAAAATTATATAAATCATACTCTTTTCATTCCCCAATTTTTTTTTCATAATTTATAACTTTTTAATTTTAATTACTCTATTTAATTATCTTAATTTATAATTGTTTTCTTTAATATATTTTTTATTACTTACTAATAATATATATTAATAGTATTATTTTTTTAACAGCGGCACTCAGTTCATCTTTATTTTATTATATTATTGTTAATTTTAAGTGGGCAACATAAAATAAAATTTCTAAAAAAATAAATGTTGATTCGCCAATATAAAATAAATTAAAAAATAAAATAAATCCCACAATAAAATTTAAAAAAATAAAAAACTATGTGTTGCCACGTGGCAACACACTTTCATCGTTAAATATATATATCTTAGATTTAAATAAAATAGATCCTACAATAAAATTTTAAAATATAAAAAACTATGTATTGCCACTTGGCAACATACTTTCAGCGCTAAATATATATATTATAGATTTACTTTTTTTATAAAAAGCCAAGCTTGAATTAGACATGCAATGTAACTCAATTAAACTTGTTATTGTGATATAATTATATTATTTATATATTAACATATATAATATTTAATACCAAAATTTATATTTATTAATAGAATTTGAATATTTATTATATTAATTTATTAATAAGATTATATATATTAATTTATATATTAAAAAAATATGTAGAATAGGTATAAAATATGCAGATAGGTATTATTGAACATTAATTATAAATATACTGTATATATGCACGAGATTTAAGCTTATAATTTTACGGTCACGAAACCACCTTCCACCTTAAATTACCAAATCATCTCTTACGAGACTATTTGTAACTCGGACATGTTCGAGGAAAAGCCTCAACACCCTATAAATCTCATCCTTCTCTTCATGCCTTACATCCCCTGTAACAAACACATGAACCTTTGTCCCAATTTCAACCCAGCTACTCCCCGGAATCCTCCTCAGCCCTTTCTCCTTCATCTTCTTCCTTATCTTCACCACACTCTCCCATTTTCCGGCGGCCGAATGCGCATTCGACAACATTACGTACGATGACACATCGTCGGGATCCAATTCCACAATTCTCGTCGCCGCAATTTCCCCCAACGCCGTATTGGAATGCACCCGACACCCCCCGAGCAACGCCTTCCAAAACCCGACCCCCGGGTCGAACGGTAAATCGTCGAGAAATTTCTCCGCTTCTAGAAACTTCCCCGACCTCGACAATAGATCGATCATACACGCGTAGTGCTCGGGTTCTAGAATCTCGGGTCTCTTCGATCTCGCCTCGTTGAAGTATTTATACCCGTCGTCGACCTTCCCGACGTGCGTGCACGCCCAAAGTAGGCCGAGAAGCGTTACGCTGTTCGGCTCGACGACGACAGAGCCCGTTCGATTCATTTCCTCGTACGCTGCGATTGCGTCGGTCCCTCGCCCGTTTTGCGCGTACCCGCAAATTAGAGCGTTCCAGGAGACGACGTTTCGATCGGGATTCTTCCGGAACGCCAAAAGGCTATCGTCCATGCACCCGCATTTTGCGTAGAAACTCACCAACGAATTTGACAAATACAACCCCGGACGATTTCCCGAGAACTTCACGGCGCACGCATGCACGCTCCTCCCGACGCCGAGAGCGCCGATGTTGGCGGCGGCGATCGCAACGCACGGATACGTGTACTCACTCGGGACCGTTCCGCGCCGCAACATCTCGACGAATAAATTCACGACGTCCTCGTTTCTTCCCGCTCGGCCGTACCCGACGATCATCGTGTTCCAAGAAACGATGTTTTTTTCGTTATCCGGCATCGAGTCGAACACTTCCCGGGCCTTTTCGAACATCCTTTCCTTAACGAATCCGCTAATCAGTGTTGTGTAGGACACCACATTTGGGCTGTGGATGCCATTGAAAGTCATTAGAGCTTCTTCGATGGTTCCTAACTTCACGTAAAGATCCATCATAGCGCTGCCGACAAAGACATTAGAATTGAAGCAAGTTTTTTGTGTATAGGCGTGGATTTGATTCCCCAAATTGATGTCTCCGATAGCTACAGAAGAATGAAGAATTGTACCGAAAGTGTATTCTGTTGGCTTAATGTCAGAATCCAACATTGCTAAGAAGATAAAAATGGCTTCCTTGTGTCTTTTTTTCTTCCCCAAATGGCTCATCAGACTTGTCACGGATACTGCGTCTCGTTCAGGCATTTCGTCGAACAGTTTCCGTGCGTTGCGGCGTTTGAGTTCTGCTTGAGGCTCCTGCAATGGATTTTTATCATGGAGTGATATAGTTTGGGATTTTGTGAGAAATTTGGTGTGAAATTGGGAGAAATTGTGCCTGAATTTTGGGGATTTCTTCTGCCGAGCCAAACATGGCACCAACGCCATTGTCGGGGAAGCTTCTTGCTGCTGAAGTTCGCTCATGAAAGTTGGGAATTAAACCGGCAGAAAATTAATTTAAAAATAATTACAATATAATAAAAATAATTAAAATTAAAATTAAAATAACTAATTATTAAATATTTACTCAGAAAAAATAATTACTCTAGAAAAATAGAAATTGTATGTTAATATATATATATATATATGCTAACAACTAGTTAATATAATTAAAACACCCCCTTGTATGTAAATTATGCAACAGTAAAAAATACATAAAACACTTCATTGTATAAAACATTTAATTGCGTGAATTAAAAGTTTGCATAAAATACTCTTTTGTCCAAAGTTGATAATTGATTTTAAATAAAAACCTAATTATCCAAATTTTATACAAATAAAACAGATAAAATATTTTAAATAAGTTTTTGATTAATATAAATAATAAATAATTGATTAAATCATTTACTTTTATTGTTTTTATAAAAATCAAATAATAATTTGTCCCCCAAAAATTATAAAATAAATGATTAATTAATTAATTATTTATTTTAAAAAATATTTAAAATATTTTATGTTTTTTATTTGTATAAAACATGTGTAATTTAGGTCTTTTATTTAGAATCAAACATTAACTTTGGACATAAAAGGGTGTTATATAATTTATCCAAAATTTAAAATATATTTAAAATATAGTATAATTTTTTTTAAAAAAATAAAAAATGACATAATATATTGTGCACAGAGGAAATAATTTTTAATCTAATAAATATAACGTAAAATATATTTTAAAAATAATATTACTTTTATCCTATAATGGTAATATCATTAAAATATTATTTATTTATTTATTTATTTTAATTTATATTAAAATAATATATTAAAAATATTATTCAAAAGAAATAAAAATACAACCAAACACAACCTCACCCTTTAAGTTGTTGAGTCCCAATGGGCTTTGTGAGAAGAAGTCAGTATACATTTGTAGTGCTCGTGGACTTTGCTTTTGTTCTTTCCTTCCTCTTTCACAATTAACGCTCGAGATAATGGCCATCGCCGCCGCCATAACGCTGCCGTACGTAGCCGTTAGCCGCCGCTCGATTTGTTCTCACCGTCCAACTTCTTCCTCCTTGTTTCAGTTCCCTACTTCGCGGATTCAGCAAACATTTATTTCTAAACCTAGCGCCGTTCGTGCTGCGACGAATTTTGGTTGCCGGATCTCGTCTTCCATGAGCATTCAGGCTCCGGAAGAGAGCCCGAGTACGTCTTTTCTCGATCATAAAGAGAGTGGAATTCTTCATTTCGTCAAATACCATGGCCTCGGCAACGATTTCATACTGGTAAGGCGCCTGTTTGTGTTGCAGAAAACCTCGAAACTGATTTCAGCAGCTTCTCGCAAAATCTGTGCCACTGTGATTACAATTGTAAAATTGAATCGATCAGTCGATGGCTTTAACTGCTTTATGATCCGAGTTGCTGTTGCTTTTGATTTATTTTATTCTGGTTTTGGCATTTGTAGGTGGACAACAGGGAATCGCTGAATCCGAAAGTCACTCCCGATCAAGCAGTGAAATTGTGCGATAGGAACTTCGGCATTGGAGCAGATGGAGTGATTTTTGCCATGCCAGGCACCAACGGAACGGATTACACCATGAGGATCTTCAATTCTGATGGCAGTGAGCCTGAGGTAATGTGCATTTTGAATGCCTTTGTAACATCAGCTACTGCATTTTCACTATAAATGTTTTGGAGAAGACATGGTATCGAAAAAATGGCGATGTTCTCAAAATGGAGCCTATAGAATTTGTTTGATTTCAAGGAACTAAAACAATTTGACTATTGTGGTTTCGACACCAAAAGGAGAAGGGATTAAAGAAGAATGTGTAGTCGAATAAATATGTCTTTCTGCATTGGATGAAGTCAAAGTTATAGTAGGAGAAGCCTGTATTTGTATCTTTTGGATTTGAAAGTTTGAATCTAAACTATGTTTTGGATGTGATGTTTTTCTGAGAAAAAAAAAAAAAAAGTTGAAGATTGCATAGTTTGCCACATCTACTTTTGCAAAATGAACAATAGTTGATTTTAGGTCATTGGTTGATTTGTTTCTTGTAAATTTTGACTTTTGTTGTAACAGATGTGTGGCAATGGAGTTCGATGCTTTGCAAGATTCATTGCAGAGCTCGAGCATTTGAATGGTACGCAGAGGTTGGTATAACTGTTTCTTGATTCCTCATCATTCTGTGCTGATGCTCGATGATTCTTTTGATTGGATTAATTTATTTCGATTAAATTTTTACTTTTTCATTGTTTCATCTTTGCAGCTTCAAAGTGCATACGGGGGCTGGTTTAATTGTTCCCGAGATTCAAGAGGATGGAAAGGTTCTTTTCTTTATTAGTAAATAGAACTGTTAAACGAGCGGAGCAAATTTAAGTATTTGTTTTTCGAGTTCGATTCGAACATGTTATTGGTGCAGACTCGACTTGACCGTTTAGGATTCGACTTAAATTAGAGGCTTGAGCTCGAATTGTTAGGTTTGACTTCAAGCTCAAACTCAAGCTCGAGTTCAGCTCGAATTTTATACATATTATAAATATAAATTAAGTTAAATTTTATTAATAAATAAAAGTTTGATATAAAAGTTATGTATTACGTTAATATATATATAAAAATGATATAAATATACAATTATTAACAAGTTCAATTGAGTCACCTGCTAGCCGAGTTCAAGCTTATTTATAGAAATAATAATCTACAAGCTCGAGTTTGACTCATTTATTTTTATAAACGAGTCGAGTCGAGCTGTTAATGAGCCGGGTCAAGCTTGGCTCCTGAGTTACAAAATTTGTTTAACAGCTCTATTAGTAAATGCCTTTAAGGGATAAGCACGCACTGAATGTGTTTCTGGTACGTCGCTTCATAGTCATTGAAAAATTCTCTTCAGGTCAGAGTTGACATGGGCGAGCCGATTCTGAAGGCACCGGACGTCCCTACAAAATTACCTCCGAATAAAGATCAATCTGCTGTCAAGGCGAAATTAGACGTGGACGGACTAATCTGGAACGTGACTTGTGTAAGCATGGGGAATCCACATTGTGTCACTTTCGGGACAGAGTCGAGCAAGGTATTGCTGTCTGTTATTTAGCTCCGAGGCTGTCTTGGGGTTGATTTGATGATCTCATTCTTCGACTTAAATCGTTTTATCACAGGGTTTGATTGTCGATGATTTGAAATTAAATGAAATTGGCCCTAAGTTCGAACATCATGCGATGTTCCCTGCTCGAACAAACACAGGTATTTGGTACACCAACGTTTTATTCTGTATGGTAATTTCATTTTTTGGATTTATAACTTCATTTACTTCCAAGTAAACTATACATCCGTTTATCCAATTTGAATAAATTGCAGAATTCGTGCAAGTCTTCTCCCCAAGTCACCTAAAGATGCGCGTTTGGGAACGCGGCGCAGGTAATTCCTTAATACATATGCCAAAATGTATATTGCCTTATAAAAGTTCTTTTGTAGTTTAGTTTCTGTTTTTCTACTTGCAATCATAGTAATTTCCTATGAAATGCATTTACTCTAGGGTAGTTCTAGGGTAGTTCGGTATATGACTATCATTATCATTTTAGAACTTTAGAACTTTAATGGACCCTTTTTTAGAATAGTTCTGCAAATAATCTTTTTTTGTTAAAATGGTCCTCCGGTGTCGGAGTAGCCATGCTGACTTGTCGTTGCTGATGTGGCGCTGATATAGCTTACATTATGATACATCGAAGGACCATTGTAGTGGGACTATTTTCAGACACAGTCAATTTAAAGTCCTAAAATGATAAAAGATCATAAATGCGACTAAACAAATAGGTTACCAAGACATTTTGTAGAATAAAAGTAAATAAAACTTTTCGTATGTCGCTGACGTGACATCTACGTGGCGATGGCATGTCAGCCTTGTCAGTGCCACATAGGGGTGTCAATTTGTATTTTTGGGTCGTGTTCGTGTCGGGTTGAGCCATGGGGATAACAGAAAAACTGTTAACCCTAACCCGAAATCTAACCCGAAACCCTAGACTCGAACACGACACAAATTTTTTCAGGTCGGGTTCAGGTTGACCTGAATTAGTTTCAGGTCACCCGAAACCCGAACAAACCAGACAAGAAACAGACCTAAAAATTTAAAAAAATTAAATTGACCTAAGAAATATCATTTTTATTTTTATTTTTATATTTAAAATAATATAAATATTATAAATTAAAATAATAATAATAAAAATTTCAGGTCAACCCGAAACACGAAACCCAAAACCTAACCTGATTTTTATATTTCAGGTTATCAGGTCAACCCGAAACACGACACAAATTTTTTTTGTTTCGGGTTCGGGTCGACCCGATTTTTTTTCAAACCCGAAATACCTAAACCTGAATCTGAAAAATTTCAGGTCGAACGGGTTCGATTTCTCGGGTCGGGTTTACTTTTGACACCCCTAGTGCCACATTAGAAACAACGGGCCAGCTTGGCGAGTCCGGCACCAGAAGACCCTTTACTTTATTCTAGCTTCCTTTTTGTCTTCCGATTGTTTTTTATTTCAAAATTCTTGAGGTGAAAATGCGCCAAATAATTTGAGTGAAAAAAATCAATCGAATAGTTCAAAAATGTGAAAAAGATTATGGCCCCATTTGCTTAGATTTTTGAAGTTTTTTTAATATAATAAAAATTTAATATTTGATGTGATTCTTGTGAGAAGAAATAAGTATTTGATAGTATATTTGTTAAAAAAATTACGGTTAATAAATAATATCAAAATAAAAAGAAATGTTTATGCAAACGGAGCCTACTAGTTTCGACTACAAAGTTTAATTCAATCGCTTGTTTCAGGTGCAACTTTAGCCTGTGGAACCGGGGCTTGTGCTGTCGTCGTTGCTGCAGTGCTCGAAGGTCGGGCCGAGCGAGTAAGTTTTATATATTATCAACATTTTATTATTAAATCATCGACAAACAAACCTTCGCCGTAATTTAATAATACATTTCTCTGCAAAACAGAAATGCACAGTCGAATTGCCGGGAGGGCCTTTAGACATTGAATGGAGAGAAGCCGACAACCATGTCTACATGACGGGACCGGCAGAAGTTGTGTTTTACGGCTCGGTTCCTCTCTGATCGATCATCGACTACGACGATTTCGAAGATATTGTTAAGCCGTATGGCAATGCAGGTTTAGCCTTGTTTTTTCTTTTTTTTTTGTTGTCTTGCTGGGGTGAAGCTGATCTGCCAATTGGTACTTTCTTAGCCCTGTAGTTTGTAATATAGAGTGATTTTGACCGTTGGGTCACTCAATAATTTGAAATATTTTGGTTTCATTTAGATAGATTTAATTTTATATAATTTTTACTATTTTTGTTTATTTTCAAAAGTATTAATTTTTTATTTTGATAAAAATAATTATATATTAATATTAAAATATTTTTAATTTTGTTTTAAATTACAAATAAATAATTATATATATATACACACACAATGTTAAAGGACAAAATTATTAATTTTTTTTATATATATATTTATTATATTAAGTATGTAGTACCAAAAAAAATAGAAAATAGTATCATTATTATGGCAACTAATGGAATTTTGTATTATTTTTTAATTTCCTATAGTAGTTCCTATGTCTCATTGGAATTAATGTCACACTTTACATATTTTTGTTCATCCCGCATTAGTCTATATTTTATTTGTTTTTAGTAATTATAGTTTCATTATTTTACATAAATATTTTTATTTTACAATTATTCATTACTTATTTATTTTTTTAAGAACTAAGGATTTGTTTGTTTAGTATTTTGATTTAACATTTTTGTTTCAATGGGAGGTATAGAAAATCATATGGTAATATAAAAAATAATATTTTATCTTGAAAGTTAGATTTTTGTAAGGATAACTCAATCTTTAACATATTAACCCTAAATTGTTTTTACACCTCTAATATCAAAATTTTGTCAAGTATATAAATACGGTGATACCAACATAGGTACAATGAAAATATATTACTCTATCCGTCCATTGAAATGTTACCATTTTTCATTTTCGTATGTCTCAAAACAAGGTTATAATTTTCTAATTTAGTAATTGTACTAGCTACTTCACATAATAAATACCGTTTCAACTTACAATATATTACATAAATGTCATTACTTTTATATTACACCATACTCATAGGAATATTTTTGTCTTTTGACTACAATTCAATATAATATTAATATTAAAAAATTTATGTGAAAAAGCAAACCCCGTTGCGGGACGAAGGAAGTATTTCTTTTGATAAAATATTATTTAAATTAAATATTAAATCAAAACCCAAACAAACACTTTTCTATTAATAATATGTCAATATATTGCAAATTCCCAACGGTAACAAATTTGTAAACGCACCACAAATACAAACTATAAATACACAAAGCTCCATTATTTTAGTTACTATTTCAAAATATACATTTATGTATTTTTCAAAAAAATACGTATAAATAAAATATACTTTTAATTTAAAATTATTCAAATTACCTTTTATGAATTATTTCACGCTCCCCAAAGTGAGTATATATAATCTACAGATAGATTCAGTAGCCGTTACAGAAATCAATTCAAACCACACCTTCAATTCCCACCTGCCGACTGCGAAGCGACTGAGTACTGCGATCGAGAGGGGTAAGTAGCTCTTCGATCTTGCTAGTTTCGTGCTTCCATTTTTGGATCTACTTAACATTTTTCGTTGTTTCTGAAGTTTGGATTCAGTAGGAGCTGGTAATGGCGTCATTGACACCGGATTTTCGGAAGGTAGGGATGAGTATAGCGCCGTCACCGTCGCCGTTCCTCACGCCGCGGCCGGAGAGGCGGCGGACGGAGTCGCGAGGCTTGGATTGGAACGCAAATCGGCCGGAGAAGGATAAAGAGATCAATATCCAGGTTTTGCTTCGATGCAGGTGGAATTTCGCAATTCAATTATTTCGAATTTTTCCCCCTTTCTAAATCGCAGAGTAATAGCGTGAAGGATTCTCCTGTTTGTTGTTGTTTGCCCTCTTAGGCCATTATCTGATGACGAACAACGATTGAATGTGCCGAAAGTAATCTCTTGTAACGAGAACCGAAGAGAAGTCACCGTTATGCAATCGATTGCTAGCAAGCAAGTGGATCGAGTTTTCACCTTTGATAGGGTTTGGATTTCTTCTCCAATACAATTCTTTTTTAATTATATCAACAATCACAGAATAATGATTGATATTCTTATCATGTGAAGGTTTTTGGTCCGAAAGCGCAGCAAAGATCTATATATGATCAAGCTATTTCACCCATTGTTAATGAAGTATTAGAAGGTTTCAACTGCACAGTTTTTGCTTATGGCCAAACTGGAACTGGTAAAACATACACAATGGAAGGAGGGATGAGAAATAAGGTATAGAAATGTGTGTGTGTGTATATATGTATACTTTTTTGTAGTACATTTGATTGATTTAATTGAATCCGAAATGAGTTTCTTGATGTAGAGTGGTGAATTGCCTGCTGAGGCTGGTATTATTCCTAGAGCAGTTCGCCAAATCTTCGACACCCTAGAAGCTCAAAATGCTGATTACAGTATGAAAGTGACCTTCTCTGAACTATATAATGAGGAAATTACAGACTTGCTAGCTCCAGAAGATCATTTAAAATTGACAGAAGATAGACCTAAGAAGCCGATTTGTTTGATGGAGGATGGGAAGGGTTCTGTGATTGTTAGAGGTCTTGAAGAGGAAGTTGTGTACAGTGCAAATGATATATATAGCCTTTTGGAACGAGGTGCTGCTCGAAGACGGACGGCAGACACCTTGTTGAATAAAAGGAGCAGGCAAACACTGTTTTCGACTTTGCCATTTTTGTTTTTCTTGAATGTTGTTAGTCTTGGAAATACTAATACTTCTTTTTGCGTTGCAGTCGATCTCATTCTATATTTACCATATGTGTTCACATTAAAGAAGGCGTTGTCGGAGATGAGGAGCTCATCAAATGTGGCAAGCTTAACCTTGTTGATTTGGCAGGATCAGAGAACATATATCGGTCGGGTGCTCGTGAGGTAAAATTTTTAATTTTAGTACAACAAAGAAATGTTTCTGATCATCAAAGAAGAGATTATTTACATCTTTATGTGTGTTTGTATACAATAAATTGTGCTGCATTAGATCATTTTAGTACCACACTATCTCATTCTAGTTAGCAAAAAAAAAAACTTTTCTACGATAATGGTAACAAATTATTCAAATCATTGAGGAAGAAAGTAGTTACATATGTGTTGCATTACCCTTGGCAATGCATACAACTTCTGTCGTACAAATCTATATTCACTTTTCTTTTTGGAAATGTCATAAAAAAATGTTATTTTTTATTTTTAGTAAAAAAGCATACACACCCACGTTAAAAACTGCGCCCAAAAGTTTGATAACACATTTGGATGATTGAGTGAGTATAATTTGTGTTGCATTAGATCATAACAAAAAGATGTCTTTCTATTAGATATATTTTGGTCAGTGTTTTCTTCTAAATTAACAAATTATTATTCAGGCTCGAGCAAGGGAAGCAGGAGAAATAAATAAGAGCTTATTAACCTTGGGTAGAGTCATTAATGCATTGGTGGAGCATTCAGTCCATATACCTTACAGGTTGTGTGAAATTTCAGACCTTGAATGATTGAGTTGCAGAAAGTCGAATTCATTCCCCACTTAATGTGGTGTTATGCAGGGATAGCAAGCTTACGAGGCTTCTAAGAGATTCATTGGGTGGGAAAACAAAGACTTGTATCATTGCCACAATCTCTCCATTGGCAAATTGTTTGGATGAAACTTTAAGCACGTTGGACTATGCATATCGTGCTAAAAGCATAAAAAACAAACCTGAGGTTAATTTAGCATGCACGCTTGCTTTATCATTTCCTTTAGTTATCCTTTCTCGGCACTTCAATTTTTTTCTAATTTCTTGAAGGCAAACCAAAAAGTGACCAAAGCTATGCTGCTTAAGGATATATACATGGAAATGGAGAGAATGAAGCAAGGTGAGGATTTGTTTTGCCTTATCTCAGGATTTCTTGCTGTGACATGACACGATTTTTGAATATCAGATATTCGAGCGGCTAGGGAAAAGAATGGTGTTTATATCCCCCAAGAGAGATTCCTGCAGGATGAAGCTGAAAAGAAGGTCAATATACTTCTAAGTACTTATCACGTGTCAAAGAAAATTTGCAGTTTCAGAAAATGAACAAACATGGCTTAGTTGATCGTATAGAATTTTGATTAAAAACCATAAATTTTATTTCAATCTGAACTTGCAGGCACAAAGTGAAAGGATAGAGCAATTAGAGAGTGAGCTCAGTGTGAATGAAAAGGTACTTTTTTTGCTCGTCTCGTCATTGAACTTTGTCTAGAAAATTTCTTTCGCCTTATGTATTTACTTTCTATTGCTACAAAACAGCAACTTGATCGATATCGTGAACTATATGTTACTGAACAAGAAGAGAAACTGCACGTTGAAAGTGAGCTTAAACACTGCAAGGTATGGAAGAGGAAGGCTCTGCCGGATTGGATCTTTCTACTTATATATACGTTTATCAAAACTCATATTATCGTGCAATATTTCTTTAGGAAAATCTACAAACAACGCGTAAGAGCTTAGAAGAGTTACAAGATGATTATAAAACAGCTCTCTCATTGCTGAAGGAAAAGGAATCCACCATTTCGAAGTTACAGGATTCCGGCAAGTGTAGTGATGCTTGCATTATCGTAAAAGCTTTTGTTATCCTGCCATTCTTACAATCTTTCGTTATGCAGAGAATAATCTAGTCGATTGTGCCAAAAAATTAAGAGTCGACTTACATGATGCATCGGAGGATCTCTCAGCTCTTTTTGGGAAGATCGGTACTGTTATTACAATTCCTGGAGTAGTTATCTGTTCTTAGTTCTTACTATTGGCTTTGGTTAATTTTGGTTAAAAAATTCTTCTCAGATCGTAAGGATCGAGTCGAAAAGGAGAATCAAAATATTCTACATTCATTTGGAGCACAGCTTGACCACAGTTTGAAAGACTTGAACAAGATCATTCATGGTTCTTTATCCGAGCAAGAACAACAACTCAGATGTGTCGAGGATTGTGTCACCAAATATCTCTCTGCTAAATATGAAGTAAGATGCTTTGCATTTGAAAACCTGCGATAAATTTAGTTTGTAAAGAACTCTATATAAATGTATACTGTCTTCACTTGTGTTTCAGTCGAATGAAGCTATGGAAGCGAAAGTTAATAAATTGTCGGAGACGTATGCTTCAGGAGCCTCGAACATGAAGCAGCTTATCGATGCACTCCAGAAGAAAACCTCTTCTGACCTCGAGCAAACGACGTCCATGGCTTCCGATCAACTTACCTCAGTTGAGAATGTAAGAACACGGCGCAACTAGTTTTATATACATATATAAGAATCGTTACCTAATTGCGTGTTTTTTATTGTTTCCAGTTCTTGAAAGATGCATCCATTGATGCCAAGGAAATCATTTCGGATATTCAGAACTCCCTCGACGAACAACGGCAGCTATTGGCATTCTCCGCCAAACAACAAGCCGAGGTTTGCTTTACTTTACGCTTGAACAAATGATTAGAGTATTTACAAATTACAATTCCATTGGAAGTAACTTCAATTTATTACACATTTTAGGGGCTACGTCGTAGTTTAGCCTCAGCCAAGGCTATATCGCATGCAGCCATCGATTTTTCCAATGACCTCCGAACACGAGCTTTCAAGCTCATACAGCTTCTCGAGCAAAACCAAATCGAGAAGTCCAACAGATTTCATACATTCGAGGAGAAATTTAAGGTTTGTTTGTCGAACGGATTCTGATTTACTTAAATATACGAACAATTTCCTTACCATTGTCTTCTGTTAAATATAGAATGAAGCTCTCAAAGAAGAAAAACTAGCAATGGATAAAATAGCAGTGATATTGTCGACTCTAACCTCCATGAAAACAGACATGGTAAGCTCGATCATCCTCGTATCAATGGTGATATATATATTATCTAATCCAAAATCTTCAGGTATCGAAAGCTTCGAAAAGCTTGGAGGACTCCTGCATTCAAGAAAGCCAGTCAGTGATGCTGGAATTGTCGAACATACGCGAAGTTCTAGCTTCAGAAACGATGGAGCTAAATGATTACATGGAGAAGGCCAAAGATCGCTATGTCGAGGATACATTCTCGTCGACTGAATGCAGAGCTGCACTAGAAAACACCTTACAAGAATGGTAATTCCTCATGCTCTTTGTTCTTACATGTTGTTCGATTTAGTGTTATATCGAGACAGCGATTTCACTTGTTTTTTGTGTCATGCAGTGCAGGAAAGGTCGAGCTGTCCGGACGAAAATGGCAAGATGCGCAATCAGGTGTGAGCCGTATCACGAACAACGGTCTGAACGACTTCGAATCCGCTGCTAGGTTAGTTCGATCATTACATCAGAGGTGGGATAATTCATTTTCACTATATAATCTTATATATATCTCTGCATTTCTTCTTGGCAGGTCGAAAACACTTGAGACTCGATCGATGCACGACAACCTTCGTTCGATGTGCTCGTCGATGGGCGAGGAATTTGATTTTCGCGTAAACGAGTTGTCGGGATTGATCAAAGGTGGAGTTACCGAAATTCGAAACTTCGAAATGTATATTCGCCTTACTCAACAAATTACAAATTACGTGTTTGCGCGCAGATACATTCAAATTGGACAAAGCGAACAAGAAGGAAATATGCTCGATAACGACGGAAAGCGTCGATCAGCTCGATTCGATAAAATCGATCCACAATGAACGTGTATCGGATATTCGCAGCAGATCCGAGCAATGCATCCACAAGGATTATTTGGTAGGCATTTTCTTCGGTCTACGATGTAAAGTTTCTTTTTTTTTTTTGCGTCGATCTTTAAAAGCACCACCTAATGGTTTACTATTGTCATCGTTGTTAAACAGGTCGAGCAGCGAACAAACACGACTCCTAAGAAACGATCCATCGCGATTCCGAGCTTGCAATCGATCGAGGAGATGAGGACAACGATTATACGATCGAAATTGTGTGACACCGAAAACAAGATTCATGACCGGAAAAGAAATCCTTTTCAGCTTGTTAACGGGAGCGTAGCATTGTGATCGAAAATCGAACCCGATGAGCGCGCAACGTCTTCTCCGAGTAACCGGGTAATGAAATTGTTTGATAGCTTGATCGATCGATCTTGTTCTTCTTCATCGTTAAACTTCTAGTATGATTTACATGTTTACGCTCGATATAATGTTTCATATATATATATATAGGTTTCCCGCTTAATAATTTAAATTATTCGAGTTTGGAGTAGAGGTTTTATAGATGGTTTAGTATTTAATTCTAACTAAATGTGAGAGTGTACAATTTAGTGTTAGCAATTAGGTGAATTAGGTCCTAAATTTATAATACTAATATTTTAAAAATATCATAAGTTTTTTTTTTTTTTTTTTACAAAATATTATATTAAATACTAAAATTTTATGTCTTAATAGAAGCCATATTTGTAATGTGACGCATGATTCATTTAAATAATAAAACTTTTTGGTTGTGGATTCTTACTACTTTTGTTTTTGACCGGAAAGCAAAGCAGGTCCGAATTTGGATTTCATTATCAACTTTTTTTGGGTTTTTTTTGTCTGTCTACATAATAATAATAATAATAATAATAATAAGCATCGTTTTTAGATGAATTATTATTATTATTATTTTATTTTATTATTTTTTTATATATAATATAAAAAATTGTGTTAAAAATATAAATTATTATTTTAAGTTAAATATATAATATTTTTTTAGTTTTTTTGTAGGAGCATTTGAAGTTTTTTTTTTTTTTTAAAAAAAAAATAATAATAATAAAAAATAAAAGAATTAGTATTGATAGAAGATGGTTGATCTTTCTATGGATTAATATCTTAATTTTTCTTTTAAAAAACATGGTCTTAATAACCTACCAAAGAAATGATTTGTGTGTAACAGTAATATGTTTGAATTTTTATCCATGCAAAAATATAAAATTAGAAATAAATCTAGGGTGTGTGTTCATTGAATTTTCAATCGATATTATTTTAAGGAAAAAAATCATTTTTTTTTGTCTCAAATATAATCAAAATTTATCATTTTTTGTTTCAATATAATCAAAATTCATCATTTTTTTTTGTCATAATATAAAATTTTTATCAATTTTAGCTCCAATATAACCAAAACTCATCATTTTTTGTCTCAATATAATCAAACTTCATCTTTTTTGGTCTCACCGTCAACAAACCGACGAAAAATGCTGACGTGAACTTGCAAAATTGTGCAATTTCTTCAAATATAAATATAAGGTTTGATTTCTTTTCATGTTAGCATTTTCCATCGATTTGTTGATGGTGGGACCAAAAAAGATAATGTTCGATTATATTGAGACAAAAAATGATGAGTTTTATTTATTGAGACTAAAATTGATAAAAATTTTATATTTGGACAAAAAATGATGAGTTTTGGTTATATTGTGATAAAAATGACAGTTTTGATTATATTGAGACTAAAATTAATAAGATTTTTTTTTATATTGGGACCAAAATTGATAAATTTTGATTACATTGTGATAAAAATAATTTTTACCTTTATTTGAAATATCATCTTCAATTAGTATTTCTTCGCCATAATTAATTTTGCACCCACTTCTCATTTCCAATAATAATAATATAATAAAATTTATATAATTGTATATAATTTTAAAAAATGAAAAGTAAGTGTTTGATTTGATATATTTTTATTTTTTTTAAGGGAGAGTTATATAAATTGTAAAAATCCGTTTAAATCTTTCAAACAAACACACTCGAAATTTGGTTCTACAATATGAGTAAAAATTTGAATAAATTTCCGAATTTTTTTTAGATAATATGACATGACGTAGTAGAAAGAGAAGACTTGGACAACCAAAAATTGATTTTGTACTCTCTGTTCCACCACAATTGATACTATTTTCATTTTTGTGTGTCCCGTAATAATGGACATCTTTCTATTTTCGGTAAAAATTATTAAACCAAAACATATTTAACAAATATAAATCAACTTAATTAACTACATAACATACAACATCATAAATGAAGTAGGACTCACTCAAAACCCCTTTATTTTTGCATATCTCCTAAAAAAAATATATATATTTTTATCTATGTTTAAAACTACACATCTTTTATAAAATTAATTTATGTTAATTATAAATAAATAAAAATATATTATAGAAGATTTTATTCTCTACAAAATGAATATCATATTGCATATATTTTTAAATTTCTATATAATTTTTAAATATTTAAACATATATTTTAATTTTTTAATTATATATATTAAATTTACTTAAAAACTATAAATATTATTAATTATACAAAAAATAATATAATAATATCATAACTAATTGTTATTAACTAATTAAATATCATCACTTTAAATACCGTGTCCCTAATGGTTCAATTCGGATTGGACAGAGGGAGTATTAGAGATGGTTGTATACATAAATACAAACCTTTGATAATTTTTTAATCATGATACAAACATTAAAAATAATTTATTATATTGAGTTTGGAATCTACAATAGTTCCATTTTATGCATTGCCAAATCAACTATTTAAAAAATAAGGGTATATTTCTTAACATAATATTGAAATATAATATTTATTAAAAAATTTAAAAAATAAAATAAAATAAATTGTTTGATGACCAGTGCATGATGTGTTTGTTTGGGGTTAAGATTTTGAGTTGGGATTTGAATAGTAAAAATTTTGAATTTGAATAGTTGTATGATGTAATATAAATAGGTGTTGATGTGATGTTTTGAATGTAAAATTGATTTTTAGTATAATATAAAAAGTGAAAAATAGGTGTTCGATTTGATGTTTTTTAGAGGAAAAAAATTTAATGAATAGTGTAAATCCGATCCAATCCTCCAAACAAACACACCCTAGTATCCCCTATTTTCACATTATGCATACTTTATTTGCTCCATAATTCAATATTTAATTTCTAGACTATTACATTTTTTTATATTTTTTTTGTACCAAAATTTTTGCTATTATTTTAAATTATGCCAAAATTCTTGAGTTTTTTTATTATTTCTAATTTCTTTTTTCTAAATTATATAATTACAATTTAAAAATAATCTCATAATAAAAAAAATCAAAATTAATACTAGTACAATTTATAAAACTACACCAAGGTGTCTTTCGTACAGAGAAATGAAAATGATTTCATTTCTCTTATTTGTTTGATTCAGATAAATGAACTTGAGAAATAAATTATTTTTATTTCTCCATTTTTATTTTTCTCTTATACGTAGAGAAATAGAGAAAAATGATACAGTGTATACATTTTTTTAATTTTTTTAATTTTTTTTGTACTATCTAATTTATATATATATTTAATATATTATTTTAATTTTACAAAAATCAAATTTAATTTATTGTTAAAGTATTTAAATTTTACGATTTTTTAAAAAATTATACTAAAATATAAAACATCGTATATAATTTATAATTTTTTTAAAAAAAAATCACCAAAAGCTCTCTTTTTGTCCCATTAATCATTTATTCTTATCTGATCCATTCATTTTTTTTTATATATATATACATTTCTCAATTGAATTCTCTATTTTACCAAAATAAAAAATTTTCATTCTCTATTCAATTTTATTTCTCTCCAATTTCATTTTTTACTCTCATTTCTCTGCAATTTCATTCTTTGTACCAAACGCGACTAAAAGTAAACAAAACAAACATTAAAGAACGGAAATAATATTTGATATATATATTGCATTAATAAATAAATATTCAAAAAAATACAAAAAAAAAAAAGGAAAAGAAAGAATTGAAAATTAAATTATTTCTTTTTACAATATATAATTGAACAATTAATTAAAAGCATCCTAATAAATTGAATAATTAATCAAATGGGATTCTCCTTCAAGCTTGGGGGTATTCTTATGGTCGCTTTCGGCATAATTAGTTTAATAAATAATAATTAACATGTAATTATTGGTTGGTTATACATTAAATTAAATTATTTTAAACTAATGTGGTTGTTGATACATATTGTTGTTCTAACCATAGTTGTGGGCCGAAAGAAACACTAAAATTACTTAACAATAAAAAGTGTCTTAATATATAATTATTAATTATTTATTTTGCATATTTGTCTGATGCTTCTATGCGTGAAACATATGTTGCAAGAAGTTCCAATAATAATAATAATAATAATAATAATAATAATTAGAAAGAAATTAATTTCAGTTAAATTTAATGGCCTGTTTTGCGTCATGGCTTAGCTAACTTAGCTTCTTCTTATTATTATTATTGAATAAAGTGCTGTGTCTTTTTTACTGTATGGATACTCCCCGTCCATTAAAATTAGTTCATTTGAACTCGGCATAGAATTAAGAAAAATAAATATTTTACTGAAAAAGTGATGAGTAGTTGGGGTATTTTTAAAAATTTAGTTATAAAGTAAAGTAAATGAAGATATGGAATCTAATAAAGTTAGTTGTATTTGTTGTAAATAAGTGTTGAATTGAGAGTAATAATTGCATATAATTTTTAAATATTTAAATATATATTTTAATTTTTTTTAATCATATATATTAAATTTACTTTAAAAATATAAATATTATTAGTTATATAAAAATAATAATACTCCCTCCGTCCCAATACAATAGTCTTATTTACTATTTTTGTCCATCCTAAAAGAATAATCTCATTTCCATAAATAATCATATCACTATAAAATTACCTTTATTTTTTTATTATTATTACACAATTGTCACTACTTTTTACACTAATACACATACAGGGGCAAAAAAGTCTTTTATCCGTATTTGTTACCACTATCAATGTTCCTTAAATCTCATGCCCAATACAACCAAAACTATAGTTCCGAAACGGAGAGAGAGAGTATAATAATATCATAACTAATTATTATTAACTAATTAAATATCATCATCTTAAATAGTCTGTTACTGTTTCAAGTGTGTTCCAGATAAAAACCCCCGTCGATATATATGATAAATGTCAGTTAATAAATGTATATAAAACATAAATCGAAAAATATTTTTCGACACAAGATATTCTTAAACAAACCCTAAATTTGTGCAATATAAGGGACAGCATATTTCGAATTGTCCAATATTCATCCTTCAAAATATTTTTAATTATTTTTTAATTGGCCATTATTATTTTATTGATCCATATATATTTAAAATGACGTTCAATTATTGCCCCATGTTGCATTAACGGTACATTGATAAATAATTAAATAAATAAATATAAATACATATTAATAAGGTATAGAAAGAGATGGTTTTTT